CATCTCCTGTCGATCAGATACGATCGATCTGCAAAATCACAACACTCCTTCGGCGCAGAACCACACTACTCGACCCGGCCCCTTACAAACGAAACAGTTGTCGAACAGCGCGAACACTGGCGCCTTTGCGCCCCACCAGGCCGAGACCCTGCGAGAAGTCGCCGCCGAGACAGCAGAGGAGGAGGCTAAAAGCCCACGGATCTCCTGGGCCAACGGTGGTGGCGGCGAGGCTGGTGACCTACAACAATACGCCGAAGACCTTGCAGCAGGTGTCACTAGCTCTCTAGCCGGCGGGCATCTCAACGGCGGCAGTGACAGCGACATGGCGGCACAGGATAACCTGGCCGTCGCGCAGAACGGGGGCCTGGTGTCCCAAGACAACACGGACGATGGCGACATGGACGGAGATGAGGGAGATCTGGACGACGACATGATGGACAAGATATCGAGCTCGCCCTCGATCGACGATGGTGGGTCCATTTGTCAACTTCCGACACTCCGCGATATTCAGACGGACGCTTCGCCGTGTAGTTCTCCGGCGTCCGTGTGCTTCAGCGAGGCGAGGTCTTCTTCTCCATACCTCGAACCTCCTGACTACTTACCCCTACAACAGGCCTCTCAGCAGCATGCGATCAAGGCTCCAGCTGCGAGCCCTCCTTCTTGTCATCATCATCATCTTCTTCTTCCCCCCGGAGCAGTGCCCGGGTATCTCGACGGTCAATCAAGCGACGATGGAACTGGGCAGGTGATCGCAACAGGAGAGAAACAGGCCATTGTGCCTAGGGAATGCCTGAAAAACTTCAGTCAAGACTCAATGGAAGGCAGTGCTGCCACAGAACCGAGACCATCGGTCAGTGGCATCACGGATGAGGACGAGTCTGAAGGATTCTGCAAAGTTCAAGCAGTGAGGGTCAAAGATGAAGCCATAAGCGGGATGGAAGACGAAGATTTCGACATCGATGGCTTGATAATTCCGTACGAGGACTCACCCGACGAAGATGATGATGATGACGATCTTTTCCTTCAGTTCACAGACCCTAGATTTATCGACTCCGGGTGGGGAGGTGAAAGCTTACATGACACAGAGGATATCGATTTCGAGCTCGTCTACGCTCTACACACCTTCATAGCGACCGTCGAGGGCCAAGCGAACGCAACAAAGGGCGATGCCATGGTTCTGCTTGATGACAGCAACAGTTACTGGTGGCTTGTTCGAGTTGTCAAGGATAGTAGTATAGGTGAGATGACCTTAACAACGACAGTGGAGCCCGAGAACCACCTGCTGATGCGATATTTTCCTTCCGTCTCCCCCAGGCTATTTGCCGGCTGAGCACATCGAAACACCGACTGAACGACTTGCTCGTCTAAACAAGCACCGGAATATTGATGTACGTTTATCCAGAGAGCGACAACGGGGGTGGGAGACTGACTTGTGCAGCTATCGGCGACGATGCTGGGTGACCAAGCCGAAAAGGCCAAGAACCCGATCAAGACAGCGATGCGCAGGAGGAAAGCCAAGAACGTCACATTTGCAGCTCCTACCTTCGTGGACTACTCCGATTACGACTACGACACTGAAGACGAGGAGGAAGAGAATCAGTTGATGGCGCAGCAACAGCAACAACAGCAACAACAGCAGCAGCAGCAGCAGCAGCAGCAAACACAACAGTCCCAGCAACAAGCCTCGGCAGCCAAGCAGGCCAACGGCGATGACGGCGAAAAGGACGACGATTCAGCAAAGGTTGCGCCATTGCGTCCACGAGGTCAGCAGAAGCCCGGGCAAGCTGTCGATCCTGCCAAACCAGAAGTCGGCGAGGAATCTCCCAATGGCTCCTCCAAGCCCGCCAGTCGGACGAGCGAAGAGATCTTCGAGACTAATGGGGTGGAAGGACCGAAGAAGAGGGCGGATGGCACTGTCCGTGACTCTTTCTTCAAGGACGACACCGTCGAGACCAAGAAGATCACCCTCACGCCAGGTCTGCTCCGCGATGATGGTGTTACGAGGGCGTCCTCTGATTCTCTCGATAAGGGGATCAAGCAGCGGCCGAGTTTCGACAAGTTGCTCGAGAAGGACTCCAAGGAGGACAAGAGGAAGGCTAAGGAAAAGAAAGAAAAAGAGAAGAAGGGTGGCTTCAGGAGCCTCTTCTCGCGCAAGGATAGGAGGAGAGGCGACGAGGATGAGGAATCTTTCGGCAAGCGTTCCATGGACGTCGGACCCGAATTGGTAGACAGACCATCGGAGGACATCGGCGATGACATGGGCTCGGAGAAAGCCGGTATGAGCCCACAACGGAACCCAAGCAAGCTTCAGAAGCAGCAACCACGAGTCGAGCCGTCTCTTGCGAGAAAGACCGGAGGCGCTCCGCAGGATTCTGGAGCTGGTATGGACCTCTCGACCTTCTTGAACGAAAGCAGCCTGAAGAGCGTCGCAAGCGTGCCACCTGCTTCGATGCGCATCGTCGATCCGGACGCCGATCTTTTCGAAGATGATGAGGAGGAGGAGGAGGAGGACGAGCCGAAGTCTCAGTCGTCTGCGACTGCCCGGTCAGCATCTATGGATGACTATAAACAAAACACGCCCAGACAGGCACCGACCCGCTCACAGAGTGCCGACGACCAGAAGCCTGCAAAGCCAACTGCGGCCAAGTCACGGATGCAGATTGAAGACTCGGACTCTGATGAGGGAGTGCAAGAGATTGCACACGCCCCGGCGACCAAGGACAACAACAACAAGTCCTTAGACCAGCCGGAGCCGCAGCTGGGTCAGCCAGAGAGGCAGAAGGTCCAGAGACCAGTGTTGCCGGGTTCATTCCCTGATAGCTATGTCAGCATAGTGTCCACAGAGTCGACATCAACTGTCACCCCAGAAAAGTCTGGAGCTGCCAGCCAGTCAAGAGAGCGGCTGTCCGAGTCACCCGTTGAGGTCTCACCCATCACACCCACGGAGAGCCAGCCCCCGCCCCTCACAGGCGATACCTCAAGCCAGGAGCATTCGTCGCCCGTGTCTTCGCCGTCGCCCGAATTGATCGACCGAGATGAAGCCGTGGGCGTGCACCGCAACCAAGATTCGATTACCACTTCGACATCTACGACCACCATCTCGGCGTGGAACGACACGAGCTTGCGGGCCTTCTTCGACTCAGGCGCCGACATCCGAGACCTCCTTGTCGTTGTCTATGATAAAAATGATGTCGAGCCTGTCGGGTCTGACCATCCTGTTGCGGGTGCTCTTTTCAAGGAGCAGAATGCCAAGTTGGCAGAGATTACAACTGTAAGTCACACAACCACAGTGAAGGAGGCAGGTGCCAAGGCAAAACGCTAATTCACATACTGTAGCAACTTGATAATATGCTTGGTGACTGGCTTGCCCGCAAGCAACGGTTACGAGGCACTGTCTAAGGCATTTCCCGTCTAGACACTTTAGTAAAGATACCCCTCCCACCCCTTCACAAGTTTTCTTTTTTTTTCTCTCCCCTTTTTCTTTCGACACTCCATGTCCTTCAACATGACAAAAAATTCTTCGTTAGAAGACACTCGCCGTCTTCAAATCTTTCTAGACCGACTATCGAACGAAACATCTACGAGTGTCTCGACAACGTCGCACGTTTACGCTTGCACATGGATCAATATAATAATGGGCCCGGCGTTCTCTGGGAATAGGCGATAGGACAGGTCAAAATCACGGACAGAATGGGATTTGACGAAAACTAAATACCAAACAGCAACCCAGGCACATATATACCTTTTCTCTTTCCATTTGTTTAGGCTTTCCCTTCGACACGACTCAGGCATCTTCGCATATCTTTCAGTCTTCCTTTTTATCGTCCGGGCAGTGGGGTATATAGAACAGCGAGTGGGTAGAGAGCGGGCTGCCAGGGAGCGAGTGATCGAGTGGTTGGGAAGGTGACATGAATTCTTCGGCATGCAAATGTACTTTTGCTTTGTTGTGCAGGCGGAAGAGTTTGTGCTTTTTTTTTTTTTTTTTTTTTTTTTTTTCCAATTCAAGGAGACAGGCTTGTTCGACCATGGCTCTGGAGCCTGTTGGTGTTTTATTCCTTCCTTCTTTTTGATTTTCTTTTGCACTCATCCCTGAAAAAAGAAAGAACATTAAAGATTTTGCCCCGATGCTTCTGTTGTTGCCTGCCCCTGTCGAGGCTTGTGGGGCGGTTTCCCCCTTTCGAGTTCAGCCTCGTTTTAATCTGACTTGGAATTGAATCTACCTATTTATTCATGACGCCATTGTACTTTTCCCTCTCATTTAAATGCTACACAATCAACCAGAAGCAATAACTTGATCGCGTTCTTTGACAAAACCGGTCTGCGGTCCTCGCCTGCGGATTTGTACTTTCAGTATCCCAAAGTTCTCATTATTCCATCTCTTTCTCTGCCTGTGACCAACACACTCTTTGTTTGGTTTCTTTGGTGACGATCAGTTCGGAATTTTTTTTTTCTAAAATTTTTTTGGGTTTCTTCTGTTGTTGGTCTCGTTCTGCTCACTCGGTGATTCTGTTTGCGTCCTTCAGCACGAGAAGAGATACCTGGTCTGGCGGCAAGGGAGTTTGTTCTGCAACAATCTAATACGAACCGCGATTCTGTCGTCTTACAGAGATCTGGACAAAGCTTCAAAACTGTGAATTTTCTGCCTGATATCGCCAACGCGCTGCGTGCGGAACATACAGCAACAATCTCACACCACACCCTCCCCCGCACCAGCAGCAGACGGCGTGGTGCAGCCCGTCAGCTAGGGCCTATTCTTCAGGGGGTGCTCGCTCCCCCGGGTGCACGCTAACCACAGAGCTTCCCCTGCCGAGCCGTGCCGGGATAGCTCCTCCAGTGCTTGCTCCTCAAACCAACACCAACCGCAAACGCCTAAACTCCGCGTCCCTCTCCGGCAAAGCCTAAAAAAAAAAAACAGCCGCTGCCCCCGTGTGTATGTGTGCGCGCATGCCAGGTGTGTGTGTGTGTGTGCCCGACTTCTAGCACACAACAACATCACAACACAAAACCACACATCCGCTATGTCACAGCACCCGACGAGCGGGCTACATCACCTACAACCTGTACCGCACAAGATCAAGATCCCAAAGAGGGCTGCTAGTTACACGCCCGCGACCATGGACAACGACCTGCGGTCGCAGCTGAACGTCCAGCTCGTCGCTGGCGGCCATGACAAGAAGTAAGCCCAGCTGTCTTGCCTTTTTGTCGGCTCTGTGTTGGCCCTTTCCTTGCTTTCGCCACACTCCCGGTCAGACCGTGAGCCTACAGCCAAAGGGGGAAGGAAAAGCTCAAGCCATGTTGAATTGATCATACGAGGAGAGAGAATGGACGGGACCTGTAACGCGGTAAACACCCTGCTAATCATCCTCCCGTCCCTCACAGGATCCAGGAGCACCTTCTTTACTCCCTCAACGCCCATCCCAGCAACTGGCCCACACATATTCAATCCCGCGCCCTTTCCCTCCTTCGATCCGGCGAGGCGACGACATTCCCACAGCTTCTCACGCAGATCCTCGACGAGGTCCGCAGGGAGACATCGCTTCTCGACTCCAAGTCCAAATCAGCCAACGGCAACGGCAACGACTCGTCGGTGCAGGTGAACGGAGGCGGATCCTCGGGCAAGAAGAATCATAACAGCAATAGCAACAACAACAGCAACAACAACAGCAACAACGGCAGCGGCAGCGGCAGCGAGAGCGGTAGTAGCAGCAGCAGCGAAAAGAACAACGACCTGGCTCAGGGCCTGAACCCTGGGCCGGGCGAGGCAGGCAATTTGCACACGGATGATATGCAGAGCCTCGCTGTGCCCAAGGCGGTGGTGGAGGATGCCCTCAAGGTGACGAGGGATGCGCTGGTATCTGTTGCAGAGTTTGACCAGGCTGACGGCGGTCCGTGAGCACGGGACAGAAGTGCTGGCGGACGGTAGCAGGTATGCTTCGCGATGGCCCACGTGCCTTGAAATAGGGTCTGCGGGGGTTCAAATCTTCGCGGAGGCATAGTCTCACCGAGGATATCACGCGGGCATCGAAAGCAAAAACGAGAACATCCTTGGGGTCATAGCAGGTCGAGAGGTGGGCTAACACTGCACTTCATCGGCATGTCAGGTCGCCCACATCTTGGAAAAGGTGGTCGGGGGGGGGGGGGGGGATGAAGAGCTACTCCTATGAACACTGCTCATCATCGACAAACGGATAAGGATGGTTTGTACAAAGTGGACGACTTTTACGGCATGACACAAACCTGCTTTCATCAATATAAGCACAGGATCGGCGGCGCATTAAAAAGGCAGGAGTTGTACGGCGTTAGTAGCTGAATTTTTTTGTTTCTTTGTCTTTGCAAGTCTTCATAACACTTATCTGAGTTGGAGCTTTGTTGACCCCAGGGAATTCGACTCTTCTCTCTTTTGATCTTCGATTTGCCACTGCCGTCTACGATATATGTGATGATGCCATTCATGAAATGTGTAGGGCTTCTACGAGCTTTACCTTTCCACGTCGATATAATATGTCGTCCGAACAATTACGCGACTTTTTGGTTCACATTAAAATGATGCACAGAGGCGCAGACAAATCTCGTAGAGCTAGTAGCATCCTGCTGTTGTCGTGGGATGTTCTTGTGGTGAAGATAGCCCGTTTGCGCCTACATGAGGACTCACTCAACCCGGCCGACTACAGAGGGACACCAGACAGACAGACAGTCAGTCCTCCCCCCTCTACAAGCAGCAGTGTCTTTCTCAAGACAATACTATCCCTTCCAGCACCCCAAGTCACCATTATCTCTGCGAACAGGCCACCTTTCTGCTGGGCACTCTTGCAGCAAGGTGGGGTTCGTTCCATGGGAGTGAAATGGTCGTTGCCTCGACGATGGGGGGGATATATTACTCTCTTTACGTATTGGGTTGCTTTGAGTTCAACTGGAGTTTTTGCCATTCATATACCCGTGACAAGAACTGCAATTGTATCCAGGAGTATCAACAATATTGGAAGGCACATCAATTGCTCACCTCGCAAACATTATGCATTCGATTTGTAAAGCACTTGAGAAAGGTAGATTCAATAAAGCAGTGTCTCATTAAGGAAATCTATCGTGATCCAGATCGCCTGTACCAGGTAACCGGCAAACTCCAAGATCTCAGTCTCTATGTATGGAGAAATTGGCCCGGGGCGAGAACTCCTTTTGTCGATAAAGAGTTTAAAGAACTTGCTCCCTAGCATGCCAGCCCAACGTCCAGAAGACCTGTCCGAGGTCGTCTACTCCCAAAACTTTCTAGGCACAAGCGTCTTCAATGCCATCAGCCAGGGCTGCTTACAGATAGCTGCTCGTGCCAACGACCAGCCTATTTGCGTGTGCACCATTCTCGACCACAGCCCTTCCCACCAGGAAAAAAAAAGGACGAAAGACGTAGAATACAGGGATCAATGATGTCGTGCAATCTTTTGAGGGTATGCTCAGTCGTACAGACCATCATCGTTGCCCGCGTCACCGAAGTCAGCGGCGGCGTTGTTGGCGGCCGAGTCAGCGTCGGGGAACTGGAAGTAGGCTCCTGGACCTGCATTCTTCATCTGTTGAGCAAAGGCCTCATAACGGCGGATCTCAACATCGGTGACAGAGCGGCGAGCCATCTGCATGGCCTCCTCGAAGTGGCGTTTCGTAAGCTCGGGAACGGGGTCCTCGGCGTCGTCTTCCATGTCAACATCCTCACCAGCAGCCTCGCGAGCCTTGGTCCGCTCGATGTCGAGAGCGATGGACTCTTTGATGGCCAGCTTGACCGCACGCTGAGTGATGAAGCCCAGATCGGCGCCAGAGAAGCCGTGGGTCTTGGAGGCAATAAAAGACAGGTCGATATCACCAGCCACAGGAGTCTTGCGGAGCTGGGCCTGGAGGATTCCAAGACGACCCGCCTCATCGGGCAGAGGCACGTAGATGAGGGAGTCGAGACGGCCAGGACGGCACAGAGCGGGATCAAGCTGCTCAGGTCGGTTGGTAGCACCAATGACAAACACGTTCTTCTTGGAAGTCATGCCGTCCATCTCGGTCAGCAATTGGTTGACAACACGGTCCGAGGCACCACCGGCGTCGCCCACGGAGCCGCCACGAGCCTTGGCGATAGAGTCCAACTCGTCCAGGAAGACAATGCAGGGCGCAGCAGCGCGGGCCTTGTCAAAGATGTCACGAATGTTGCTCTCAGACTCGCCGAACCACATGCTCAGCAGCTCAGGACCCTTGACGGAGATGAAGTTGGCAGAGCACTCGTTTGCAACAGCCTTGGCCAACATCGTCTTACCCGTACCGGGGGGTCCGTAGAAGAGGACACCACGAGAGGGTGACATGCCGAACTTGAGGAACTTCTCGGGGTGGTCAACAGGGTATTGGACTTGCTCCTTGAGCTCCTGCTTGACTCCCTCCAGGCCACCAATATCCTCCCAACGGACGTTGGGCACCTCGACGACGGCAACCTCGCGGAGAGCAGATGGGTTGGAGACGCCAAGGGCGAATCGGAAGTTCTCCATGGTGACACCAAGAGAGTCGAGAACCTCGGCGTCAATGGTGTCCTCATCGAGATCAATCAGATCCATCTTCTCACGAATCTGCTGCATGGCAGCCTCGGAGCAGAGGGCGGCAACATCAGAACCGACGTAACCGTGGGTCTCGGCGGCAATCTGCTCCAGGTCGACGTCATCGCCGAGCTTCATGTTCTTGGTGTGGATCTGCAGAATCTCAAGACGGCCGGTTGGGTCAGGGATACCAATGTCGACCTCGCGATCGAAACGGCCGAAGCGACGCAGGGCGGGATCGATAGAGTTGGGACGGTTGGTGGCAGCCATAACGACGACGTTGGAGCGGGCCTTCATGCCGTCCATGAGGGTCAGGAGCTGAGAAACGACACGACGCTCGACCTCACCGTTGGTCTTCTCACGCTTGGGGGCGATGGAATCAATTTCGTCGATGAAGATGATGGCTGGGGAGTTCTTCTCAGCCTCCTCGAAAGCCTTTCGGAGGTTGGACTCGGATTCACCGGCCATTTTGGACATGATCTCAGGGCCATTAATCAGGAAGAAAAAGGCACCCGTCTCATTGGCGACGGCTCGGGCCATCAGAGTCTTTCCGGTACCCGGAGGACCGAATAGTAGCACACCGCGTGGAGGCTTGATACCGATGGACTTGAAGAGCTGTGGGTGACGCAGGGGAAGCTCGACCATCTCACGAATCTGGGCCATCTGCTTCCTGCATCCACCAATGTCGTCGTAGCCGACCTCGTTCAAGTTGTTCTCCTCCTCGTCACGCTGGATGGGCTCACCCTCACAGTGGATGACTGTGTCTTGTGCAACGATACCGTACTCTGGGGGGTCGACCTCGACGATCTTGAACTCGACTTGTCTCATGCCACCGCGAGCAATAAATAGATCACCCTGGCGGACAGGGCGGTAGGCCTCGCGGAAATATGGGGCAAGGAAGACGTCGAACAACGAGCCAGTCAGGCCTTCGACGGTATCGGCGATGGGCAGAACAGCGATGCGCTTGGCCTTTGGGGAGATCAGTTTCTGTGACCACCAAACGGGTGCTGCTGGGAACGACAACTTACGTATTTGATATCTGGGCAAGGGTGAATGGTGACGACATCACCGTGCTTCACACGCAAGTTGTGTCGTACAACACGATTCATGCGGCAGCTGCCATCATCGAGATCATCGTCACCAAGGACAACCAGGACAGTGTCCTTCCTCTTCTTGCCGCGGACGAGAACGGTGTCGCCACGGAACAGCTGGAGGGAGTCCATGGTAGCGTTGGACAGCGCAATAATAGAATTGTCATCGTTGACGGCGTCGGTAACCCTGGTTTGAGGTCAGGTCTTGCCATAGAGAGAAATCTCGCCGCGGGGGGGGGGGTGGGGGGGAGGCGAGAGCAGGTAAGTATAGTACGTACATCAGCTGGTTGGGCTTCTTCTTCTTTTTGAGGATGGCGGTTGCGGTGTCATCTTCATCCTTGCGCTCGGCACCAGAGGCATCCCTAGGGCAGACAGTCAATCAGTTGCTCTTGAATCGAGTGCGAGGGATTAGGCGGCGGGGTTGGATGATGTGACATACATCAAGTGAGCCTTCTTCTTGTCAGGGTGGTCGGGGCCAGTTGCGGGAGCCATCTTGACTACTTGTTCTAGGAGAGTCAAGAAGTGGGAATGCAGTCAGGACGGTGTCGAAGACGGCGGGGGATGCGGATGGGTTTGCTCGTCTGCTCGGCCTGGGGACAGATAGCTCGTAGAGGAGACGTGGCTTGCGAGACCGGTGCTCGCGGGGTAATGGGGTTTGAGATGAGGTAGTGATGTACCAAAAACCAGGACGCTGGTTGATGATCGAACAGAAAAAGGAGATGTAAAAGAAGAAGAAACTGGAAAGTTGTTGTGGGGGGATTTGTTGGTGTTGAGTTTGAAGGTCGGAGAAGGGAAGCTGTTGGCGGCGAACTAAATGACCAGCGAAGGTGGCACCAAAAGACTGTAGGCAGCTCCAGGCACTCGACGGATGACGAACTGGACCAAAGGCGAGCTTCAGGTGAGAGGCGCTAGCGGCTGGAACAACTGCCCGGGGCGAATCAGATCCACCTGTGAGCGGCCCCTCTTACCTCCAGCCTGCCCCCGTCGTCTGCCAGTGAAAGAGGACGGCGGCAGGCGCTGATCCGAGCTTCTGTCTTGATAATCGGCCTGGCACGCTAGCCACGCCACGGCAGCTTTGAAATGGAACCTTCCAGCGTTTTCGTCGTACCTAAGTGCATAGTATCTCGATTTAATCATGACCATGACTCTATATACCTGAGTACTACCAGAGGCTTCCACTAATCGCTCAGTTGATACATGTTACTGTCTTGAGTTGTAATCTATCCAGTGAGACCACGTCTTTTTGTAACGAGAAGAATCCTTTTATCTTCGGTCTTCTATCTCAGTCTGGGGTGGCCATTTTGACAGCACATATCCAGGCTTTAGGCGTTTGTCTAAGCAAGAGTCCCGCGTCTGAGGCAGACCGTTCACAAAGTCTCATCTCCTTATACACAATCATACTTGGAGAGCCTCTGAGGGAGTCAGGCCATCAAGAACATAATCCAGCTTGTGCGGTTATGCACGTGGGCAATTTATAGCCCGCCTTGCCGACTGGATTAAACACTCGCCTAGCATTCACTCTCACAACAAAGTTGTATAAATCAAAGCACAGAACTACCATTTCGCATTTCGTAGAGGAACATTCCAGTGTCCAAAGCACACCCAGTTTATGAGCCATGATCTGGTTCGGCGACACTCCCATTGTGTGGTCTATCTTTTTCGGCTCCTCCATCGCAAGACAGAGCCCACTCTGGTCGACTGCCATGATGCTGATCAAGACAAGCATGCTAGAGGTATACGTGGCATGGATTTCTCCACATGTCAATGAATGAGAATCTGGATGACTTTGATTCTGGGTTGAAAGCTCAGCTGGGTTCAATTGCAGAGAACTATGTTTCTCCGCCAATGCTGCAGCTGTGGCAACATCATCTGATCGTCCTGCCAGTGGCCTCTAAAACAGTTGTAGCAGGAGAAGTAAGAATTGGAAGGCAGCATCTGAGGCTGAAGAAGTTGTCACGACGGCGACCGATCCTTTGCAGCTTGTTTCTGACCCGTGTGTCACATCCAAGTCGAAGTAGTTGGTACGACCATGAGAATTGAGCTGCTTCTTCAGATATCAGGAGGCTGGTGAAGGTACACAAGATTCTGGTTGAGCCTTAAGTAGGTGGTGGATTGCCTGCTACATATGCTTGTTAACGATCCTGCATCTCCTGCTGGCGGACGACTTGACTATGGACCAGGTGCCAAGTCAAGCAGCGAGTCGCTGGTGCATGGCAGCGTGGGTCCGCGCCTGCATGAAGAGCCCGGACCTCAGCTTTTACAGTGGGCAGGTCCTCTAGACTGGTACTCTACTGCATAAGTGTGCTATAGTATATTTGAGCACCATAGTGAACAGTGGGGCTAAGCGCCCCCAACTCTTAACCTGCAACTGGAAGCCAGCAGGGGGTTGCCCTGCAAATGAGGCAGATCCTAAGCAATTCCCAGCCAACTTCTGTTGGCCGGTACCTCCTTTTCCATGGCAACGACAAACGGGAACCTGCTTGTGACTACCGTCCTTCTCTCCCCTTCCAGCCACCACCAACGTCAGGCGTCAAGGAGCAGACGGCGGAAGGGAAACAGAATCACGCTCGCTTACTTACTTACAATCAACACCCACTGCCAGATTCGTCACGGCCGAAACCCCTCGTTGCATTGCATCTTTTCATGTCCATCGTTTGCTTATTATAACAACCGAGGGAGTGAAGAAGAGCCTAGACTGCTAGCCTTCGTGTTCGGTACATCGCAGTTTCAGCCTCGTATTCTTTCTCTACTTGCCCTTCGCCTCCGTCGATGGACTCTTGAACTGCGCCCACCCACTTCTACTGTCCCAGAGGGTCTACTCAGGCCTCATCCGACCCGCTGCCACCGCCGCCGCATATTGTCCTGTGCGACATCCACGACTGGGTGGCGACAACCCGACGCGGAAAATTCACGGATCTGAAGCCTCATCTCGCACCCTGCGAGGGCTGATCTGCAGTCGCAACCGCCGGGTCCACAGTGCGCCCGACTCGACAGCCTTGCGAACATCCTCATTTGCCCCCTCTGCCCTCAATCGAAGAAGAAGGGTTACTGCGCACAACCACAAGAACGTCTAGTCTGGCCACGAACCGGCCAACGACAGACAAGATGGCCTTCGGCGACTTCACGTCTTTCTGCCAAACGGCGCCGCTACCGCTGTGTGCATCCGTCGGAGCGATAACGTCCATCTCTAATGGCGTTGGCATCGAGGCGAATTGCTACGCCCGAAACATCGAGCTTGCGAACACCATCATCTTCCAGATGGCGGCGAGCGCGATACATATCGTGTCGCTGGTCATGACCGTCATCATGATCTTGCATGTCAGGGGAAAGTTTACTGCTGTCGGTATGTAGTTTTCCTGGCTGAGACGAGGATTCTTCACGGGTGCTGCGGATATCGTTTGTCGTTGTCTTGCCGGCCACTTATGACGGCATACCTCGACCACATTTCTGAGAGACTGGATGGTATGGAGCGCGCGCCACCAAGTATCAACAAGCAGTTGAACAGACGACATTCGACAAACACCCCAGTGAATTAGCAGCAGGATTGCAGACGAGCATTTGCTAATGACAAATTGATCTAGGTCGAAAGGAGATCATCAACTTTTTCTACATCTACATGCTCCTCACCTTCTTCTCCCTGATTGTCGACGCAGGAGTGTCCCCTCCCGGCTCGACAGCATACCCGTACTTCGTCGCCCTGCAAGCTGGTCTCGCGTCAGCCCTCGTTACCTGCCTCTTGATCAACGGCTTCGTGGGTTTCCAGCTATACGAGGATGGCACACCGCTGTCACTGTGGATGCTGAGGCTGTGCTCTCTCGCCGCCTTCGCCATCTCGTTCCTTGTGTCCTTGGCGACGTTCAAGAGCTGGGCGGGGCTGGGCCCAACCAACACCGTGGGCCTCTTCGTTGTGCTGTACCTATTGAACGGCATACAGTTGCTAGTATATCTAGTTATGCAGGTTATCCTCGTGACGCAGACGCTTCAGGATCGCTGGCCGCTGGGTGAACTCGTCTTTGGCGTCCTCTTTTTCGTGGCTGGCCAGGTGATCCTGTACGGTTTCAGCGACAAGATCTGCAATGCAGTGAGCCACTATCTTGACGGTCTCTTCCTGGCTTCCATCTGCAACCTGTTAGCGGTCATGATGGTCTACAAGGTACATATACTCTCTCTCTCTCTCTCTCTCTCTTTCTTTCTCTTTCTCTTTCTCTTCGCCTTCGCCTGTACCTGCTTCTAGTAAGTGGACGGATGCTGACACAGGACTTCAGTTCTGGGACTCCATCACGAAGGAAGACCTTGAATTCTCCGTCGGAACTAGGATGAACAACTGGGAGGTCAAAGAATTGCTCACTGAGGAGGATCGCCGAGCAACGATGTACCAGGACGACCAGTACGCGCACTCGAGCGCATACGACACTCCATTCTCGCCGTCACCCAACGCGAATCGACACTCGAAATACTAGATACTTCTTTTGTTGCGCATTTTATTATTGGGATTCACAGCCAGCACGCTCGAGACACAACAGAGGCAAGCCAGTGTAGGACTGGTACTAGGGCCACGGAACATCGGCTACGCAGATGTCTGGGTGTCGATACAGCGAAGACACAATTATGTGTCATGATATATGAATTAGCTGCCGCATTTCGTACTTTTGAGGAAATCTGAGGGTCTGAATGGAGTGGTCGCTTAAGGGAGCAGTCCACTAGGGCTGGCTGCTGACGGGTAAAATTGCAGAAGGGGGGGGGGGGCGGACAAGAGCCGCCCAGAGGATGAGAAATCTCTTGTCGACTTGGTTCTTGTCGTCCGATACCAACTGGTCAATGGAAAGCGACTAATCATCAGATCGCATAATATGAAGCACTAATGCATCACGCACTAAAGACCCCCGTGATTACGCGGCGCGGCGCGGCTGGGCCTATAGGAATAGTATGGGAATGGTGCTACTTAATCAGCCTGGCAATAAGACGACTGTTGGGCAAAGAGAAAGGGAATAAAAGATAGGGGGCGCAGAAGGGTGGTGGGGTCATCTCATTAATTCGATCAGCTGTTGTTAATACGGTTGGGCTAGTCACCACTCTGTGCGAGGGGTACGGCTGTAACGACGGATTTTGCCTCCGCGATTAGTGAGTGACACATCGAAAAAGGAAAGGGAAAAAAGTGCCCGAAGGCGAGTGAGTGAGTGAGGGCTTGGAGCAGCATTCATTTGCTGGTGGGGAGGAGGGCACACCTCGAATATTCCTTGTTCTTTCCGAGGCCTAAGATAGCCTCTTGCATTTGAGTCCGAACAGATCCAGATGAAGGGACGAACCGGCACATGGAAAAACCTATCGGTACTTGAATCCCTCCCCTATCTTGCAGAACATGCACATGCGTGGTTATGTACATACTTAGGTAAGTACTTGATGAAATGTGACATAAAGTAGTCAATAAAGAGCTGGGGGAACATAATAGGTAAAAACACAGCAACAGCATCAACATGCAGGAAAAGGGCGGAAAGCCGCGCGCAAAGCAGAAAAAATAACGACAAAAAAGGGCGAAGAGGAAGCTTAGTGCCCCATCCACGGATTACATACCTAGTAGGTTATAGGATCGGGTCCCCAGCGAAAGCCCAGAAAAGAGACAGAAAGCGACCGGGTAAAGGGTGGACGACTAGTGGCCGGCCAGGCTATCTATTCCCATGCTAGACCCGGGATGTCACACGAGTCGGCAAGCAGCGCCGAAACCCTGACAAGAATGGAGGGAAAGAGGGGGCAGAGGGATTGGAAGAACGAAAAACATTAAAAGAATGAAGAAGGGAGAGGCTGATGAGTCACGGGGTAAAGAGAGCACAATTTCAAGTATCATAATCAGATGAAAAAGAACTACGTAAATCTGACCTGGCCCGTTTAGCGCAGATCTTGATTCCCAACTTAGTCCATCGGCTGACCCGAAACCGAAGGGTCAGAAACACGATATGTGGCCGACTAGTCCTGGATTGGATAGATCTGACAAACATGGATACGCCTTCGCGATTACCCGATCAGGAACACGATGGAGCGACACAGTAATAATTGGACCACTGACAGATGCCGTTTTCTCTCCTTCGTGGCAAGAAGGTGATGATGTATATCTCGATCCCTCGCCATTTATGTATTATGTGGGGTCTTTTTTCTGTCTGATCCAACCTCGGCTCATTGCGTTGTGGCGCTTGACGAATTCTTTTGAAATGCTTAGTAGTTCATTACTTTATTCGACTCAGTTCCTCCTGCGCATAGTACTTACATAGTAGGTGTCATTGTTCCTTGCAGACCCACCCCAATGACCCACACTTATGGGGCCCGGTGGGCTGCTGTAAGTCACTCCCCATTGCTATGTATAAATTTACCAGGAAGAAAAAAATACCTCCCCAAATCATCTGGATTACAGTATGCTCGATCAGATATACATGGAATTGGTGCCATCATCCCCTTTCATGTTTCTCTCATTCAACTTCATGTGCGAAGAGAGCAATCCGGAACAGCCGTCCAGTTACTGTTGTAAGAGTCTGCAAGTTCACTCACCATTGCTTGAAACACAAAGCACTGTAGGTCTTCGCCGAGTCACTCGTTTGACATCTGGATCCAAGTCTCATCTTGTCCACAAGGACTGCAGACTAGGGTCCACTGAAAAGTCAATAGTGCCCAGCTCCAGGGCACCACATGCATACACCTATGATATGACCTCAAACAGGGGCGCATGGTAGTGGCTGCAGCCCCCCCCCCTTTCACCCTCTAAGCAAACTGATGAGATCACAACTTGCTGCCCAGGTGTTTAAGTGGAACCAAGTACCAAGAATGCACATACAGTTCTCTACCCATGAGTTGGAGAAGAGGACTAGTCCAGAATTTTGGTTTCCGAGCATGCTTCAAATGTTGTTCAGAATTTGGCTCATGGCCATCTCGGTAAAAATGCCAAACCTTGGAAGTGGAGGTGATCTCCCCAAATTTCTGAAATAAGAGTGATTCACAGCAAGACGGATCTGGTCTGGGGATGTTGTAGCTGCTTCATTGCTTGTACGAGAAAAATCCTGTACATGTCCAGAGACCAGTCTGAAGCATGTTGGTATTCATGACCCATCCACATGTACATGCACAGAGAACATATGTAAATAAGTAGGCTAAGCCAATCTTAGACGCTAAATAATCACTAGACTATTGTTAACCAACACGTCTGTGGTTTACTTGCAGTACATGCCTGCACCTGGCAGGGGAAGGGCAGGGGAGCCAGCTCCTGCTCATCCTTCATCAGGTCTCTGCAAATGCTGTTCATGGATGCACTACACCAGCTAAAAGTATACATTTGTAGAAGTATCGCAGCACTGAGTCTCCACTTTGACCACCTTTGATTTTGAGTTGTGACATTCTACCTGGTCACCCAGACAATAGTTGAAGCTAAGTCCTATACTCAACATTCTCTTTAGCTTCGGAACAGCAAACTTCATGAGAGTAACCCGCTGGATCTACCACACCCCAGGAGCTGACGGACTTTTCTGACCGAAGCAGAACCCAAACTTGGATTGATTGATGCATTGACTTGAGGAGGGTGGAAGCACCAACCAATAGACCAGCCAACCAACCACCACCTAGGCAAGTGCGGAGATCTTCCCAGCAAACCCATGCAGCATGACACAGAAGGACATCAGGCTAACTCCGCCCGAGCATCCTTTTCACAAGTGGACAAGTTGATACGACCATGCTCAAGTCCTGGGGGAACAAAACCTGACAGTATTCCAGCTCATTAACAGAGGAATTTATGTACTGCAAATGACAGCCAGTCTCCCTTGTAATCTAGCAGCAGTGAGCTGTCGCTGCAGAATACCAAGGGTGTAAAAATGAGTGTCTGAAGCTGAGAGTAATGTATGGCTTGATTGGCTCCTCCCCTCTCACAATTAGTAGACACCCTGGTACCTTTTTTACTGCTATGTACCATCCTTTCTGATGTGCTACACAATCCATGTTTTTTTCCGACATAAATCTACTATTATATGTACAAAGAAGTACTTTGAGCTCTGCTAGCTAACCTGCAATCTACACTGCCCAGCATCCACTGGTGGCGGCGCTTTGCCATGTGACAGAAGTTCACTTCATCTTTCAGCTGGTGACATGGCGAAGTCCTGTGAGTATAGCCTTCATGTTTTTTTATTATTAATCAGAACATTGAAATCTCGAGGCTTCCTCTTCAGTAATCCTGATGACTAGTCCTGATGTCAACTTAGTATTGAAATACTGACCCGCACATTGTTCATGCCCGGCTGGTTTTGAAGGCCATGACGGATGATCTAATCCCACCACCTTCCCCTCCCACTTGCTGTAGTGGAGCTCTAAGTATAGATTGAGGGCCCTTATTGTCACAAAAGTGGGGCTGCTGTACTTTGTACTGCGTGTGTTTCTCGTCAGTAGTAGAGTAATAAGGACATGGGGGCGCAGGTCCAAAATCTCCTTTGGGCTTATGCTAAGTACTGCAATGCTACAGTATGTAGCCTTGCCAAAGGAGTGGAGATTTGTCTGCTATGGTACATGCAATCATGGCTACCCTACTTGGAGGATTTTGTCTGCAGCCTACCAGCCTGCCTAGCTCTCCCAACCCAGAAGGCCCTACTTTGTACATACTAGTACGTAGTGCTCCTGCTTCCATCCAGATCGAAGGCCCACAAATGCCCAAGGCGCCTACATGGCTTAGTATCGTTAGGCCCTCTCTAAAACTCCGTGCCCAAAGCCCCGAGATTAGACATGCTACTATGTAAGTACATTGGGGCGAGGCCCTTACAGAAATACTTTTAGCTACTCTGCCGCCACCACCTTTCATTCCCTCCAAATGAATGCAGAACTTGGTCCGCCTCGTCTTTTTTCAATCAGCACAAGTTGCCACGTTGTGTGTGAGTGTGTGTGGGAAGATACGCCTTTGCCCCCTTTCCCTTCGTTTCGCTACGAGCCAACAGCAACCGTGTCCGTTCGAATCCGATGCAACATCTGGGCTGCAGCTTACGGCATAGAGACAAACTACTGGGCTGCTGAAAAGCCCTTCATCACTGCTTTGCCCGGAAATACGGCTACAGCCCCATAATGCTACCTTACTCATCTGCCTGCACATGCGAAATCTTTTGCCCAGCCAGAACTCTCCTAGTAGCGCCGAAGTCGACCTCGAACTCGCTTGACTTGTTCGACCCTGCGAGCCTTTTGATCAGACCTCGAAAGAAGCAGAGACTTTAATGTGGCCTGACTCGTGTGCGCGCCGCGCGAAGCATCTCCCAACTAGGTCGGTGTTGCCATCCAGTCCCCGAAGCAGACTTTTGCCCTAGTGCGTACATACTTCTTGGTCCCGAGTATAGGCTCTTGGCCCCTATATGCGAGCACCGTGCCATTCACTCACTACACTTGCCGTCGCATTTTAATATTATTTCCAAGCTTTACGTACCCATCCTCGCCTTCCCAACACCCCCCCCCCCTTCTCTCCTCAACCAACACTCTGTCCTGTTTGGTCTATACGCGCTTCACGAACTCGCTTAAACCAGACTATCTTCTACTTCTACCACGCTGTACTATTGTACTTACTGGGCACTCTCATCGCAGACACGATACCCCGTGACTCTGTGCGTGTTCAGCCGTACGAATCAGTTGGCGACGACCCAGACACCCCCCTTTACACAGACTCGACAAGAAGACAATCCCCTGAAGCTAGAGGGCGATAGTCGAAACAATTATTACCCCTTCAGCCGGTGCGAGCGCAGCGTACCTACGAAGCCGATCAAAAAGTTTTCCCTTCATACCTTTTTCCCTTCCACATGAGCGAGGACATCCTCGTTCACAATTCCTGACCAGACTAGGTAAGAAAATGCACGCCGCCCCACAGCCCTCCCTAATCTGAGCCTCGAGCCAACTGCCACCGGACATTTGCGAGATTTACAAGGCGCGCGCTCTGTGCCTATTTTCTTTTTGGTTCCCTGATCAATGCACTGCTACCACTTCCCTCATCGCGCCCGGTAGCAACCGAGGTCGTCTTTGTGTATTTCCGCCTAATGTTTGGGGTGGCTTCACAATTATTATTAGCATCCATCCATCCATCCACCTTCTTTCTCATATGGACCGACACACCTCCCTAGTTTCCTCTCCTGACCTCTCTCACTCTGGCTCGATCCATCTCGGCTTTTTTTTTTCTTTCGGAAGAAAAATTCTGTCGTCTTCACGATCATAGCCTCTACCCAAGCACCCCCTCCCCCTCTCCTTCTCTCCTTCCTGCTCCTCCTTTTTGTTTTCTTCCTCCCGTGGCATCAACACTCCATTTTCTCGCGCCAGCGCTTCGTCGGCTCCCAGGTCCCGACGGCTTTATGCTCCACACTCTTAATTCACGTCATCTTCACATTGTGCAACTAGTCGGCGCATGTTCGCATTGACTTTCACATCCGATCCGATCCACCCCCCTGTCTCATCGCAATCCGCAATATTCTTTTCTGTTCACTAGACCCCCAGGCTGACATAGGCTGCGCGCAAAAGTCTCTGGTTGAGACATAAACGCCTTTCCTCTCGGTGAAAGCACCTGCTTGTCCATTCGTCTTTCGCACTACCACTTCGCGCTTTCTCTTATTAAAAAGCTCGCATGTCGACACCCATGCAAGACGGCGGCGGCCCTAGGGACGACCCTAGGTCGCCGCCTGCTGCTGTATCGTCCCTTCCTCACCACACTCGGAGTATGTCGAGTGCCGCGCTGCCCCGGTCGTCACCACTACCGGCAACACCAGCCGCACCAACAGCACCGATGCAACCAGCACCAGCACCAGCACCAGCACCAGCACCAGCACCAGCACCAGCACCAGCACCAGCAGCTGCTGCCAGTGAACATGACACTGCAGAACAGACATCCACAGGTCCAGACGACATTCCACCAGCCGGTTGGGTCAATATCGAGGCCGAGTACTGGAGGGATGCTCAGGCAGCGCGGGCCTTGGAGGACCAGTCCATGGATGAGAAGTACGAGACGAAAACGGCAGAGCTGAAGGCAAGACATGCGCAGCTGCTGGACGAACGTGCCCGCCTGAGCGAGAGGCTCCAGTCTCTCAAGAAGGAGTGCGACAAGGTGGACGAGGATCTGACGCGGATGGACGTGCAATTCGAGGAAGCCAAGGAGATTGTTGCAAGGCGGAGGGAGGATCAGGACGGAAACGCAAAGAGATTTTTTAAAGCTCAGTATGAAAAGGCAGTAAAGCGCGCTGCCGCCCTCGAGGAAAATGAGACTGGTCCCGCAAAACAACTACCGCAACCGTACGCCAACGACGAGCGAGTCCCACAACCCTCCTCCTCCTCACATGCGCTTGCTCGCCCCAGTGGTACAGCAGAAAGGGATGTCACAGCAGCTGGTGAGCCCAGTCCGACCCACAACGGTGTCGCAGCCAGGCACGCCTACGTGCAGGCAGCCACAGAGGACGACTCCTTGCTTTCGCAGCCATTCGACGACATCACAGCCCCGACTGGCGTAGAGGTTTGGGATATCGATGGCAACTTTGTCGACCACGTCAAGCGGATCAAGCTGAGCAACAAATTCATCCGCCACGTTCTCCAGCTTCCCGTCAAGCGAAGGGTCATCGTCCGCCCCGGCCGCAAGTTCAACAAGGAGACGATGCAGAGTATCTACGAGCCCAGCGATAACAAGGGGGCCAAGTGGCTGAGCTGTATGATCCAGGCCACGGGCGAGGAGCAGGAAACACAGTGCACAGCCTGTAGCAACCGCGCGGGAACTTGGCTGGGCTGCATGATCCTCGGCGGCAACGAGTTCCCTCGCTGCGCCAACTGCGAGTGGAACCGGCAGGGCTGTATTGGCTCTTCGTATCACGCAGACCGGCAGCAGGAGTACAACATCCAGGCTAGTTCGTCCCCCGCTGGCGGGTTCGCGCCTACGAACGGCAGCCAAGGGAGGGGTTCTGCCCCCGCTACTGTTCCTTCCAAGCGCACTTCGCTGCCCAACAAGAAAGTCGTCAGGAAGTCGCTACCCCCGCTGGCTATGGCGGAGAATAGGGGGCCGTTGGGCTACGGAGGGGACGAGTATGGCGGTTTTGAGGAAGAGGTTGGCCCGGACATCACAGCGGCGCGCCTACACCTCCGCCATAACGGCAGCGTCTTCACGGAGCCCGAGATCATGCGCGGTGTGCCTGTCGAGAAGATCAGCTCCACTCATCCATACTGGGAGCCGAGGTGGGAAGAACCCATCATCCAGCTCCAGGCCAGATATGACGAGTGGCAGGCCAAGCTGGAGGAATGCCTTGCGACGGGAAAGAATCGCTTCTTGGCTGGACGCCAGGTCAACCGAGGCAAGGCGATCATAGAGTTCCTCGAGAAGGGTGAGGTCCACCCCTTTCAACTGGTCGCCAAGAAGTTTATCACGAGGAACCTCGTGAACTACGACACCATATTCCGGCTTGCCCAGGTGATGGAGGAGCTGCCCAGGCTAGGTATCGACATCACCCCCGTCGAGTGGGTCCGCGAGCGCATGCACGAGATATATAAGGAGCAGGGCGAGGCCTTCAGCCTGGCCAAGACGGTGCACGAGCTCTATCATGATGTAAAGATCCGGGCCCTCCGCTCCAGGGCTGGCGTTGGCAATATCGGTAGACCCTCTGGTATCAAGAAGGGTATGTCATCCAAGCCCGGTGGCCCACGGCGCAGAGAAAACAGCGAGACGCCACGAAAGCGCAGACGCGGCTCTCTCGACAACCCCCAGCAGGCCGATCAGCCATTCCAACCGGATGGCCCGTCAGGCCCGACCTCTCCCCATGACACCAAGAAACAGCGCCTGGACCTGGGCAAATTCCCAGCACCCAACCGCGAGGAGATGAGCGAGACCGCGTCACCCGACCTCGGAAGTGTCCCCGCGCCGCAGAAGGGTGACGAGTTCGAATATGACGGTTATACCTCGAGTGATTCGATCAGCCACAGCAGGATGACGACCACCGACTGGCGCGTGATCCAAGTACGAGCACCCGAGTACACGACCAGCCTCAACTACGCCCAATACCTCCATTGGGTCGTCGACGGCAACAACCCGTACTTCGAGCACCAGGTCCTCCTGGGCGTCAACCCTTCCAGCTGGGGCGTGTACCAGGATCCATTCGACTTCCACGTGCGTCTGGCCGAGCTCGACAAGATCGAGTACACAAAGGACGAGGACTGCGGAAAGATTGTGATCCACACGACCCCACCTTCCAGGTATAGAAACAAGCGCAAACTTCTCTTGCAATTCAAGAGGGGTCGCACGCAGGACCGTTTTCTGCACTTTGTGAAGCATAAACTGAAGGGCCTCAGGCCGTTTGAGCTTCAGGAAACTTCCAGGTTCGTTAATCAATTCTTGTTGGATGAAAGCGAGAGAACGTGTGTGCCGGGATGGTTTCGCGATGCTAACTTTGTGGCCTGCAGGGAGCGCATTGAGGCAGAGTGGAACAGCATGGACTCGCAGGTCCTGCCTGTAGAGGAGTAGGCGAGAGGGGCACATGCAAACATGTGCCTCTTGACACACGGCGTTGCTAACGTGGGAGATCTGCTGTGTGCCAGATATCATGTTTGTCTGCACACTCAAGACCGCATTTACATTTACGATGAGGGCGCACTGCATCTCATCTATCAACAACATCTGACTCAACAAGAGAAGACGACTTTCCATAATGGCATGGAATATTGGAGGCGTTTGGAACCATGGCAAGAAGGGCATGGCATGACACGGCAGTCTATGACAGGGCAAGGCGTTTGGAGGTGAACGGGTTCTTTCTTCCGCCACGTGTGTTCTCGTTGGCCAGAGGACTCCCGTCGATGTGAGTGGCCTTTGCTTTCACATTTTTATGTTTAAAAAAAGACACCTCGGTGGTGTCTTCTTGCAGTGGGAGAAAAGGGAATCCGGGACAGCATATAAGTCTAGTAGCACTTTGACCTCACAACTGCTGCGATGGACTCTTGCAGACATCCACAACAAAGGGAGTTCACGGCTTTATTCACAACCAACAGGGTGCGAGGAGCACTCGACTAATAACAAGCCATCATTGAACCTTCTCTGCATCAAGATGGCCCGTTGTGAAACACTTGTGACTCTTGCTTACATCTGCATAGACAAGATTTTATCTACAGCTAAGCTAAGGAAGTACCACTGTGTCATTGTTGCTTCTAATAGGATTTTCTGTGATAGCTGTTTCTCTTCAAATGTTCTCCCACTGCCCTTGTCCTCCCACCTTCCTCTTCTTCTCATGAGCTCGCTTTCTTGTTATCTTCCTCGCCACCCCTGTCAACATCAACTGCCTGATGCTATAACACGAAGCTCACCTGTCTCAACACGTCCCTAGAGACGCACGTTCTCAGCCTCGTCAGCACAGTTCGCCAATGACCTTCATGGGTTGGGAAAGGGAAAGATTGAAGGGGTAAAAGGGGGGGGGCTGTCCCTCACCACAGACACCATCGAGACATTCCTGAGCGCCACACAAGGCCTGCCTGAAAGCGCTCTGGACAGGAGAATTTCGTCACTGCGAGGGGTTGCGAGGGGCAAGCGGGATGCAACATGCCAGTCTGGAGCGTGGTCGTCTTGCAGAGGCTGGTGCGGCAGCCTAGAGTTAAGGTGATGCAGAGGCAGGAGGACGGCCTGGTGGTCTGCCCTGGTGCGGCGGGTCCTGTAGAGGCGGGCTATGAACCAGATGCCCGGGACACAGGCTATGAAGATGGAGACGAGGGCTATAATGGCGTTTGTATTCAGAGCCATGTTGAGGTTGTTTAAGTCTTCGAGTCTGTTAGTTTTTCAGGGGCTAGCTTGGGAAGAGCAAGACGAGAGGGATCGAGGTCAAGTCAAGAAGAGGATGCAACAGTCTTAAATAAGTTCAATGGGTGAGATGAAGACTTCCTTGTTCTGCGTGACTGATGCTGCGGTGGTCCAGCATTGTCAGATTTTGGACAAGATGATGGCCAGCCATGATGCCAAGTCAAAAACATGATGAGAGCATGCTGCAGGGTCTTGTCCAAAATCTGGCCTATCACATACCATTTCTCCTTTGGAGCCACCTCGAAAGTGCACTTGATAATGCCCTGGATGCATGCTGGCCGACAGACCACTGAGAGCCTCTGAAATTGGACAAATCCAGGATACTGTCCTGCTCTTGGGCAATAAAAGAGCCACCATCCGCAAGCAAGGGCTTGAAAAGCAGGCGACCAATCTAAGTGACTGAAATTGGACAAGAGGGGCCTTTCCGATATAGATGGTGGGCAGTGCCTGCATCGCCAGTGCTGCAGGTGTGAAGTGCAGCTGTGCCATTCCCGAATGAGACGTATTGTTGCCCAGTGGCGGGACAAGGAGCGAATCGCGTTTGTCAGATTTTGGACAACGTTGCAAGTGTATATCTTACCGCATGAAGCCACAGGCGTTGATGCCGGCTGGCCAGCTCGCCGTTATGCGTAAAGTAGATTGCTCGACACTCCGTCTGCCTGCGAGCCTTATCCCATGATTATATAAATGCCAAAATTCCCCCTTCTACTTTCAGGCGGGTCTTGACTCTTCCAACTTATCTATCAACGGATCAAAGTACGGAATTTCGTGTCCTCTCTGACCTCACTTGTCATATTTGTCTGCCGTATAACATCTGGGAGCCTGAAATGGGCACTTGGATGTTTTCTCTTCTTCGAATTCCGTCTTAGCACTGTTTGTGCCAGTATCATACTCACAAATCTCTTTGTTTTGGCTCACAACAACTAAGTCCAGAAGTTGTGTGGACACTGTCTTGCCGTTCCTGCGGCAAAGCAATTCATTTCCTGCCCAGACACGCGGATCTCTTCAACATTTCTTTGCCATATACATTACCCACACGCCTGAGACGGCCACTCAGGTCGTCCCCCTTTTGTTCCCGAGACCTCAATCTCAATACTGATTTACCACTATTGCACTCGAAAGTCTCTCTATTTCGGCTCAATTTCTGCATAACCAGATACCTTCTACCCCTCGTGCTAAGGATATCATCACATCAAAATGCCAGCTACTCAACGTAACCCTCCTCAAGGAGATGGCAACGATGCTATTTGGCATGAACATGCCGCACGCATTCGGGAGTTGTATTTCGACCGGAAGAGGCCGAGAAAGGACTGCTCACTGCTTGCTGTAAAGGCAACGATGGAGAGTGAGCATGGGTTTCCCGTCTTCCCGTAAGTCCTCGATCTTTCTCCCCCCAAATTCAGTGGACGGCTATTATTTATTATGAATGCTAAAATAAATCAATATGTCTACGTAGGAAACATATATGGGAGGTGAAGCTGAAGAACACCCTCGGCTTCCGCAAGAAAGTGCAGAAGAATGACTGGCCCCGAATCCACCAGCACTACGAGCAGCGAAAGATCCAGGGCAAAGAGTCCAAGATACTTCTCAATAATGAGTTGATCGAGTGGAGAAGGGCATGGAAAGAGATGAGAAGGTCTGGAGCCGTCAGACACTCTTCATTGAAAGGTGAGTGGTCCGTCTCACTGAACCCCTCGGCTGCCGTCTCGAGCTAACGTTGACCTTGAATATTGCAGAGCCATTGAGTCCTCTCCCTCCGGGGATCGAGCTTCGTACACCCTCTCCCGACCTCGGTGTCGCATCATTGAACACAGGCACCGGTCCTCGTGTTGTCCCTGAAGTCAACTGGGCAATATTAACACAAGCTGACCAAGTACGAGGCAAGAGCATCAACCCATTTGACAGCACCCACATCAAGGTGCATGAGTTGGGATCACCTATGATGGCGGCGGATGTGATCGGTACCTTGAGAAATATGTATGCCTTGTCGTGTACAGATCCGAATTTGGATCCGAATACTCCAATACAGATCCGCTCGCTATACCCATACGCTTTGGCGATCCGAGGCATCCCAGTCGTAACATTCGTCGAAGAAATGACCGGTACGTGTATATTAATTTGGTCTTAGATCTCATCATGGTTGCTGATCGGTTCTAGACCTGATCCAAAGGTTCGCCCTTGCAAGTATCTCGCCGACAGGGCCCTTCGAGAAACCCTTTGGCACCCGCACGGGATCATATACTACAGGGCATTGCTCATCGCCATCCCCAAGTCCAAAGGTCATGACCACCTCCTCAGTTACATCTCCGTGGACCTTCACCGGAAATGGTCAAAGTCTTTCACAGTCAACCTCTGAACCACTCACTCGGAAACTCCAGGCTATCCGCGATCTGATAGAAGTCATATACTTGTGCTCCAACGACCTGGTCCATAGGTACGCTTATGACGTGAATCGGCTGTCGTTTTTTTTCGTCAATCTCGTTCAGGCCTCTGGAACACTTTCGGCATCTAGCACCACTTCTCACTTTCGTGACATCCTCGAAGCTTCATGGAGAAATCTCATGGCCACATTCGTCTGGCTAACGAATATTCAACAAGAACATTTCGACTATTTTCTGAATTTTCTCGACTTTGGAATTCAACATTGCTGGCTAGACAAACACAACGACTTGTTCTGGACATGCCTTGAATGCACAAGCAAAATTGGCAGAACTGATCTGGTCCAAAAATTGGGTGCCCTTTATGAGAATGGCTGGTGGTTCAATGCAAGCACAAGATTATTCCTCTCTATTTCTGCAGCTCTCCAAAACAACCATGTCGAATGTGCAAAGGTCCTGATCGCCTCGACCGCCCCGAAAGACCTTACTAATCTTGGAAGAGAGCTCGGATTCTCAATACAATTTCTTGACGCCGACAATGATCAACACATGGATTTCTTTGACGCGATATTGGACAAAATTGACGTTTTCATCGAATTTGGTTCGCTACCTCGATCTAACCCGCATATAACAGGCTACAGCTACCATCGGTTTGGCCATATTATTTTAACCCCTTTCTATAAGCGCTGGCCACTTTCACTACTGGACTATTGTTACTACTTTGTCGACGTTCGGATTTATCAGAAAATGGCTCTGCATGTGAAATCACCAGAGTCGCAGATCACCAGAGCAGGATTCTGGGCTGCCCTTAGGTGTCCTGAAACCGTCAGAGATTATCTGATAACGCAGAGTGCGGTCTCTCCGTCTGACATGCCACAATGGCTGGAGCTGCTTCTGCTGGAGTCCTTGGTACTCAATTATCCCAGATTTTATCGAGGTAGCTTCAGAAGGAGGAGGAAGATTGACTACGCTCCTATCGAGACGCTGATCGACCTTGTTAATGACATTCATTTGTCTTCCTTGTTTGGCCAGGGCAGGTCGGTACTACTCGAGCTTGCGATCGGGAAAGTCGCAGCATACGGTCCCTGTATGGCAAACTTCAAAATCATAAGTCTTCTCCTACGAAAGGGGGCAGCGATCACACCTGCTATTCTGGCCCGGGCCGTTCAGAAGCGTGGAACCAGCCTCTTAAAGTTCCTCATCCCGAGGGTGAAAGATCTTCCGAGGCAAGGCCCTCTCGCTCTCTCCAGAGCCGCTCGCTTGAGAAATCTCGCCGCGGTAGAGCTCCTAATATCCGCTGGAGTTGATCCAAACGGATTTGTGGACCGGCGTCATCAGATCACAGTGCTTGCCCACTCTGTCTTCTCAGAGTCGCCACCTGTAAAGGTCCGTAAGCAGAACGTTCTCGAAACAATGGAGACGATGCAAATACTCATCGATCACGGCGCCAAATTGAGATGCTATGACTTCTTGCGAATGGCACTGTATCGACTAGCAGATGCCTCGTACGAGCCACTCTGGCGATACGTCATCGACCAACTAGATGACTTGCCCGACCCGACTCAGCCTTCGGAGTTTCTCCTCGATACCTGTGCGTGGTCCGAACTCCCGCTGTCAATGAACTATTACGAGAAAAACCGGCGCATAAGGCTTGGATTGTTTCGGCACCTCTTTGGAAAGGGAGCCAAGATCAGACCTGGCTCGCCACTTGTTGCTTGCATTCTCTTGAAAGGTGGGATCAACTTGGCTGAGGACTTGTTGCAGGCAGGAGCAGAGGTCGATGCGTACACTACTTATCCATCGATCGAATTTCTTGCAAAAGGTGGGAACCTGACTCCGCTGCAAGCTGCCTCGATGTTGGCTGATGAGGAGATGGTGACATGGCTCCTGCAGAAAGGCGCCAACCCGAGCTCGCCCGCTCGTGGCTTTCGTGGGAGAACAGCACTTCAGGCTATCTGCGACTTTGATGCCGTAACGCCTGAGGGAAATGAACGCAAGATGAGGGTTATTGATAGTCTTCTGGACAGCACGGACAACCCCCGCGAAATGGTTAATGCAGCTCCTGCCCCGTCATGCGGGTTCACGGCCCTGCAGATCGCGGCGCACCGCGGCGACCTGAACGTCGCCGTCCTCCTGCTGAGTCTTGGGGCCGATGTCAACGCACCTGCATGCGAGAAACGGGGACACACGGCTTTGGATGGAGCAGCTTATTTCGGAAGGCTCGATATGGTGAAACTCCTTCTCAATTCCAACGCGCTGAGTGCCTACCGTGGAACGACCGGATATGATGGTGCTGTTCGAGCAGCTGAGCGAGAAGGGCACCGCGTTATCGCAAATCTGATACTGGAGCATTACAAGAACAATCTGAGACTGGGCATACCCAACCCATTCTTGACACAATCAGATCGTGATTACCGTGAGTACCATTATACCGAGTCAGACATGGATGAAGAAGCTGGGGCTGTTGGGAGCTTTCAAGAGGCCTTGGCATTCTTAAAAAAGAAGGTCGCCATATGGGACCCCATTGGCGATCAGGTCACAGACGAGCATTTGGAAGCAGGCAGTGATAATGCGATTGGTGAGGATTTTGACAAGACGTTCGACGATGATTCTATTGAGCGGTTATATGAAAGTTTCTGCCAGGACATCTTGGTGGACGAAGAAGTTGAAGACCCCGGAGAGGATACGAACGAGGAAGATGAAGACTCCGCAGAGGATACGATCGAGGAAGATGATGATGTGTCACGTCAACTCCCAGGCTTCCATTTCGGACGAAGGCTACCTTGGTGTTGAGATTTCGGCTTTGATAGACGATGTTATGTTGTGAAACCACGAGGGCGAAGTTAGTGTATCGTTAGGACTCTGAGACCGCAGACAGCAGTGCTGAGTCTGCCGCATAATCTGTTGGGTCGCTTGGCTTTGATACTGTTGAAGGACACGAAATTCGTTTGCGGATGGCAGTCACCCTTGTGCGGGAAACGTCTCTACATTCACGCTCTCATGTTGCTTAAGCATACATTCGCGCGCCCTTTCCAAATCCTCTGATTCAGCAGAGATACAACTGAATAGATCTCCCCATTCGAAGGAAGTGCGCCCTCAAGTGTATCGTAACTTTGTGACGTTGGACGTTATAGAACCTCTCGTGAGGAATGAGGTTACGGCGCTCTGCAGGGATCTCCCAGCGTCTACCCCGGCCCAAGCCGTCTTGGCAGAGCCCCTCGCCTGCCGCCGTCCCGCCTGAAAATTGACATTCGGCTAACGCCGCCCAACTTCATACGTCTTGCTTTCTTGCCGCGAGAGCTTTCTGACGCACCTTTCTGTCCATGTCGCCGCATCGCCAACCGCCAAGATGTTGTATGAGATGATTGGGATAGTGAGTATAGCCCGCGCACCATATATGGGAATACCGAAAAGAGAGAAAGGCAAACAAGAGGAAGAGACGACGTACTAACGGCGTGGCTATGACAGGTACGACCCGGCAATCTCGTCGAGGTAAAAGAGTACGCCTCCCCCATCCTCTCCACGAACGCCCTCTCCTCACCCTGCAGCCGAAGAAACCGACAGACTCGCTGACATTGTGTGTGTGTGTGACAGAATCGTCACGGTGGCCGGCCAGCTCGTTCTCAAGCAGGGCGGCGTGATCCGCTCCATCAACAACTGGGGCGTCTTCACGCTGCCGCGCGCCATCTCCAAGAACCAGGCGCTCCACCACAACGGACACTACTTTGTGATGCGGTACGATGCGAGCACCAAGACGCAGCAGGAAGTGTGTGACGCACTGAGGCTGGACCCGCGCATGATCCGTTCGACGAGCGTGAAGCTGGGCGATGGGAAGCTGGATACGATGTCGAGGTTTGGCCAGATCGACTGGCTGACTAGCTCCTGAGATGGCGAAGGAGGGGGAAAATACAGAGAGCAGAGGACATAGGGCATGGCCCTAAACGGTGTTACAGAGGGAACGGAGTACGGAGGGGGGATCATACCAAAAAAGAGAGCAGGACGGCCGCGAGACATTGCGCCGGGCCAGGGAGGAGAATGATCCTGCAATTTTACGTGGTGCATTTGCTTCACTACAGGCACCAGCAGCAGCCACAAAGATATCGGACAAGACTCTTAGGCGCACTGAGAAAGGCGAGGGCCATGTTGGAACATGTGAGCCCGGTGACCAGAAATCTGGGAAGATAGGTTGCGTAAGATGGGCAATTAGGAGTCCCAGCATAGAGATCACCTGAATAACAACAGGCCATAGCATCGAGAACTGGTTCGAACCGGATGAGAAAATCACTTGAGTTGGCATTTGCGCAGTAGCCTCTGTAGGGATTTCCCTCAGATATGGTGTCTTGGCCGTGCATTGACCCCAGGATGGTAGTATGTTAGTCCTATAGAGCTGGAGCGCCATATGGCTTTTGGGCTTGTCACGGAACATCACATCGCACTACGCCATTCGAATGGGGGTTGTATTTGCATACTGGGTATGTACTGTTCATACTCTGCTGAATGTTCACTCTGGTTATGAATAGCACAGCAAACCTCTTCACACCTTGAGACACTCAATTGGCAATGATACCTTCAATGGAACTACTGCTTGGGGTGAATGCACACTTGCTAAGATTTTGAAAGAGCCGACAACATTGCCGGTGTGACCCACAGCCATGGTACTCTGTGTAGCATTGGTGTGCGTGGTCCCATCTGGAGTCTTAAAGCACTCGGGTTTATTGTGCTTTTTCGGCTTGATGGTGAGATGGCGCAACCTATCCTTGTCCTCCATCTTCTGGCCTGGACTTTTTCTCCTGGAGTGGTCACTGGATATCGCCATTGCATGGGAGCGTGCAGGCAGAGAATGTGTTGTATTTATGCTTCATACATGAGTGAGCTGGGCTGAGTGTGGCTGGCAGAGACGCATGAATCCGTTCTTGGGATTTTGCTTCTCCCACCTATAGTATGGTTCATATTGCAGAGGATCAACCAATTTATGTAGTGTTCCACAAGCTCACTGTATTATCGCGGCTTGCTTGTGTGCAAGCACTAGCAGCAGCCCCTTGCCCAGCCGAGACCCTGGTCTTAATTCACCCCACCTTTGGACTGCTAGATTGACCCCACTAGAGGAGCAGTCATGGTCGTCGCTGTGCTTGGCCCTTCTTCGTCCCTTGGGCATCAGCCCTGTCGTCACTTTCTTCTGCTCCATCTAGCACTCCCCCTCCCCTTCCCCCTCCCGCCCTCTCCGTTTATACTGTCTTACTGTTCTACCATTTGAGATATCTCCCTCTCCATAAAATAAGGTCAGCTCTAATTATACCCTGCCCCGGATCTGTCTACCCTGCCTGCACCTGCTGTAGGTAATCTCCACGCGGGATCGTGCACCGCGATATTCGGGCCGACCTCGAGCAGAATCATACTGTAACCTCTCTTCCCTTGTGTTCCTCGGCTTCGGAGCCAACATGCCTCCCCTCACCACCATCCAGAAGGCCATGGTGCAGAGGTTCATGTCTGCCACTGGAGCCAATGAGAAGACAGCCCAGAGGGTAGGTTTCTCTCTTCTCCTGTTTGCATTGTTGCAACCGTACCCTCTCGTCTCCATGGCATGGTGCTGTCCCCTCGACGTCTGCATATCTAATCAGACCTTGTGCGCCTGCTTTCCGGGACCTGTATCTAACATCTCCCCCCACAAACAGTTTCTCAGAAACGCCAACTACAGGTTGGATATTGCGGCAGATACGTAAGTGTATCTTGTTGGCCACCCTCGACCTCTAAAAAAAAACACCATACTCGCCCTGCCTCTCTGCCCTCTTCGTGTCGTGCCGGACTCTGCCGAAGCAGCATCTCGAGCTTCCTGGACCTTCCCCTGCCTGCCTGCCTGCCTGCCTGCCTGCCTATCTGTATTTCTATCGAACTATCGTATCGAACGGAAGGAAGTTGGGACGACAGCCTAAACATCCAGAAATAAACTGTGGTGGTGGGTTACAACAACAGCAGTAGCAGCAGCAACAATCAGAAAGTACAAAGGACCATAAGGCTGAAGTGGGCGTTTGTATTAAGGATATAGGAAGTGTTGTGTTGTGCTGCTGGTGCGCCTGGGTTGGACTCTCAACAAAACTTGGGCTGCGACCGCAAAGTAGTTGCTGGGGGAGAGGGGCCAGGGCCAAGCTGCACCTGCCAGGCCAACGACTTCCCAACTCTCTCCTCCCAAAGGTCATCTACCACCAGTGCTCCTGCAGCCATGCTCAAGAAGCTAGTCCACAAGCTGAAGAGAGGGGCCAAGTCCAACTCGGGTCAACCTGCCAACACCCCGAGTGCTTCCCAATCCGAATCACACACCCCGTCAGTGCCCTTATCATCACCATTTACCTCCTCTCCAGCCCAAGCAATGGCCAGGCAAAAGAGGAGACGTGACGATCAAGGCGGTCGTGACACCTCTCGGTATGAGAAAGACTGGATTGCCAAAACACCACAACCCGTAACACCCCCACCACCCACGCGAGTCCCGCTACCGTTCTCCAGGAAGCTCGTATCCAGGATGCTGAACCTCCCTCTCCGTCCGAAGCAAGATACACCGTTACGAGGCCTTCTTTTGTCTTTTCTTTTCATTTGAGCATCACCCACTGACTATGGTTGCGTATAGGTATCTGAGCTCTGGAAGCGTCGACAATACTCGTGTCTCTGCCATCGAGAAGGCCTACGACGATCTTGTTGACCCGGCCCGTGGCGATACTCGCGATGTCCTGTCCACTGAGACCACTCTCGAGTACCTGCAGCAGAACCTCGGCGTTGATGTCGAGAACGCCGAGATGTTCGTCGCCATGGAGTTGGTCCAGGCCCCCGCCATGGGCGAGATCACCCGCCAGGGCTTTGTCGACGGCTGGAAGGCCACCGACCTGACCACCTTCACCAAGACCTCCCAAAAGAAGTACGTCCGTGACCTCGTCGCCAGGCTGTCCTCCGACCGACTCTACTTCCGCAAAGTCTACCGTCACGCCTTCATAGCCGGCAAGGAGGCCTCGCAGAAATCCCTGGCACTCGATTATGCAAAAATCTACTGGGGCATCCTCTTCTCGCCACCGGGCCGGCCCTGGAAGTCTGCCTCTCGCGACTGGTCTGCGCTCTGGGCCGAGTTCATCGAGGACAAGTTTACGCACTCCGTCAGCAAGGACATGTGGAACATGACCCTCGAGTTCGCTAATAAGACCATGGAGGACGAGGCCCTTTTGTTCTACAACCCAGAAGACTCCTGGCCTGGTGTCATTGATGATTTCGTCGCCTGGTACCGCAAGAAGTACCCCCAGGAGGACAAGATGGACGAGGACTAGCCATTCCGCCGGTTCGGGGAATCGCACGGTTTGGTATGCCTAATGTGGAAGAGACATGAGAGTCAGGCAGTGCAGTCTGAGTGTTGGAGGAACTGGGGTGAGGGCTTTCGGAGATGGGATCTTCAGAGGGCCCTTGAAGGAAATCACTGGTGGAGAAAGTCGAGATGAGCAGTCAGGGAAGGGCCAACCACCTGTGCTTCAGCGATGGCGCAATAAGGATATTTAGAAAGGCTGCCAGTTTCTCGAACACTCGTGGATCTTTGTCGTTGTCTCCCGTCACTTGTCCTTTTAAAAAAAGGGAAAGAGCAGTACCCAAGGACGATGACTGAATGCACAATGGCCATGCATGCCACTCATTTCAGAAAGTGGCTTTGTTTGACCTCTTTGGTATGCCACACCTCGTTATGTTCAGTGACCACTGTCTGTAACAAGTCAGAGTTCATTCCACATTACTTGAGTATCTAAGTCATTGCTCAGCGACAGCTCAACACTGTCATGTGGCAACCTCGATGCTGCTCTATGTTGCCGAGGGAGAGGCTGTGAGGATGCAGCGATGATGGTTAAATTCAACGAGAAAAGGAGAAAAATAAATGTTATTCGATGAGAGATGTGGTAATTGGGTTGGGGGTATACACAAAATGAACTCTGGGATCGCAACTTTCGCTCCACCCTCGCCTTGACACAACGATGAGGGCTTCAATGACCCTCCTTCTTCTTTTCCTGGCCCCTCCCCCAAACAACAAGCTGCCGGTATGAGCAATCAGGGTATAGTCACATGCACCCCATGGAAAAATACAGACTGAAGAAAAGAAAAGGCAAACTTAAACACTGCGGCAGGGGTTCTTTATCCAATCAATCTTGATACAATCGCAGCCGTCGTCTATTCGTCTTGCTTTGCCCTGCCTGTACCTGCCCAAAAGGGCCACCAGTGATTATCTATAGTTTGGTGAACGCAATGTGTTATCTCATGGCACCACACACGCTTACACATCGCCCGTCTCACCATAGACACCAAGAGGCAACGAGTGCCTTAGTCGCCCAGGGGCATGCCCTCGAGCTCGTCCATGAGCCGGCGCCAGTTGTCCGCCAGCATCTCCGAGTACTTGACGCGCTCCTGCGCCCAGTCCTGGTTCCAGTGCGAGACGTGGTACTGCGTCGACTGGAAGATGATGAGCTCGTCGCGGATGCACTCCTTGACGAAGACGGAGCGGTTGTGCTGGTTGACGATCGACTCTTTGTCCTACCGTGACGCCCAAGTCAGTACTCAACTTGCGTAATGGGACTTCGAGCAATAGGGTGATAGGAAGGCATTGAAGGATTTGACGTACCTTGATGATGGCCTCCACGACCTTCTCGATCTCTCCCGGCTTGACCATCCCCTCGGGCTTGCCTCTGAGATTCGCCAACTTGGTCTCATTGCTCTGAATCCGCTTTTCCAGATAGGGGATGTTGTCCCGATCCAGCCGCTCCCGGCGGTCAAAAAGATCGCGCAGACTCACAAGCGCGTCACGCTGCCTCTTGAGATCCTCAAGCACGCCCTCATCCCAAGCACGCGCCTCGTCTTCCATCAGTGTCTGACTGGTGCGCAGGTGCTTGCTCATGGCGACCAGGCCATCATTGAGCAGCGGCACCTCATTCGTGTCGGTCGCGTATGTGTCTGCTGTGGTCTCTGTCAGAGAGGTCAAGCTCATGGCGATCCGTGCGTGGTCAGCGGCGACGCCCTCGTTGCGCTTGACAAGCCGGTCCATGACGCTGCACACATTAATGTAGAGCTCAGCACTGCGGCGCACACCGGCGCGGGTTTGAATAAACAGATCTTCGAGCTGAGGCGATAGAGAGTCCTCGAGTCCTGGTGGCAAGGCACGCCCTGCAAACTCATCCTGTACAGAGAGGTTGGCCTGCTTGCGCCAGACAGAGAGCTCGGTAGGCACTGTGAGGAACATAATGACCAGTTGCTCCTGACTCAGGATCGGATGGCGGACGAGGGCGTTCAAGAACCTGGCGAGGCCCCGGCGACGCTTCTCAATGAAGGCCCCGTCATTCGATAGGTGGTTACCATTGACTGGACGACGGAATCAGCATATAGAGACCCAGTGGGGCGAGTAGAGTGTGGACATACCGGCCACCCGTTTTGGCGGCAAGAGTGGCAATATCCTGAAAGGATACCTCTTGTGCAAGCAGTCCAACAGCCACACAAAGTCACTGTATCTTCTGATGACCTTGCTGCCCCTCCTGATACTAGCAACCTCATAATTGTGGTGCTGGAACATAAACATGCCCTCCTTCTCGGGCATCAACGACACGATGATATTCTCCTCGAGCGCACTCCCCGTCCTGCCACTGCCTATCGTTCTGCTCGTGGGGCCAGGCCGTGGCTCGCCGGGATCCCTACCGCCATTACTCCCTCCTGGCGGACCGAATGGACTGGCGCCCACATCAGGGTTGCCTACAGCACCGCCGAAGAACTCGCTTCCCCAAGCACCGCTAGGCGATTGAGCGGGGCCGAACGAGCTCTGCCGCGTCGGCTCAGGAGCTGAGTCATTGGCCGTGCTCGCGACAGCCGTTGTGAAGGTGGACGTCGTCCGTGAGGGTGGCGCGATAGGACTACCGCGGGCTCCATTGCCGTTACCATTGCCGTTGTTGTTGCCGTTGGTGTCTGCGATGTTGGTCTCGTCGGGCGGCGCTTCACCATTCACTGGTTTAGGAGGTCCGGCGCTATGTTTGTGGTTTTTATGGACATCTGGAGTGTTCCAGGGGTCATCTTGGTAATCCATCGAGGGCTTTCGAAAGGTCGTCGTGGGTGTCCTGGATGTCGAAGATGTGCTATCCTTGGCCGGTGGAGTTACGGGTCGCTGCGGCAGCTTCGCGCCGAGTTCGCTGGTTCCAGCAAAGACTTGTTCTGTGGAAGGCTGGTCTGTAATACCAGGAAGTCTGATCTGTGGCAGGTCTGTATCTCCAGATTTTAGGTACGGTCAGCTAACTGATCGATGAGTTTCTTTTGGTTTGTAAAAAGAGAGAGACAGGGGGAAAACAAGAAGAAAAAAGCGCCAAATAAACATAAAGCTCTCGTGTATAGAGAATTGGGCGTTGATAGTAGGGTGTGAGAGCAGGAAAACAAGAACATGGATCGACCTGAGTCCCGCCCCACAGCAGCTCTATTGGGCCTCGACAGGCGGATGGTGTCTCTAGACCATTTGCCAACACAGCGCCGAGGCTGATCCGCCTCCACTGCTGAGGTGGTTGCCGCTCTTGGGGGGAAGGGGGGGGGGGGTTCAGAGATAAGATAAAGGGCATGCATGTCCGTCCTCGATGGGCAGTGCGACTGCGGAACATGCGAGTGACTGCGCATGCAGGATATGGGATGGCATTGGCTTGGCTTGGCCGTATGCATAAGTTTGATGTAGAAGACACCAAGGACAGACTCACTTCTTCGTCTCTCGTCAACGCTGTCCAGGCTGACGGTCTCTCCCTCCTGGGCGAGCCCAACCAGCGCCAGCAGCACATTGAACTCGTTCCGGCCCAGCGCAACCTCGCCACCGGCTGGCGCGATGATGCTCATAATCTTGGCCTGCGCATCAGCGTCCAGTGCCGCAGCAGCCAGCACGCGCGACACGCCAGCAGACGAGACATTGGCGCCGCCACCGCCGTCCCGGACCACCGTGTCAAACGTCTCAATGTAGCTGTCGGGGGCGTCGGCGGCGGAGAGGAGGTTCCGGAGTAGGTCGGCCCGCGATTTCTGCTTGCGCGGGGTGGGCATGTCCCAGGGTGAGGCGTCGTCCTGGAAGAGGGAGTTTGAGGCAGACTGGGTCTGGGAGGCGGTCATGGAATCTTCCTCGTCAAAGAGCGAGGCCCGCGACCGGGCGAAGGATGAGTGCATCGACGGCGACTCGTCCGGCGGCGACGTGCCAAAGAGGGACATATTGCTCTTGCTCGAAGGAGGGATTCGCCTGAGCTTCTTGAACAGGGCAAGCCGATACGTGATTCGAGGAGTTATCTTCGAGGTGTTTCGACGGTCGTTCCTGTGGCTTTGAGTCGGGTGGAGTAGATAAAACGTAACCGATTCGGAGCGTGGGGAAGATGATGATGCGACCAAACACGGAGGCGAGGCAACAGCAATGGCGGTGCAAAAGTAAATGACACGTGCAAACGAACAAGACAGGGGATATCAAAAAGCTGACAAGTATGCAGAAAAAGGGTATTCAAGTGTCTCAAACGCAGAGGTAACCCTCGGAAAATAGTGTGTTGAGTAAGGGCTATGCTGAAGGAGTGTATTGTAAACCGAGCATGGCGTTGTGCGGTGACAGTGCAAGCTGCTGCTGCGGAGTGCTCCTGCAGCTCTGACCTACAACACATGCAGGGGGAAGCTTTGCGCTGCAAGCGGATCTCCCGTCCAATGGGAACCCCAAGCGCTAGCTAGGCCTAGGCGATCCAACGCACTATTGTCAGCGCAGGATGACCTGGCCTCGCGCTCGCCACTTCAACATCCCGCCCGAATAGAACTGTATACCCTCCTGCTTAGTATGGAGAATGAGTGACACAAAACTGTGCAAACATGGGTTGAAACAATTGCTTGTGATAGCTCTCGTAGCTTTAGCACGGCCACGTAAGGGTTATCAATCTTGGGAGGAGAGAAACAAGATGATACCCAGTCGAAGCTATATACCCAGCGTCTCACGCTGTGTTTGAACATTTACCAAGTTGGACATGTGCAAATCTTAGTGCATGCATATCTTGAAAATGTGCCCTGAAGTTATACAATTGACATGTCATTTGAGATGTACAACAGACCTCTTCATGTATAAATATATATCCTGATTTTACTGACTCTACCGAAGCTGGAATAGCTTCTTGTCGCTCTGCTCCACCTCCTTGACCTTTGCAACCTTCTTCTTGATCGTCTTGCTGGGCACCCGGAAGAACAAACTAGGCGACTCGCCTGGCTTCAGCTGGTGGCTCAGATATCCCCTGTGCGCCGGGTCACGATAGTACTCAATGTGCCAACGGCCCACAGGGTCAGGCAGCCGGTACAGGTACGGCCCCTGCCTTAGCTTCTCCAGCGCCGGCTCGACAAACTCCTTGCCCACGGGCAGCGGCTCGCTTGTGCTGACGCTCTTGCCACTTATCAGGTTCCGGATCGCCTCCTTGGTGTAATATCGTGTGACGATCTTGCCGCCGGCCGACTCAATCGCCTGAATTGCCTTGGCGGACGCCCGCGACACGATGATGTCGATCGGCTGCTTCATGATCGGGGTGCCTTCCGCCGGCTTGTCGTATCGCCCGTGCGCGAGTAGCTTGATTCCGTCCGGTATACGCCCGATCAGATTGCAAGCAATGAGCTCCTTGGGCGTGATTGGCTTGGTCGGGTCGATGCGGCCGGCGTCGATCCATGCTTGCAGGCGTGTGAGGTTGATGTGGGCGATGTTCTCCTTGCCGCTGTGTAAGGGGGCACACACACCAGAGGTCAGCAAGGTGGCTCTCCATGTGCACGCAGGGCATAGCAGATTGCTGGAAAACACAACGAGGAAAGGAGGGAGAGGAAAAAACCTACTGGTTCACGAAACCCATCCGTCCATGCTTGAAGATCAACGGTGTCTGTCCACCCTGGAACCAGGGCTTGACCTTTCCGTGTTGGCCCTGACCCTTGTGACCACGACCAGATGTTTTTCCATATCCGGACGACGCACCACGGCCTTTTCTGATCCTCTTGTTGTAAGCGCCCCGGTTGTCACGCAGGTCGCTCAGGATCGAGGCGTGTCGTGCTTGCGACAGCGTCTGCCGTGGTGGATTTTGTATGGACAGGGCGGCAAACAGAGACGCAAGGGGCGCCGTCGTCAGCCTTGGTCTCTCAATTGATGTTCTGCAGCATCTTATGATGTGCGACGTTGGTATCCTAGGCGGCATGGTCGATGGTGGGGTGGGTGGTTTTGGAAGTCGGCGGACTGAGGCTTGCTTGTTCGTCAGACGTTGGAGCTCATGAATTTTGAGCCTCTGAACCCGCGATTTGCCTGCCGCTAATTTTACAGTACGTATCTTATCGGAACCCGCCAAACCTTCCCACCCCCGGACCACGGACCACGGACCACGGAAAGTCAGCCCAAGTCGATAGACAATTTGTTTTCTGCGACAATATTTTATTTATCAACTTTGACACACGATGGATATCATGTAGGACGTAGTTACGGAGATCATCAATACCCTCGCTTGGAAAAGGCAACTTTCATTAGAATAATGTCGTCAATTTAACAATCTATACTCGTAGCTTCCAGTCACGAGAATTGCCTATTCCTTTTTTCACCTCCGAAGCAAGCAAGACCGGTCCCATGCCATTAAGCCGAGTAAAGAACAAATCCTCAAAAGCAGAACAGCGCAGCGCGTTCAGCCACGCACAGCAGCTCCGAGAGCACCGCCCGTGAACTGCGTACCACCAGTCTGCCGGGGTCCCGTGCCACCTGTTCTTGGTCCGCCGCGGCCACCCCTCGCACCACCACGACCTCCACGGCCGCCTCCTCTCGTCGACCTCTCGAAAGCATTCGATGAGCCTTGTGTCCGCTGTTCGAGAGTCCTCTCATTTGTCTCGATGAGGTTGCTGGCCTTGTCTGACAGGGCCATCGCGAGACTCTGCAGCCGGCTGAGCTCGACGCCCTTGCGGAAGATGACGGTCTTGGTGACCTGGTCGAGCGCTGCCGCCAGCTCCTCGTGGCTGATCATCTTGCTCACGATCGCCGAAGTCTTCCTTGGCTCGAGCTCAAACATGTTGCTCAGGGTCTCGATGGCCAGGGTGTCGTAGAAAGGTGCATATGTGAACAGATACGTCCGGAGACCCTCCTCCTGGATCTGCTTCGCGAGCATGGTCTTGATGTCATCCGTGTTCGGCATCAGCTCCCAGATCTTGATGGCGTGGATGAACTCGGTCGCCTTCTTCCACTCGCCGGCAGCCAGGGCCTTGGACGCCTGCATGACGTGATCTCTCGTATTCTCAGGAGGCCCGGTAAAGATCTGTCGCTCGTGGTACTCCAACATGCGGCGGTATGTCTTGCTAATGACTCGCTTCTTGATGTCGGGAGACGAGCCAATGTGGGCCAGCAAAGGGATTTCCAGGAGCATGCTGCAGGTCAGGTACACACACTCCAGGAGCTCGAGGTTGATATGCATGTGGAAGGGCAGCTGTCGCTGTCTCTCAAGGCGCTCCTGCTCTGGCGAGACCTGGCTGTAGCGCTGGATCATGACACCCTGCGCGAGGAGCTCCTTTTGTCGGCCACTGCCACAGATCTCCTGGAGGGTGTTCTGGGCGTCATACACGAGGCCCTTGCGGAAAGCACAGAGACCAACCTGCACCAGTGTCCGATTGTACAATATCTGTGATGCGACGTTGAAGCTGGCGATGTTCTCCTGCAGGTGGGACATGAGCATCAGGTCACGAGCCTTGTAGTAATTGTCGTGAAGTGCGAGGAAGTAGATGTGGCACAGCATGGCACGGGCACGGTGGTAGCCCTCGCCGTTGGCGAAGAGGTAGTTGCTCAGGATGTTGACGAGCTCTGGGGTTTCGACACTGGTGGCACGAGGTGTAATAGCCGAGTCCACATCAGAAGGCACCGTCTTCCAGGAGTTCTCCTCCAGGGTTTTCACCACTTGGGAAGGCTGCGAAATGGTTAGAGCAAACTTCGCAAGTTATGAAGCAGACAGTACTGACCTTGAAATAGATGTGCTCCAGACGACGGCTGATGATGCGGTTGATGCTGTCCTGCTCAATCTCCAGGGTCTGGTCCTTTCGCAACATCTCGTAATAGAGTTGTGATTTGAAGACGAGGTTGTAAAGCGAGGTCTCGTCGGTCAGGCGTTCAATATACTCCGAAGTGTGAGGATCGATGTTTTGAAGAGACCGTGTCAGCTCATCATCAAGGCGCTCGATGTAAGAGACCACGCTTCCAGGGACCTTGATGTACTTCTGGCCCTCTTGCAGCGCTGGGGGTGAGTCATCATTCTCCCACTCCTCGGCGTTCTCAATGACGATATAGTCGCGGTGGTCGTTCAAGGTGCTCAGGAGGAGGCCGATTTCCTTCTCGGCCGCCTTCCATTGCTCCACAGGCATTGACGTGGTCGCACCGGAGCCAAGATCGAAACGGGTGGAGACAAGGGTGAGTAGGACGCGAATTCGTTGATAGGGCGTGTTCGATATCTCGTTCAGCTTCTCCATAACGCGGATTTGCTCCAGCCTGTCCGTGTTCTTCTTACCTCTGGACTCCATTATCGTCCGGAGGTGCTTGAAAATACTCTCTGGCGTGTATTGGAGAACCTTTCCGCCGCGTCCCACCTCGGTGAACTCGTCACCGCCAATATCGGCGGTGCTGTCGTCGAACGTGTCCCTGATGCGAACCTTCTTGGGCTTGACCTCTTCCTCCTCGGGCTCGGAATCAAACATGTACACATCTTTGTCCTCACGGTACTCCTCAATCTGAGGCTGGTATTCCTTGTTTGTCTTCTTGATCTTTTGCTTGACGGCGTTGAGACCCTGCGCGTTCAGCTTGTTCATCTTCTTGGTGCTGACTTTCTGCTTGGCGATCGTCTCGTTCATGAAGTCCTCAAGATCGGCAATACATTTGATATAAGCCTTGGGGGCCTTAGCAGCCACCCGCAGCTTCTCAGCCTGGCGGTTAAGCTTGTCGAACTCTGCAGCGAGTCAGCATCACGGGAGGGACGGCAGATCAAAGTGTCCATTTACTTACCGCTCGAGATGATGTTCCAGTCGTTGATCTTCTCGGCGTTGGTGATCAGGGTGATGGTAGCATCAAGCTCATCGTGTCGCTTGTCCTTGGCGGACTTGACCTTGGCGGTCTGCTCGGTGTCGCTTTCTTCGCTCTCAGACCAACCCTCCAAGAAACGCGAAGCACCCTGCTTCTTGCCTGCATCGCTGTCGCTGGAATCGGAGTCGGACTCATCCTCCTCCTCTTCCTCCTCAGACTCTTCCTCATCAGACTGCTCCTCCTGTTCTTCCTCCTCCTCTCCAGAGTACAGCTCCTCCTCGTCAGAGCTGCTCTCAGAGGAGCTGTCGTCGCCGCTGCGGAAGAATCGAGACATATTGACTTGTGGATTCGATTTGTTGAGATGGGTCAGCGATTCGTTGGATGTCGCGAGTCGGCCCTCAGGTCGAAATGCTCGCAAGTGGTGGCGGCTTTGTTGCGACTTTTGTGGTGTTGCAGTTGAAAGAAACGAGTGGACCGTTTGGAGGGGTCAACTTTTTCGGTCGGTCAGCTGTCTGTGGAGCAAATTTCGGCCAGCTGGCAGAGCCCGTCACCAGCTGTGAAAACCTGGCTTACGAAACGCCCGTTCCAACAGTCACTGTAGCGCCAAAAAAGACTTCGTAGAGAATATATCCTTATCCAGAGAGAACAAGATTATGTTTCTGCAACCAGAAGAGGCGAGGTGAGTCAGGACGTTTGATTGAAAAATTGGAAAGTCGCAGTGCAACACAGTCTGATGGCTACAAGAGTGCGAGTTGCCTCCCAAAACGAGCCACTAGCCTACCAGGGACCTACCTGGGCTGGCGTGTTAGCATCTGAGGCGTGATCGCCTTTCAAGCGTCGAAGCTGTATGTATCGCAAGGATACCTACCAATTTCAAAGCAGGACATCCTAAAGGAGCCTTCCGGTAGAGAAGTACCTTCTTCATCAATCCCTTGTAGTTTACTCATCTCATATCATAAAGGCGATATTGGGAATCGAATGTACTATCTTATTGAGCATACCTGTTGTACACTTTTTCTTCTTTTTTTCTTCCCCCCCCCCCCCCGTTTACTTGTAACTTGGTACTGACTAGGCCCTAGGCTCCGACATGATGAGTGGGGCGAATCCAGAGCAAAAATGCTAGACTCAGAATAGATTAGCGTCATCGCGTAAAATCAGAGGTCACCATCATCAAGCAACGTTCGCTGCCAAATGTGAAGGCGAATTCATCAGAGACCATCCTTTCTCATCCAGCACATCTTTCAGGTCTTGTCTGAAAACCTGCTGATGACATCAACATCCATCGAGTAGCTGTATGCAACACACGAATACCGACACATACTTTCAAGTACTGCAGCTAAACTTCGCGCATAGGTGAAACTGCCCGCTCCCGCTGTTGGCGACCTGCGGGCATTGCGCGAACAGATCAGGTCCCTCGGGGCGATTGACGGCGCCGCATCATTCGATAACAAGATCACGTCGCCATGTCTGGGCTTCCACCACCACCGCCTCCGGGCTGGGGCCCCCCTCCACCACCTCCAGACTCTGCGCAGCCTCCTCCGCCCTCGCAGCTGCCTCCACCGCCTGGCGCGCCACCTCCCCCTCCTCCCCCAGGGTTTCGACCGCCGGCAGACCCGCAGTTGGCCAAGTTCGAGCAGAAGAAGAAGGAATGGCTTCGTATGCAGCGAGCACGGTTCGGCGAGAAGCGCAAGGGCGGATTTGTCGAGACTCAGAAAGCTGACATGCCGCCCGAACATCTGCGCAAGATTGTTAAGGACATCGGCGATGTGTCGCAGAAGAAGTACACAGTCGACAAACGAAGCTACTTGGGTGCCTTGAAATTCATGCCTCACGCGGTCATGAAGCTGTTGGAGAATATGCCGATGCCGTGGGAATCAGCTCGAGAGGTTAAGGTTCTATACCACGTCAACGGGTGTCTGACGCTGGTCAACGAAATACCTCGCGTCATCGAACCAGTCTTCCAGGCACAATGGGGTAGTATGTGGACAATCATGCGAAAGGAGAAGAGCGACCGACGGCTGTTCAAGCGGATGCGGTTCCCCCCATTCGACGATGAGGAGCCGCCACTGTCATGGTCCGAGAACTTGGAAGACGTCGAGCCTCTAGAGCCTGTGCAGATGGAGCTTGACGACGAGGACGATGAGGCCATCTACGAATGGTTCTATGACCACCGGCCACTTCTCGACACATCTCATGTGAACGGGCCGAGTTACAAGACATGGAATCTCACCCTTCCGCAGATGGCCAATCTGTATCGGCTCAGTCGACCATTGGTTTCTGATGTCTACGACAAGAATTACTTCTATCTCTTTGACCTGAAGGGCTTTTTGACTGCGAAAGCCCTCAATGTTGCCCTTCCAGGCGGCCCTCGCTTCGAGCCGTTGTACAAGGATATCGATCCCAATGATGAGGACTTCGGCGAGTTCAACGCTATCGACCGGATTATTTTCAGAAATCCGGTCAGAACGGAGTACAGGGTGGCCTTCCCCTTCTTGTATAACTCTCTGCCTCGGAGCGTTCATCTGTCGTGGCATTCTTACCCTCAGGTTGTCTACAACCGGAGTGAAGATCCCAGCTTGCCTGCTTTCTACTTCGACAAGGGGCTGAACCCAATCTCGTTGCGAGACGTGGCTCCCAAAAATCTCACGATCAGCCACGAGGACGAGCTCTTTGGCAAAGACAGCATAGAGGAGCCGGAGGAGGAGGCTTTTGTGTTGCCAGCAGGCGTCGAACCATTCTTGGCTGATCAGGAGCTCTACACCGATGAGACTGCTTCTGCGATTGAGCTTTGGTGGGCGCCTTTTCCTTTCGATCGCCGTTCCGGTCGCATGGTGCGTGCTCAGGATGTGCCACTCATCAAGCAGTGGTATCTTGAGCACTGTCCTCCAAAGCAACCCGTCAAGGTCCGCGTCTCGTACCAGAAGATGCTCAAGTCTTATGTCTTGAATGAACTGCACAAAAAGAAGCCAAAGTCGCTCCAGAGGCAGAATTTGCTTCGGACGTTGAAGGCCACCAAATTCTTCCAGCAGACGACGATTGATTGGGTTGAAGCTGGTCTGCAGGTTTGCCGACAGGGCTTCAACATGCTCAACCTCCTCATACACCGCAAGAACCTCACATATCTCCATCTCGACTACAACTTCAATCTGAAACCCGTCAAAACACTCACGACCAAGGAACGGAAGAAGTCTCGCTTTGGCAACGCTTTCCACCTCATGCGCGAAATCCTGCGTCTCACCAAGCTCATCGTTGATGCTCAAGTACAATACCGACTGGGCAACATTGACGCCTTCCAGCTTGCAGATGGCATTCTCTACGCATTCAATCACGTCGGCCAACTTACCGGTATGTATCGGTACAAGTACAAGTTGATGCACCAGATTCGCACATGCAAAGACTTGAAGCATTTGATCTACTACCGGTTCAACGCTGGTCCTGTAGGCAAGGGACCTGGTTGTGGTTTCTGGGCACCGGCTTGGAGAGTCTGGCTATTTTTCATGCGCGGCATCATACCTCTTCTCGAGCGCTGGCTGGGCAACCTGCTCTCACGTCAGTTCGAAGGCCGTCACTCCAAGGGTGTCGCAAAGACGGTGACGAAGCAGCGCGTTGAGTCTCATTTCGACTTGGAGCTCCGCGCGTCCGTCATGGCGGACCTGATGGATATGATGCCGGAAGGCATCAAGCAGAACAAAGTGAATACTGTGCTGCAGCATCTTTCGGAGGCATGGAGATGCTGGAAGAGCAACATTCCATGGAAGGTACCCGGCCTGCCAGCGGCTATCGAGAATATCATTCTCCGATACGTCAAGGCGAAGGCTGATTGGTGGATTTCCGTCGCGCACTACAATCGTGAGAGGATTAGGAGAGGCGCCACTGTGGACAAGACTGTTGCTAAAAAGAATGTCGGACGTCTCACGCGTCTTTGGCTAAAGGCCGAGCAAGAACGCCAGCACAACCACATGAAGGATGGTCCGTACGTGTCATCCGAAGAGGCTGTCGCTATCTACACCACAATGGTCCACTGGTTGGAGTCTCGGAAATTCTCGCCCATTCCTTTCCCCAGTGTTTCCTACAAGCATGATACAAAAATCTTGATCCTGGCTCTAGAGCGGTTGAGGGAAGCATACTCGACCAAGGGCCGGCTCAATCAGAGTCAGCGAGAAGAACTAGCCCTCATCGAGCAGGCTTATGACAGTCCCGGCACCACCCTGGAACGCATCAAGCGGTTCCTTCTCACACAGCGTGCTTTCAAGGAGGTCGGTATCGACATGAACGACAATTACAGTACCATCAACCCGGTTTACGATATCGAGCCAATCGAGAAGATCAGCGATGCGTACCTGGATCAGTATCTGTGGTATCAGGCTGATCAGAGGCATCTGTTCCCAGCTTGGATCAAACCGTCAGACTCTGAGGTCCCGCCGCTGCTTGTCTACAAGTGGGCGCAGGGCATCAACAACCTGGAGAATGTCTGGGTTACTGAGGATGGCGAATGCAATGTCATGATTGAGACTGAGCTGTCTAAAGTCTACGAGAAGATCGAGTTGACACTACTCAACTCGCTCCTCAGGTTGATCATGGACCACAACTTGGCCGACTACATCACTGCCAAGAACAACGTGACGCTCACTTACAAGGACATGAATCATGTCAACAGCTACGGTATGATCCGTGGCCTGCAGTTCTCAGCGTTTGTGTTCCAGTATTATGGACTTGTCCTCGATCTTTTGCTCCTGGGTCCCCAGCGTGCTACGGAGATCGCCGGACCCCCACAAAGCCCGAACGACTTCCTCCAATTCAGAGATCGTGAGACCGAGTCCAAGCACCCCATTCGTCTTTACACTCGTTATATCGACAAGATTTGGATGTTCCTCAGGTTCTCGGCTGAAGAGTCCAGAGATCTGATCCAGAGATTCTTGACTGAACAGCCCGATCCCAACTTTGAGAACGTCATCGGGTATAAGAGCAAAAAGTGCTGGCCCAGAGACTCTCGCATGAGGTTGATGCGACATGATGTCAATCTCGGTCGGGCCGTTTTCTGGGATCTCAAGAACCGTTTGCCGCGTTCTATCACCACCATCGAATGGGACGACACGTTCGTCAGTGTCTACAGTCGGGACAACCCTAACCTCCTGTTCTCAATGTGCGGGTTCGAGGTTCGGATCTTGCCCAAGATTCGCAATCAGAACGAGGAGTTCCCAGTCAAGGACAGCGTCTGGTCGTTGGTTGATAACACCTCCAAGGAGAGGACCGCGCACGCTTTCTTGCAGGTGACGGAGGAGGACGTTCAGAAGTTCAACAACCGCATCCGGCAGATCCTCATGTCATCTGGCTCGACAACTTTCACCAAGATCGCCAATAAGTGGAATACTGCCTTGATTGCTCTCTTCACTTATTACCGCGAGGCAGCCGTCTCGACCGTCAATCTGCTCGATACCATCGTCAAGTGCGAGACCAAGATTCAGACCCGCGTGAAGATAGGACTCAACTCCAAGATGCCCTCACGATTTCCCCCGGCTGTGTTCTATACGCCCAAGGAACTAGGTGGTCTCGGTATGATCTCAGGATCTCACATCTTGATTCCAGCAAGCGATAAGCGCTGGTCCAAGCAGACAGATACCGGGGTCACCCACTACCGCGCTGGCATGTCACACGACGAGGAAACCCTGATTCCCAACATCTTCAGATACATCATCCCGTGGGAGTCCGAGTTCATTGATTCCCAGCGGGTCTGGACAGAGTACTCACAGAAGCGCCTCGAGGCCAACCAACAGAACCGCCGTCTGACGCTGGAGGATCTTGAGGATAGTTGGGACCGCGGTTTGCCGCGTATCAATACCCTGTTTCAGAAGGACCGGAGCACCCTGAGTTTCGACAAGGGATTCCGGGCTCGCGCCGAATTCAAGATCTACCAGCAGATGAAGAACAATCCTTTCTGGTGGACAAGCCAGCGGCACGATGGAAAGCTTTGGCAGTTGAACCAGTATAGAGGTGACACGATCCAGGCCTTGGGTGGTGTTGAGACAATTCTCGAACATACCCTCTTCAAGGCAACCGGCTTTCCATCCTGGGAGGGCCTCTTCTGGGAGAAAGTAAGTCATTCATCCATGCACTACTCGAGATCAGTTCGTTTCCGTACTCTTACTAACGTTTAAACTCGAAAAGGCCTCAGGTTTTGAAGGTATGTCGGTCCTATTCATGTCTTTATGCCCGCCGTGTCGGCCGGGGGGGGGGGGGGCGTTCTTGATATCTCACAATGCGGATTGAGCTACCACCCTCATCCCGATCTCGCTCATTTCCCAAACCCTTCCCTTAGGCCTCTCCAAGCCTCTCACCCTTTGACATACTCCACTTCCCAAACATTTCTTACTACAAGATGTGTCCTTCTGGCTACCCCCACCTTCCTTCCATGACCGTAAATGAATGATGGATATTTTTCTAACTGCTGTGTCCAGAATCCATGAAGTTCAAGAAGTTGACGAATGCCCAACGATCTGGTCTGAACCAGATTCCCAACCGTCGCTTTACCCTCTGGTGGTCACCAACTATCAACAGGTAAAGCATATCTCATGTTCCCTCCTTCCAATGACATTTCACTGACTTCAAGTCCAGAGCGAACGTTTATGTGGGCTTCCAAGTGCAGCTGGATCTGACGGGCATTTTCTTGCATGGCAAGATTCCGACACTCAAGATCTCCCTCATTCAGATTTTCCGGGCTCATTTATGGCAAAAATGCCATGAAAGCGTGACGTAAGCATAAGTGTGGTTCTCAGAGGAAGGGTCAATTACTGACTGAGATTATAGAATGGATCTTTGCCAGGTGTTTGATCAGGAGCTTGAGTCACTCGGCATCGAGTCCGTGCAGAAGGAGACCATTCACCCTCGAAAGTCGTACAAGATGAACAGCTCATGCGCCGATATCCAACTTTTTGCAAGTCATAAGTGGAACGTTACTCGGCCCTCAATGTTGTTCGACACAAAAGATGTCATTGAGTCAACCACCACGAACAAGTTCTGGGTGGATGTCCAGTTGCGGTATGGTGACTACGACTCTCACGACATTGAGCGATATGTCCGTGCCAAGTATCTCGACTACACCACGGACAGCATGAGTCTCTATCCTTCGGCCACTGGTCTCATGATCGGCATCGACCTGGCATACAACCTGTATTCCGCTTATGGTCACTACTTCCCGGGTCTGAAGATTCTCGTGCAGCAGGCGATGGCCAAGATCATGAAGGCAAACCCTGCTTTGTACGTCCTGCGTGAGCGTATCCGGAAGGGTCTCCAGTTGTATGCTTCTGAGAGCAACCAGGAGTTTTTGAACTCCCAGAATTACTCCGAGTTGTTCAGCAACCAGACGCAACTGTTTATCGACGACACCAATGTCTACCGTGTTACCATTCACAAGACGTTTGAAGGCAACTTGACCACTAAACCCATCAACGGCGCCATCTTCATCTTCAACCCTAGAACCGGACAACTATTCCTGAAGATCATCCACACGAGCGTATGGGCCGGACAGAAACGTCTCGGACAATTGGCGAAATGGAAGACTGCCGAAGAAGTCGCTGCTCTCATTCGGTCTCTGCCGGTGGAAGAGCAGCCCAAACAGCTGATCGTTACGAGAAAGGGCCTGCTGGATCCCCTGGAAGTCAACTTGCTCGATTTCCCGAACATCTCTATCCGCGCTTCCGAGCTGCAGCTCCCCTTCCAGGCTGCTATGAAGGTCGAAAAGCTGGGTGATATGATTCTTAGGGCTACGGAACCGCAGATGGTGTTGTTCAACCTTTATGACGAATGGCTGAAGAGCATCTCCTCGTACACGGCCTTCTCACGGTTGATCCTCATTCTTCGGGCGCTGCATGTCAACATGGACAAGACGAAGCTGATCCTACGACCTGATAAGACAGTCATCACCCAAGAGCACCACATCTGGCCCACACTGTCAGACGAGGACTGGATTAAGATTGAGACCCAGCTGCGCGACCTGATCTTGAACGACTATGGAAAAAAGAACAACGTTAACGTCTCCAGCTTGACGAGCAGTGAAGTGCGGGATATCATCCTCGGTATGGAGATTTCTGCGCCGTCATTGCAGAGGCAGCAGGCCGCCGAAATTGAGAAGCAGCAGCAGGAGCAGCAGCAGCTCACTGCCGTGACGACCAAGACGCAGAATGTTCATGGAGAGGAGATCATCGTCACCACCACCTCGCAGTTTGAACAGCAGACGTTCGCGTCCAAGACGGAATGGCGCACACGAGCCATCGCAAGCTCCAACCTGCGCACCCGCTCGAACAACATCTACGTATCTCCTGTCGACAATGATTTGGATGACATCACCTATGTCATGCCGAACAACATTCTCAAGCGGTTCATCACGATTGCGGACCTTCGCGTCCAAGTAGCCGGCTACCTCTACGGAGCATCCCCTCCTGACAATGACCAGGTCAAGGAGATCAAGTGCATTGTCTTGGTTCCTCAGATCGGTGGGCTTCGGAATGTCCAGCTGCCTCAGCAGCTCCCCCAGCATGAGATGCTGAAGGGCATGGAGCCTCTGGGTCTCATTCACACCATGTCTGGCAACGAGCTTCCGTACATGTCCGCAGCAGACGTGACCGAGCATGCCAAGCTCCTCGACGCACACCCTGAGTGGGCGAGAGACAGGACGCTGACAGTTGCGGTGTCCTTCACGCCGGGCAGTGTCTCCTTGTCTGCATGGGCTCTCACACCTCAGGGCTACAAGTGGGGTGTTGACAATAGAGACCTGCAAAGTGACCAGCCTCAAGGTTTCACGACCAGTATGGGCGAGAAGCGCAAGCTGTTACTAAGTCCTCGGTACAGAGGGTTCTTCCTAGTGCCGGAGACGGGCCAGTGGAACTACAGCTTCATGGGCTCGGCCTTCTCCGGTCTAGAGAAGAAGTCTGTCCGTGTAAAGCTCGACACGCCTCAGCCGTTCTACAATGACGCACACCGACCCATCCACTTCCAGAGTTTCGCGGAGCTGGAGGACATCTGGGTGGACAGGAGTGACAATTTCGCATAGTTTTCTTTGGGGGAAACGAGGACGGATGGTAGAAAGAGGTGCGGCGGTGGGAACGACTGCGTAACATGACTATGGGATGAAGAAAAGACGGAATAAAATTCACTTGTTAATACACAACGTAAAACTGAGGCACGCAAAGGTTGGGAATTGATGGTGAGTGGTGGAGAAAGTGGCGTTCTCGGCATTATGGTACTCTGCGACATTTTGCTATTCTTCCAATATCAATCGAGATTGTACGATACTCAAAATAAAATAAGAACATGTCATGAGTATCTCCAGTCCTTGCACAGTCAAGAAACAATCCGGCTCAGGTTGCGAGGCATTACAGAGATCGGTCCCCGTTGTGTCTCGTAGGGCAAAAGCTGAAGTCATCGTCGCCTACGCCTCGAGCATACACAAACACACACATCTACACACCTCTTACTTTCAGCCCCGTTTGGCTAGCCCCAGCCTCCGTCCTGCACACGAAAGCTAGCGAGATGCAATGCACAACAAACATCTGTGCATTGCATTCGGTACTGTGCGCGAGGGAAGAGGGGGGGGGGAGGTGCCGCCGTTTCTGGTACCTGCATTGGCGTAGGTAGGACTTGCACTACAGGAGCAAGGCAGGATTTGTCCGTCCGTTCGTCCGTCCATAGGTTCGTCTTTCCTCTTACAAGGGCAAAGCCGGATGCTTCCGTTGTGTGTTACCTTGGGCGGTTGAGTTTGATCGCATCAGCGCAGGATACATGCGGACTGTGCCCTCTGGCGCCTCCCCCTCCCCTTTCTCCTTTCTTCCCTTTTCCCCTTCCTTTCCTCCTCTTCTTCCCTGCCATTCTTAGGATCTTTCTCTCTTCTTCTTCTTCTTGTTCGCCCCTTACTTCTCTTTGTCTCCGTAACACCGTCTGCCGCATAGGATCGCGACATTCCAAGGATACATATTACTTGCCCTGGACGCTATCAATGTGAGAAGAAACACATGCTGAGACCCAACCTTGAAGGGAGAGGGGGGGGTGGTGGGGATCATCGTAAAGTATGTTAGACTATTAGACCAAAGTGCTCGGCCTGGTATGTATCGTATTCGTGTGTGTGTTGTCAGTATTGTGTGAATATGCAAAGAAACACGGCATGACGAGGCGGGCGGGCGCAGAGTTGAGCCAGAGGGGGGAAGGGGGAGAAGAAAAAGGGGGGAGGGAGGAAAGGGGAAAAAGGGGAGGGGGAGAAAGCAAGTCAATAATCAATCAGGCCATTCATGGATTTCTAATTGAGGTGCAGTGGCTGATGTGGTTTCGTTTTCGTTTTTCCTCCATGTTCTTTTTTGTTTCTGTGAGTGTGTATGCGTGTCGAGTTGCCTTGGTGGGTTTTGCTTTGGTGGAGTGAGGATGAAGGGCGGGGGCGGGTGGTGGTACGGGCTTATTTTCTTCAGGCCGGGCCCTTTGCGAGATTGCTGATATTCATGCATCAATGCTTAGGGTATTACAGCGGGCGGTGGTTTCTTTTTTAGCGCTCTCGCTTCGGTGGCACTAATGGGGGTGACAGGCGTCGGTTAGGCCTTGGTCCCGCCCCAAGAGGGGAGGTCAGGGCAGGAGGAAGGACCCCCCTACGGCTCTACTAAGGTACTACGGTTTAGCCTTGTGGGGATTGTTTGCCCCTCTCCGTGATACCATACTTAGCACCGCTGTGGCAAGTGATAGCGGGTAGAAGTAACTAAGTACTACTGGTACTCCATAGCAAAATATGTACTATACGTCTGGCACATGTACCTCGTCCGGCTCGGCGGCGTCTATTCCGATTCCTTCCCCCTGGTAGTCAAATGTACGAAGACATAATGTAGGGCTATGCCTCTCTGTCCAAACAGGGGTTCGCATTGAAGAATGGAGGGAAAATAGCCGTGTCAGCTGAGATTGTAACTACCTAGTCGCATAGATGGGTATTTTGGAAGCACAGGAAGGAAATACTAAAAACAATGAGAAGAGGAGGAGGAGGAACAACCAAGGGCAATCCTAGGTGGGATGAACATCACTATCCAGTCGCAAGTGGAGGAGACGGGAGATGGGACAGGTTCAGACGACCATGTCCAAATCTAGTCGGGGGATCCCAAGGTCTTACTTGGAGGGTAAGGTAAGGTAGGGTGGGTGAAGTAACGATAGCACACGAAACGGGTATCCCTGATCTAGCCTCAACGGCTACGAGGCTGAGAAAGGCTGACCCGGGTCTGAGGGGATCATATTACTATGGCAGTTAATAATATGTAGTACCTGGCCCCAAGTGTTTGACTATTCTTATGTATTGTACTATAATGCACACATAATATGCATAGTAGGGCTGGAGGTCTGCTGCAACAAGTGGAGGCCAGTCGACTTAATGCAAGGGCAGTCGATAGTCCGTCCGGACTGTCGGGAAGAGAAGAAGAAGAGAAGAAAAAGAAGAAGAAACTACAACAAGAGTACATACCTATAGTAGCCCACCCGGCGCCAGGATAGAAATAAGATAAAACACGAAAGACAAACAGCCAACCAATCAGCGAGTAGGGGGTCCCAGGCTCACGGTTCAGCCTCGGGCTCAGCTCAGGCTGCATCACCTTCCCAATGGGGGGCCCGGGGAAACCTCATCTTGCTTACATCTTGCATAGATCTTGTCTGATTACATGGGCCTGCACGTAATTAAATTCCGTGGGATAGGTAATTTGTGTCCCACCCCGGGCCATGGGAGGCCGCCTATGTGCGAACTACCATAGGCTGTAGCCATGCGCGGGTGGGTGTGCAAGCCAAGCCTCTTAGAAGCTCGAATTTGGCCCAGAATGGGATATTTCGGCCATATCCTCGAAAAGGAAAAGAAAAGGAAAAGAAAAAGAAGGAGAAAGAAGAAGGGACCAAAAAAAGAAGGGTCTAGTGTAATGAGGACCGGGGGAAGTCCTCGTTACCCTTTAGAACATCTGCTCCCAGCCCGAGGTTCTGGTTCCAGAGGGGACCCTTGCCTGTGGTGCGGTGGCATCCCGCAGGGTGGCTGTTTTGGGGCCCCATGATTGGCAATGCAGGCAAAGGGGAAATTGGGAGTCAAGAAGATCCTCCTATGGCAGAAGCCTCGTCGAATTTTCTGGAAGAATGCATGGAAGCTCCTGTCGAGACATTCCGGAACGGGGGTCCTGCCACGTAACCGAGCAGGCGAAAGGCCGTAGATCTTGTTTTACTTGTCTCATCCTATGTCGACCTCGGGACCCAGGTCTTTAAGCATGTACCATAAGAGCGGCAAGATCACAAGGTATCATCATAAAAATAATAATGATAAATGATAATAATAAAGGGTACATCCTCTGAACAGATCTGTGAGTGAGGAAGAGACGAGAAACGCACTGGCAAGCATCCAAAAGCGTCTATCTCGACTACCGCTTTCGACCACCGCAGGCGAGAAGAAAAGAAGTTCCCATTCGGCAGGGAAAGGCCACACAGAAATAGAGTTTGCAAGGTTGCGTGTGGCCCATCAACCAGTGTCAAAACAAGAACGTTGAAGACCCTCAGGGCGGGGCCCAGACCTAGTTTTGACACCCGTCACTGTGGCCTTGGGGCTTTTTGTCTTCCTCACCGAGCCTGGGGGCCAGATTGCAAGAGACGCCAGCAGGGTCGTGTGGACTTGCGGATATACACAGGCTCACATGATCCCACCCCCCCCCCCCCTCTTCCCCAGCCAGCTGGTTCGTACTATGAGATTGGATCCGATCGAAATCGGAGTAGCTCTCCTGTCAAAAAACGAGATACAATAGCTCGTTGCGCTTAGATATCGTACCAGAAAAATCCAGAACGCCGCCGTTTACTAATAGCTATCAACAAATACGACGCCTCGGTGCCTGGGCACTCTTGCCATGGACGAGGATCCTCAGAAAGTTCACAAACTCACATCATATGGCAAGGACCCTCCCCTCAATTAGGAAGGCTAAACACTCGGTGTGGTAAATTTTTTTTCTTCTTTCTTCTTCTTTTTTGGTTTCAGTCCCTGTGTTTGATGCCCCTGAATCCGTGCTTAGAGGCCTGACTCGATAGTAGTTCTGGTGGCGAAAACACGAAAAAGAAACTTGTTGTGCCGTTGTATTTCAAAGCAGGGGGGAAAAATTGAAAACCCGATGCTATCACCAAATTGTGGTAGCTGTGGGTCAGGGTCGAGGGGCACCCCAAGGCCCAAAAGAGAAAAAAGAATTGAAAGAGAGGGAGCTGAGTATATCCTATGACGATATATCCTCACACCAAGATGGCAGGCAGATAGGGTACGTACTGTACGTAGCGAGTACTATAGTCACGTATGATGTACTGTACTGATATGGAAGTACTATGTACAGATGAGAAGTCCGTGCGCTGGTCTGTTAATACGTGTGGTTTCTGTCTTGGATAAAAATCAGCAGAGAAGGGAAAGAGAGGGTGAGTTTATTTTAGAAGCTGCGACTGGGGGGGAGCCTGGTAGAAACTGCCCACCCTTGTCATGCCCTGATGATCGAATTCCCCACCATCCACACAAGACACGCTCGGTTTTCGAATCCACCAACGGGCATGCCTATATTACATCTTCCTGCCAGGCATCAAGCGATCATTTTCTGTTTTAATATCGAGAACGAAGCATGTACGGGGTAGGCCGTCATACGACGCCCGCGACACTGGTAAAATTGGTGTCGTCCTCGTAAGCAAGGCGCGTCACCCACAACACTATCAGCGAACACGCCCAGATGATCGTCAGGTCACCCTGCTCGGCTATCCCACAGCGGGTCCTGCCTCCGGGGCCGCTTGCTGTACCTGCGCTATCTGTGTGTCGGTTATGAGCTTCGCTGGGAAGGGCTTCAGGCCCGGGGGCCCAGAAAGGCGGGCAGGATGATGACATGAGATCTCCAGACGCGGCATGCAGGTCCGTTCAAGAGCGTCGGGACGCATGGCCAGATGCAGAGATGTGGGGCGACGATCGCTCATGCAGAACCCTGGACCACACTGCGTTATACGACGATGCCATCGTCAAGTCAAGCACGCTGGGCCGTTTATTGCATCATGGAGGCTTCTCGTGTGCCTTTGACCGACCCGCCCATGCACCCACGAAAACGAGATACACACGCGCGTCGACCTGGGCCTGGCAGCGATTGCACTCGTAGCAGCCGATTGGATCAAGTTGGTTGCACCAATTGCTGTCGTGCTGCCTGCGTAGATCCACTCGAGGAGAAGGGATACCTCGCGACGGATGTCTCGGGACCCGTGTTGGGGTCTGTTCTGGACAGCTGGTGCGCTGGCAGCCCGGAACAGCTGGCCGAAATCCCATACAACTCTGCAGGACAACTTTTTTTGCGTCAAAGACAGACAAAAGACATAAAGCAATGGTGCACACTTTGCTCTCACTCACACACACAGTTCGCATGCACAGATTGAACATCTCGTCAACACTTGACGCCAGCAGCAATCCGCGAGAGAACGCTGTTACTGCCAGAAAGAAAGACAAATCCACAAACATCCATCCCAGAGCTTGCGCCCTACGTCGTCATCATAACCAGGACCCTTACTCATGTCATTCCCGCAAGGCGATAACCGTCCCTGCAGGATCTCGACGCGGGGCAGGAAACAACTCCCTGGCCTCCCCGGGACCGAAGGCCCAGTCATGGGCCTGCCGCCTTGTCCATGGACGGTCTGGGGGTGCGAAAATGCACACACACACACACACACACACACACACACACACAACCCATGTACTCAGCTCAGCTTACGCGTGTAAGAAGGCTAATGATTGTGGTCCCAACAGGCCGGTACGGGCTTGAAGGGCTGCAGAAGAGGAGGAGGGACTCTGGCTGATCGCCCAGGCGCCGGCTCCCGATAGAGGAGCCACTAGAAGCTCCTTCGACGCCTTCTAGAAGGTTAGACCCATCGCCAGCTAGGCCCGTTTGGGGGGTCGCATAATCGAGCTTTGATTGCCATGGCCCATAGAGCACCTTGCATTTTTATGCGCAGCCCCGGGAGACGGGGGCGGCTTCCAGGTCAGCTGTCGCCTGCATCACCAAGCAGTGACCAGAGCCTGCGCCACGCTCAAATCATTCGTTCGCGACAGCCATGCGGCACGTCTCACGGCTCAAGATACACCCACATTCATGTATGGTTGCTGGGGGGGGGAGAGGGGGAAGGGGGGGGGCCACAAGATGTCGTGAGCGCTACTCGCCCTGTGCAACCCAGGGCGGCCGGCACCTGAGCAGGAAAGAAAGAAAAAAGCCCCTTTGAAGGATGGAATTGCCCGCTGCGGATCCCCAGAGGCATTGAATCGCGCAATCTTGGGATGGCCGATACTGCAAGGGTAACCTGTCCCTGCATTTTCTCCGGCGTTGACCACCCTCTTCCCCAGCCGCGTCGTATCTACTCTTGTCGACGACGACGACGAAGGAGGCGAGGATAGATGATGGACCATATGCGCCACCACACACGCTCGAGAAAAGCAAGGAAAGATCTGCCTCTTGGGACAGTCTCGTGTGGGTTCCCGGCGTGCCCAAACTGTGTGATAAGCCGTCAAGCATCACCACCAAATGGACCATGATCCAAGGGGGGGGGGGTGGTCGGCATGGATATGCATGCCATCCCAACTGGGGCTCATGGAAACAACGCTCAGATTTGCGGGAACAACCTAGCCTTGCCAGAGTTCGCGCCATCGGGTTGACACCACCCAACAGCCGCATCTCTGAAGCTCCGGTCGCAGAATGACCCCGTCCCCCGTCCAGGTCCTCTCTTCTACAGTACATGGTTGGCCCGTGCTGGGTCTTGGGTCCCTTTCAGCCCGCACATCTTGCGGCGGTTGTTGCGCCCCCTTTCTTCGCCCTCGCTCGCAGGAACTCGGTCCAGCCGACTGTGCTTTGCATCTCCTTTGCTTGAAATTACAATCTCGAGTGGATTGCGGCCCTTTTCCCCTCGGGGCTTGTTTCTGGGCACGGAAGCTGTCATATGCGTTCTTGGGCGCGGCATGGACGCATGGTCGGTCGGTCGACTTTGACTCGATTAAACAGAAGATCTCCACAAGAAACGACAATCGAAGAGGAGGAGGACTAGGAGGATGCCGTCAGCTCAGCGGACCAAAGACGGGCGCGCGCGTCTAAACTGGACGAGTTGGGGCGTCAGTGCCACATTTCGGCCTGAGCCTTATTTCCTGGCATGACTTATCTCGTTTTTAATTTTTCTGTTTTTTCTTCCGTTTTCCTTTTTCGGTGCTTCGGCAATCTGGGATCACTAATGCCATGGATACATGGCTTGCTGCTGCTGCTGCTGCCACTACTATTACGGTACAATGTACTATTGTACTGCATACCCTGCTACGGCGTACACAACGCCCTATGGCGTATGAGGGAGGACCACTCCTCATTCTTCCCTCGTCCTGTCCTATAGGCCCCCCTGGGTCAGATATACCCCCTCCCCTCGCAGAGCGGCGGGAGCTCTGACTCTGGTCGCCTCTGCCCTGTTTCTATCGAGGAACCCCGCCTCGCCTCTTGAAGGGGACCTGGCGCGGGTCAGAGCAAAGTACCGCAACCACGCTGATGTACCCTCGAGTACCTCATGGTTGGTTCGCTACCCACCTGGTCGCCCTTGTCACCTTCTCGCGATCCCTCCATGCCCTCCCCCCCCCCCCCCAACCCATCCTCCTTCTCACACGCCCAGCCCAGCGGCGGTGGACAGCGAGGTACCCTTGTTTTTGAATTCACCATTCCATGCCCCCTATAGCCTAGTTAGTACCTTTTTCTCTTTTTTGGGGTTTTTTTTGGGGTTTTTTTTTTCTCTGCTCACGCAAGCAACCTGCAGAGAGAGGCACACATGCGCACACACCCCCCCCCTCCCATTCTCTCTAAGCAGGCAGGGCTTGCCCGTTGTATGGAACCATATCCTGGAGCTGGATTCTCTGGCTGTCATGCTGCCTTGTGTGAGAGAAGGGGAGAGAGAGTGCGTGTCTCCTCTCTATCTGTTTCTTCTCCCTCTCCTGTCTCTCTTTTCTGCCCCCCTTCTCTCTCCTCTCTCGGACGGTATGGCTCTGCCCGTTTCAGCTCTCCAATCTGCTGTGCCAGCTCCTGAGGCTTCGGCAGGGTCGCGAGCCCGTTTCTGCCCACACACCCACACCCACCCACCCACACCCCCCCCCCCCCAAATCCACTCTCTATCCCGCTCCCACGGTACTCCCCTCGTTGTGGTTAGGTGGTCCTGCTGGTCATCCCGAGGAGCTCTCTGGGCGGGCCAGGTCCCCCCTGCCCATCAAATCTGGAGCTCGTCGACAGGGTGTGCCACAGCATCCCAGTGCGTCACTCGCCTCAGAGGACCGGGGTCTCGTGTCGATGTCTAGTGACTCGGCCAAGGCATGAGATCCCCAAATTATGCTGCCGTTTTCTGCTGGGCCAGAGGTCACTCGAGTCTCCGCACTGGTCCAGGAACAGTACCGCGTACCTTACCTTGTGGCAGATCGCATGGGAGCTTCCCTGTTGGCATGCAGAGAGCCATAAGAAGGTACCTCCCCTCGGCATCCACATCCTGCTAGAACTTTTTTCAACTTCCACACGACTACCGGACTTCAACCAACTGGACGGCACACCAACAAGTCCCTCCCCTCCTATACAACAAAGGGAAGAAGAAGAAGAAAAGATTCGAAATAAAACCACCCAGCCCCATACTGTTACAGTGGCCCTGCTGGCCCAGCCCAATACCCAGAGACGAAAGATATACACTGGACAGCGCGCAGAAAGAGATTGAAATTCCCCCCCCCCCCCTCTCTTCATCGGATCAGCGTGGTTGGGAGATGGTAGCATAGGAAGGGCTGTGTACGTTTGTGTGAGAGTGAGAGTGTGTGTGTGGGCTGTTGAAGAAAAGAAGAAGAAGAAGCAGCAGCGAAACAGAAGCAGAGGAAGGGGTACCTCCCCAGCCTTTGTCATCACCGACCGCCAAAGCTATCACTCGCACGCCTGAACCCCAACCAGAGCGAGGAGCGAACCATAATAGTTCTCTCGACTGTGCTGATATATACCCAACGAACCTACCGGCAACATCCGCCATCAGCACGCCCGCCGACACATGTACTCGGCTGCTGTCTTAGCAGCACCGGTGCCAATCCAGCATAGCCCGCGCAGAATCCCGTCCATACTAAGGCGAGACTTGCGCCCGCTCAGCCGAAGGGCTCTTTTTCACCACGACTCCCAGGCAGCCCTACGGGGCTCCAAACAGACAAATTCTCTCCATACAGATTCCGGCTCCCAGCCAGAGCGGTTCGCTCTGGCGGAACCCATGCTCTGTAGACACGCTGGCGGGCAACTACCGACTAGGAGCAGACTACAATGTCGACTACTCACCACAGGACTCGCATCCGGCCGATCAGCCTCACGGATACGGCGCCCCCCACCCCCACCACCACCACAGGGCCTCGTTGCACCACACGGGCGCGTCTATTCTTCATGAGAGCCCAACAGAGACCCACTACACGACCATGCAGCAGCAGCAGCAGCAGCATCACCACCCGTCTGCGCACCGAGCAGTGCCCGTCCTCATGGACCCTGGGCAGATGGGCGGACACCCTGGTCATCGCTTGTCCCATCCTGGGCCGTCGCACTTTGGCGGGCCGGGACCGTCTCCCCATTCCGTCGTCTCGCCTCTGTATCCCTCCCTCGCGCCAGGCCCCAGCCCTGGGGTGAAGCGGTCGAGACCTGACGACCTCAACCTTTCCGTCCACGGCATGCCAGACCTCGACCAGTCAGACATCGAGTCGATGCAGCAGACTCCACTCAGCGCCGCCTACGCCCAGGCCACCGGCAGCGCCCATCCTACGCATCACCACCATCGCCTGCCAGACACTGGGCCGCCCTCCAAGATGATGCGAAGGGACGATGGGGGAGCTAGTGGAGGTGCGCCGAGTGTGGTAGGACAGGAAGGGATGCCGGCACCGGCACCAAGGCCAAGAGGGCCAAAGCTCAAGTTCACGCCCGAGGACGACCAGTTGCTCATAGACCTCAAGGAGAACAAAAGCCTCACGTGGAAACAGATTGCGGATTTCTTCCCTGGTCGTTCGAGCGGCACACTTCAGGTGCGCTACTGCACAAAACTTAAAGCAAAGACCACACAGTGGACAGACGAGACGGTGAGTTTTTTTTTTTTTTTTTTTGTCATCCCTCCCCAACCCCCCCCCCCCCCAAAAAAAAACCCACAATTTTTCTTTGGCTAGATTAGAAAGAGGCTCTCAGCAATCAACTGACGCTCTCCCACCAGGACCAAAAATTACACGCAGCTCTTCAAGATTACGAGAACGAGAAGTGGCGCATCGTGGCCAACAAGGTCGGAACCGGCTTCACGCCCACTGCGTGCCGGGAAAGAGCTGCGCAGCTGATAGGAGGCGTGGGCGAGAGCTTATAGCAATCAGCGTCCTCTCCAGGAGTATCAGCTTCTGCAGAGGACACCAACGTTTACTCGCAGCCCCACGCTGCCGAACCACCCAGCGCTGTCTACCAACACCAACCTGGCGAGCCTTCGAATACCGTCTATGGTCAACAGCTTCAATAATGGGGGACCTGGCTATACTGTCGCCACGACACCCGCATATTGAACCTAAAATCACTCTCGAGGTCATCTTGTCTTTTTTTGGAAGGAGAAAAATTGTCAAATTGCGGAGAAGGAAAAACAGGCCAGGCGGTTCATAATGCTTGAGATACCCAAACTCCACTGACCCACTCGCACTACACATTCCTTCCCATACTCTCCTTGATCTCAGAAAGCTTTTCTTTGTCACGAATCCTTGCGTCATTTTCGCTCTCTCTAATTCTGTTACTTTTTGGGAGTGGGTTTCTCTATTTCATCTCTTGTTCGTTTTCTTTTACCTCTATATAGACTTGGCAGTTGGGGTTGTGTTTGGAGGGAACGGCATACACGGTTTCTTTTTTTGGCAGGTTTTCAGATTGGTCACACGAAATCACGGCCTAGTTTCACGACACACACACACACATATTAAGACATACCCTCTACTTTTTTCCGGCTCTCTCTATATCTCTCGCCCCCCCCCCCTGCTTGTACGACTCCTTCCAGCGAACTTTCGATCCAAAGAAGAAGAAGAAATTGAAAACGACGACCACGCTGACTTTTGAGCCTGGACGGTCAAGTTTGGGCTTAAAATTGTACCCTTTTCTCCACTGACTCGACGCCAAGCTTTTATGGTCTTGTGATGGTTCTTGTTGGAGAAGAGGGCAAAGCAGAAAGAAGAAGAAAAAAGCAAGAAAGGGAGGGAAGGGGGGAAGAAAGAAGCAAGACGTAATCGACAAATTGGGATACTTGCTTTGGAGGGGACAGGGGATAGTCTTGGTAGGGGGGTGCGAAGATATTCAGCTGTCCTATTTGAGTTGAAAGCGGTGCCCGGGGCGGGAAGAGAGGATGGAAATGGTGGGAGGAGGGTCGGGGCAGGCGTGTGTAGGAACTTCCCCATGACTTTTTTGGCACACTTGAATTTTCCTATATCTTTTCCTTCCTGCACGGCGTCTGGGAGATAGCACAAAGACGGTGGTGGGAAATATCAAGACGCACTCGCATGCATCATACATACATCGACCCAGGCTTAGTTTCTGGGGGGGAGGCAGGGGGATGGGAATGGGGGGTGGGGGCGGCCATCTGTGCTTTAATTTTGTTTTCCTTTTTATTTTCTTATTTTTTTCTTTGTCCCGGCCCCGTCCCAGACCAACGGAATGGGGAACAATACTGTAGAGACAGCAGCACTCTAATCCTTTTTTTGGTTCGTGAATCATTTGCTCTGCTTCTTCTGTGGTCCATGTATGTAACTCCTTCTTCTTCTTTCTTTTTCTGCTCTCCTCTTTCTTTTTTTGGAACATGAATAGATTTTCACCAGACCGAAGAAGAAAGAGGGATTGAAATTCATACACCCCTTCCATCTCATCCTCAGCCTCATACGGACCACCGATTGATGGACCGGGACCGACCAAGCAGGAAAGGCAGCAGCCCCGAAAGGGCGGAGAGAAAAAAGCAATACAAGGGTTAATCTCACTGCCGCCCACACATCATGGTTACGCAAACAGTGGCAACTTTTTTTTTCCCTTTCATTTTCATTCGAGTCTTCTTTTTTTTCTTTTCTTTTGGTCTTTTCAGGGAATAATACGAACTGAAGAGGGAAGGGGGAAAAAAGCAAGATCACATCAACCTTCCCATTCCGGAAGCACGGCCCCCTCCTCCTTCTCCTCCTCCTCCCCTTCCCCCTCCCCCCCCCCCAATATAATAGTAACCATAGGGATAGATAGGTAACTACATGGTAGTACGTACTATACTATAGTATATCTGATCGTCCAGGGCAAGGATAGATTTGCGAGGCTGTTGGACTTACCAATGTAACGGCGTGCGCAACCGGGGCCATCCCTGATAGGGTGGGAGGGGGCAACATAGGCCGATGATCTTATATGTCGATCACCTCGTGTGAGAAGAGAAAGAAGAAGGCAGAATGATTCCATCGACATGCATACACAGGCACGTGCACGTGCACGCGCCCACACACACGCCACATCTCGCATGGCGATTTTTACATCATCAAGATAGCATCCAAAATAGAGCCTTCTTGCGGCGGCGGCGAGGGTTTTGCCTGAGCTGTCTTGTCCCCAACCTCAATTGATCGGCATGTCAGCCAAACTTGAGCCAGCCAACCAGCAGCCCTGGCTCTTGGACGAGGCGAGCGATGAGGCGAAGTGGGAGGGCGTAAAGATCGTCCCCTTGCTCGCCATCTGTTGATGAAACTAGACTCCTTCTCACCTTCATCTCCAGATTTGCTGCTGTTATGTTTTCTGACCTGTCCCAAATCCCGAGGACTCGGGCTCGGGACTTGCCACCATCCATAACCGGAAGCGGTGGCCGCGGCCGCACGAGATAGTCGTATCGCAAGCAAAAAAAGCATGGCCCACCTCCGTACGGAGGCCGATTTCTCTGTGGCACTCGATGGACCAGCCTTCCATGCGCCACAGCAGAGGTACGCAAGCCTGTATGTCGATCGCTGCTGTTTGCTAGATCCAAAAGATGGACGACCTTGTTCCTTTTCTGGTATGGTATACTGTGGACGTAACGCCCAGAAAAAAAAAAAAAAGGAAACTGACACACACAGATGGTGGACCTTGCGAATGTGCAGTACTTCTTCTTTCAGCTGCGTCGAGCTTCACATCTGGCAGAGGCGGACTCCCTTTTCCCGCGGCATGGTCCTCCTGATGGGGTTTGGTATCCGATGTGATGCAAACACACCAATTCCAAAGTCACCAAAAGGGACTCGATCATTTCATTTCGGGAAAGCCATCAGTAGAAGAGAACAAACCCATGCACCGTATCCCGAGGACACCGCGCCGGGTCCAAGAACTCAAAATGGGCAAGTCAGGCACATGTATTAGGATTTCCGGCCCCCCATAGAGTAACGTGCGGGAGTCCCACACCCATGCAGCAGCAACCCAGCGCCGATCTGGATTCTTCCTTGCTCCTAGATGTCATGCTGCGGTTGAGTGACGACGAGATCGTCGGCCGCATGATATCCTCTCGCACGTCCTCTCTGCTGGAGTCTCTTACAAAACGAGGAGTATATACGCTGCAGGGTGTGTGGTCCAGCTTTTTGTCAACGCAAGTCAGAAGATGCCTCACACTTTGCATATGTTACCAGTAGCGTATCACTATGCGCCCGTTTTGAATGTTTCCCGGCTGCGGCGGCTCCCAGCTCGTCCCACGGGTCACATCCTCCATGGGCGTGCATTGCATGTGCGCGGATGCGTGCTCTGCAGGAAGTTTGTGAGAGAGAGAGAGAGAGAGAGAGAGAGAGAGAGAGAGAGAGAGACAGAGAAGGAAGCGTGTGTGGCTGGTATCGTGCAGCTGCGAAGCTACCCTAGGCCGTGTGGGTACCCCGGGGTACCTACGACTACCTCCCTGTCCTGTCGGTTGTGATGACGATACTTGACCATCGTACCGTGAGATTCACCTGAGCTGCTGCTCCCAGATAATGGGATGGTGGGTGTAATTGGGTTTCCGCTCGGATTCTGGAGGCGATTCCTGGCAACCGTAGAGATGTGTTTTGAGGCCTGATGCCCGCAGCTGTGCTTCGTTGGGCCGCAACGTAATAATCAATGGTGATGGTGTGTGAGAAAACGCCATGGCCTCTGCTATAGGTAGGCTTTGGGGTCCGTGCTGTTGAGCCCGGTACGTAGTCAGATGGTACGACTACAGTATGCATACCGCTAAAGCTTTGTGTGGGGTGTCTTGCATGCCCTTGCATTTTGCTGCAGATACTGAGCAGCAAGCGGGCCAACCACGGCGCAACAGTGCAGCCGCATGGGGAGTGGAACTTCTAAGTCGAACTCGAAGGGGTATCATGCCGTGGCCGCGATGTCACCTATCTCGCTCTCCGCACCGCACAAGATGGGGAGAGCCTGCATAGTCGATACCTTGCGGTGAGCTCCAGGATGGCCCACAAGGGTTGAGAGGCTGCTGCTATGTTACAGTCCCCTCCCCCCTCCCTCTTCTCAAGGAGGCGCACTGCCGCGCCCAAGTACCTATCAATCAGCCTTAAAACCATCGTTAGTCTTGACGTACCGGAGCCTTCCCATCGCCTCGTGCTTTCTCTTGAAGCTCTTCAAACAGGAGCGCCAACAACCCATTCAAGCAAAACTGAAATCCAGACTGACGCAGTTCCACATCACATGGTAGTATGGAGCTGACGGAGCTGGAGGGAGCACTCAACATGAAACGCGCCCGCGTGGTTAGCAGACAGTCGAGACCCAGCACGCCCCCTCTCCTTGGGCTGGGAGTGAGAGAGAAAGAGAGTGAAGTGAGTGTGTGTGTGTGTGTGTGTGTGTGGTACTGTGGTGATCGTACGATGGCGTCTGCAACTGCCGTGGGGTCGTCAGGCGCGGGGCTTTCCAAGATGACTGTGTCGCTCAAGGTCCAGGCCTCTCTGCTCCTGCACGAGACCTGTGGGAACCCCCGGTTCCGGGCTGCCGAGCGAGGGTCCGGACCTTTCGGCTCTCGACGACTAGTGCGTATCATTTCGATGCGGCGAGAAGCGAGCGAAGGATGCGATAGGCATGCACGCGACGGCCCCCCCCCCCTCACACACCCTTTTCTTTTACTTTCATCTTTCTGCTGTTGGTCATTGTCACACCTGGCTGTGACGAGGCTTGCGTTAAGCCGATGGTGAGCTCTGCGGGCGGGATGCTGTGGGAGCTTGCCGCAAGCAGGGGTCGGTCCTAGGATGCATAGTCACTGCAGCGGGTAGCAGGTAGCTGCAGGGCTGTTGGTGTCCAAAGAGGTGCCAGGGTAAAGGTTATCTGGTCCTTGTGTCATAAGATCTATGCCAGTTTGTAAGCGCGAGTCAGACCAGTCGCATGCAGGAGGGCTAACGTTGAGGTTGAGGTCTAGATACCATAAGACCTCTTTTGGCAAGTAGTAGGTAAGGATGCGCCCTGAGCGGTCAGCATGCCTACAGGCCTGGTACCTCATCCACGAGGGCCCGAGGAATCTTGTGAAGGCCTTCTTTGCGTGCTTGCACATGCGTGCCAATGAGCGAGACCTGCCCAACGGCGTGCTCCCAGGACCTGTGTGTGTGCAAGAAGCGGAGAAGCGATGCGTGACTGCTACCTGCAGGTAGGCTGATTCGACCGCCGACCAGCCATCCCAAAGGGCTGGCTGGATCTAGATTGCGCTCCCTCCTCTAGCATCGACTTGTGATACTCGGCGGGCTGGATGGCCAAAGATGACGAGACAAGGCGTCTCCCATCTCATCCATGTCATTTAGGATTCGCATCACGACTCTCCCAGCATTCAGGTCGCGAAATCTCCGAATCGGCCGGGTCAGACCTGGAGCTAGCCATGGAGATGACCAAGCTGCTCGACCTAGGGCACCCAAGATGAGGATGACCAATCGGAAATTACAGTCTTCGTCTGTCCGCTGAGGTACCGAAGGCGCAGTGTTCGTGCGTAGTATTCCTAGTCAAGAGGATTTTGGTGGCGTCGCAATCTGAACTTTGTACCTGGCTTGTACCGCTGTGGCTCGAGGTACTTCCTGGATTCTAAGGTAGGATTAGAGTCCAATCAGGCTGGATGTGTGTCTTTCAACCAGCCTCCTATCGAGACTTCCTTCGGCCTAGAGAACCAGTCGCGGATAGATCACCGGTGAGCACCGCATGCTGCCACCTACTACGTATCGACTGGGAACAACTTGGTAATTGCTGGCTTCCTCTTGCTCGTTGGTGTGTGTGTGTGTGTGTGTGTGTGTGCGTGTGTGTGTGTAAACCTGCCGGTGGCGGAGATAATCAAAGGCCCTCCGTCAGCCTCCGCGGCCGCCCGAAATCTTCACAACGCGGCCGCCTCTTTTCTCTCTAGAAAAGACGACAATTTTAACGATTTTGGCACATCGCCCGAGAAACGCGTCGTGAGGACGTGTTGTATTATGCAGTTGAGTCTGATCGTGTTGCGTTTTCATCCCAAGACACTTGGTACTCGTACCATTCGCTAAAATCTACGTGTGTTCGCATAGACAGATTGATGCTCAGGGCTGCAGGTTCTTGTACGGGATTGCATTGGCTGAGAACCATTGTTGAAGGGCTCCCTTTAGGGCGGTCGAATAATACCGGCCCTTGTGAGTTCGAAATACTGGTTCGCTCGATCGCTGTATTCGGAGACGTGCCATTGTCCCTGCGAGCTGGCTCGATCTCCAAGTCCGACGGCCAACCATCTGGGCGATCAGTACTGGGTGTGAAGGTACCTGCGGGGCCGCGATGCTTGCAAGAAAACTTCCGCGACCCAAACGTGCTACATCACGAGGGTGCCTGTTGGCTGGAGACGGTAAAAAGTGGAGTCCGGTGTGAAAAAATCGATGCGTGTGTGCTGCAATAAGACGTTAGTTATAAGGGTATAAAGCAGTTGGGTATAGGCATATGGGCCTATACGGCGCAGCTTAAGACACACCAAAGGTCCCAAGAGAAATTTAGACTAATCTCATCTCGCACAGCACATGGCCCAACCGGTTGATACGGACAGAGACCGTGGTAACCCACGGCAGGGAACAATCGGTTGGTTGTGGAAGAGCGGTGTACGCAGTGCCGAGCTCAAAAGGGCTGCTACATGAGAGTGCTCATGCCTGACTGAGCTGCTGAATCGGAACTGTGATAGCTCACCGGTGGAAAATTGCTTCAGTATTCGTTTTTACGGGCGAGGGAGGGTCCCGTTGTCTGGTTGCCCTTTCAGATCATTGGAGTGCGCCCTCTGCTTCCTTTTTGAGCAGAGTCGCGGAACGGATACGCCGTCATATGGTCAACCACGCGGCCGAGACAAATTGGTGAGGATGGATTGATGAACTTGAGTTCCTTGGTTCATCCGATGTAAGCTGTGAGTCGTCGTGGCCGTTATACATGCCCGTAGAGAAACCCTGCTTGCATCGCGAGTTCCAGCCGCCCTCGAAAGCCGACGAGTGATAATCCCAAAGTTGAGCCGCCTTTGTATCTGGACTCGGTGACTTGGTGAAGAGCCGCCCACATCTAGCCCTAGATATTCAGTCATAGTGAACTACAGGCTGATTTTGTGACAAGTTGGATACATCAGCGATGGTCGCCATGCTTCTATAGCTTGGCCATTCTGTGCTGTTTTCTGACAACTTGAAAAGGCCCCATCCACACCAAGGGTCTCAACCGCGGCAACAACCATACATGAGGGTCAGAGAGTGCCAGGAAGCAGCGGCCAAGCCTTATCGAACACTTTGGGGGCATCATGAGGGTCCCCTTGGCTCAGGAGGGAAAGGGAGGGGGTTGAACGGATGTTCGCCTGCATGGTTAGATCCTTGATACCATGCCGACATTGGCGATGACAGTCTCGAGCATTCTCGCGTCCTGATGGCGTACGCAATTACTGTCAGCGGTGCAGCAGACGCCTGCCCAGCTCAGACTCGTCAAGCGTGACACCCTGCTCCACGAGATCGACCAAGGCCTTGTGCCGACTCACGTCCAGATCTTGGCCCAGGAAACCTGCTGTCTCGATGAGCCAGCCATTGAATTCCCTGATCTCGGTCTGCTTGCCAGCCTCGACATCCTGGAACATGGAACTCTTGTTGTACTTCACCTTCTCGCCAACCACATGTAACATCTCTCTCAAAGCCGGGGTGGAGAGGCGGCGTGCCAGGGATTCAACAGACATGTTGCCGTCCTTCATGATCTCCTGGCTGCTTTCGTGTTGGATCAGTGCCTGAAGGACGTCGCTTGTCTCCCTAAGCAGTTCGTCCATGATCTTGACAGTCTTTCCGTCTGGGTCGGCGAAAAGGACGCCATTTCTGACTCGCAAAATGGCTGTGAGAGGATTGATGATCATGTTGACAACGAGCTTCTCGAGCTGCAGTATCCAGAGCTCCGGGCGAGGCACTGCTTGACCCGCTAGATGAGGTGCCGTTGCGATGAGTCTGGTGAGATAGCTGGGCCTTTCGGCTTGTTCATCGCTCGAGCATACGGGCCCGACAACCACGCCTGCCGGGGCAGCATGTACACTCTTGAAAGGACCTTCTGAGAACACCCCATGCATGGTCACGCCGTGGAGAAAGGTGGGATGACGGCCGTCCGGATACCGACATGTGAAATAGGTAGTCCCATGCGGAGGCCAAAGCCTGTTCATGCCATTCTGCACAAAAAGGACAGTTGACGAGCCGTCGAGATAGCGGCGTAGTCTGTCGACCTCTGGGATTGCAGCTGGAGCTTTCGTCGCAACGATGAGATTCGATATTCGCCCGCCGTCGACGACTTCTCGGACAGGGCCGACTGATGGCTTCTCAGGAGTCCACCACTCGACGTCAAAGTTTGAGAGCCGTTCGGTGTGTCCATACCGCGTCATTTCGATGCCTGGATCAGAAGCCCAATGCTCCAGAAGGCTGCGTCGATGCACGACAAGAGTGATGGGCGGGGGGTTTGACAGCTGTGACAGACATGTGGCATACAGTCTACCGAGATTTCCCAGGCCCAAGACAAAGATTCGAGACTCGGATTTCCTATGAGCAGAGGATAGATATGCCTGGCCCGACCTGGGGGCGCCTTGCGAGCCTAGGTTGTCCAGGGTCCACGCGTACGATATAGGTGGAGGTTTCGAGTCGTTGAGGATCGCGTGCAGCCAAGGTGGCGTGTCGCGAGACGCCTTGGTAAAGGACTGAGCAATCCAGCGGGTTTGAGATTGTCCTCCCAGCCTCTGAGCTACTGTGAGCCTCCTCGCAACTACCATGATGATGTTTCCGCCGTTGGCAGAAAGAAAGAGAAACAAAGGCTGCCTAAAGATGTCTCCCTTAAGATGGTTGTGTTTCCATGCGACACAGGAGTTTGCCTGATCCAAGCCAGCCGGCTTTTGTTTGTGCGTGTGAAAGGACTGGTCCTGGAAGAGATACAAGGCCAGATGTCGAGTTATTGCACATTGCAATGTTGGGCTTGTTGTCGTCAGGATGCAGTGACGTCTGGGAGGTTGAGCTCCATGGTCCGTGCACACCCTATCCGGGTCACTGCAATAGGCAGCCTTCGACTTCGGGGAAGGTGCTACCACTTACACGCATTCTTCTTTCCTCATTTGCCTCTGAACCTGCGCGCATCGTTATCGAGTGACTTCCTCTACATATTTCAGCGGCCTCTCGGGTTGATTCTTGAATTTGCAGAAAGAAGTCGAGATCTCATCTTCTGCATATAAGCTTAGTCTGTTCACCCTCCCTGCAGGAATGTTAGGTCTGATTCAGGCCGAGGGTTGAAACACCATATTCGCCCGTTTATTACATCGTCAAGGACAGGAAGAGCAATTACTTCACGCCCCGTGTTACTTATGATCCCAAAACAACCCTGGGCTAGGATACGCTTCTACCATGCTCGTCAATCATTGGGAGTTCAACAGAGCTACCTTCATCATTGTGATACTCAGGCCACCCCATCCATACGTAATAATTACCACACAAAGCTATCTCTTCAAATGCCTCCCTGGCAACATTCTCCAGACAGACTTAAGTTATTTGGACACTCTTTTGCCGTTTATACGCCTATAGCTTCTGCTGATCTTTCGTCTTCCATGGCTATCCGCTGATCCTACCATGTTCCTGATGTCTCGGTATTTTTATACATAGCATTGTTTTCCGATTTAGTGGCCGAGACTTGGTACCCCAGTCTGTTTCCCCTAAAGGGCGTCGTTCCTGCTCGAAACAATTGCTGCACAGGTTACTGGTTGAAGCGAGAGCCCACCCACTTTTTCTTCGTGTGCAGCACCGTTCACGATCATCAGAGACACTCAAATAACTAATACTGACCGAACGTGGCTTTTGTTCAAGAGACAAGAATCGCGAGGCCATGCACGGGAGCTAAGACAAAACGCTGAATCTTTCTCCCTTTGTAGCCAATTGGTCTTGGGGTTTCACCGCGAGACTTCAGGTGATGTTTCAAAACAAGGTCCGGACTCTGCGACGCACTGCTTGCCCAACACTGTCACTCTGATTCTGTTCTCATTTCCTTCCTTCTTGCTGCTATCTCAAGACATATATCTGTGCTCTTTATCTCAACTTATCCTTCTCAGCAGGTCCCCTGAGATCGCCTGTCTGGGGTAGGAAAAAGATGAAGCGGCCACTTCTCGCCGTCCTCGCCACACTGGCCCGCGCCATCGCCACGGCAGCAGCCGCAGCAGCCGCCTGTAACGGCCACGCCGAGCTCTGCGACCGCAGATACAGTAACGTCACCTTCCTCGGCTCCCACGACTCCGCATTCGTCGGCACATCCGTGGCAGACAACCAGGAGACATCCGTCGCAGACCAACTGGCCCAGGGTGTTCGGTTCTTGCAGGCACAGACGCACCTCGCCAGCGACAATCACACCATCGAACTGTGCCATACGCTGTGCCTGCTGGAAGACGCCGGGCCCCTGGCGGCCTATCTGAGCACGATCAAGACGTTTCTAGATGCGAACACTCAGGAGGTGGTCACGCTGCTGCTTACCAACCAGGACGGGCAGTCTGGGACGGCCTTTGATGCTGTCTTCCAGAGCAGTGGGATCAAGGGGTATGCGTTCACACCAGCTGGGAACTTGACGTTGGACCAGTGGCCGACACTGGGGCAGATGATTTCGATGGGCCAACGACTGGTCGTATTTATGGGTTCGTGTCCACGTCATGGCTCAGCATATCTAAGATGACTGGCTGATGTGGAGTAGATTTTCCGGCTGGAGCTCCTGTTCCATACATCCTCAATGAATTTCAGTCTTATATATTGTAAGTTTGAAGTTGAACTGTACACATGGACCACTGTATCAGCTAATACGTGTTGCCGCCAGCGAAACTCCATTCGAGTGAGTATATGTGATATCAACACAGTCAACCAATTCGAGGATTACTAGAATAGGCTTCAAATCGCCGGCCAAGCAAGCGTTGTGACTGACTGGGCATCCCAACAACAGCACCACCGACCCTACTTTTCCCCAATGTGCCATCGACCGCCCTCCCGGCGCCTCTGCAGCTGGCCGGATGATTCTGGTGAACCATTTTCTGGACACCAACCTGTCAGGAATTCTCATTCCGAATCAGGCCGCTGCCAACGTAACCAACTCGGCAGCATCTATCACAGCTCAGGCCAATCTCTGCTCTGGATTATACCAGCAGACCCCTAACTTCATTCTGGTTGGTTGCTCTCCTTCAGATGTTCTCTGCTTAGGTGGCTGACGTCAAGGATTCAAGCTCGACTGGATTAGTATTGGAGATGCGATGTCTGTCCAAGCTATGATGAATGGTGTTCCTTTTACGATGGAGACAACCACGACTATAGACGGACAACCAAGTGGCTCGGTGACTGCCTCGATGGCTGTCAGTACTGAAACGCAGGTAAGAATTTTTTGGGAAGTGCAAACAAAGGATTGACTGTGTCGGCTCACAAGGACTCTTTCTTTCTCCCAGGTTTCCATGGCGCAAAGTTCGTCTTGGTTTCAAGTTGGCGACCGATCAAAGAAGTCATCTCAATTGGCTGTGATGATGACCTGCTTTGCCCTCGTCAAGCATTTAATTCCTTAGCCACTGAAAGAGTCTGGTAATCTGGTCTTGTTTTGAACCAAAGTCTCAATAATGGGGAGGGGACCGCGCTTCTCTTGAATGGTTCAACCTGCTGCCACTGCACGATGGTAACACAGGATCGTAACCCTCACATCCTTCGATCTGCCACCGAGGGAAAAGCTGTCAGGTCTCTTACGCTAGGAGCAGTAAAAAGATACACACAGATCGAGCCATATAGGAACTTTGGAGGAATATTCCCGATAGACTTGATGATAGTGTGTAGAAAGACTCATCGGCAGCAGGCAATATTCGGAGGCAATGACGCCGTTTTGATAATTACTACATGGTAAATACTATACACAAGCCAAGTACCCAAAAAGGCTGCAGTCAACTGACTAGTCTCAGCCTTACGAAAACGTGTCTGCCAGTTAGTCCTAGAGAAAGCTAAGCAGCTTACAAAGCAGCAAGTTGCAAGGCGTATAGCAAGAAGGCCCCCATAATTGCAAGAATCTCTCTACAAGCACTAGAAAGATGTCTATCCCAAGTGCAAGCTGGAAATGACGTGATTTATATCGATAGATTGTCTGAACTGACGCAATTCTAGTGTTGATCGTCCGTCTCATGTACACTTCTATAGCCTCTTCGCTATACATTCTATTATGTCTTTAAAACCTAGACGCCAGAATGCAGGCCCCCATTTTTCCCAACATGAGATATCATGTTAAAAAGAAGACGAAAAAAAAAAAAGCAAATCCATCTATGATGCAACGCCGTGCCATGCTGAGGTATCTCAACGGGGGATTTTCAGAAAAAACAAACACAATAAACGTTCTTGAAATCGTGGGTGTCAACGAGTTCGTTCGTGATCATGTGCCTTAACAGGCCCACCTCCAATCATCATCAAACCTCCTCCTGCGGCTTCTCGATCTCCGTCTCGTCCCGAACCACCGGCGCTTCAAGAGGCAGCTCAGGCTCCATGTCGACCTCCTTCTCCTTCTCCGACGACGACGCAGGCCCCGCAGCACCAGCAGCAGCCACACTGCCCCTCCGCGTCGCGGTGCGGTGGCTCCTGCGCGACTGCCTGCTCATAGACTTGACCAGCTTCTGCATCCTCTCGGCGTCGCGGACCTCCTCCTCGGCCTCGCTCTCGTCGATGACGAGGTTGTTGTCGGCGCGCATCTCCTGCAGCACCCTGGCGGCCTCGGCGGCGAACTTGCACTTGGCGCGGACGTGGGGGCCGTATTTCCAGAAGAAGATGGGGAAGGGGATGCAGACGAGCGAGAGGAAGGCGGGGATCGAGGCCGCCCAGTGGATGCCGAGGTTTGTGTACATCTGGTCGGTGAAGAGCGGGAAGGCTGCGCCGAAGAGGGATCGGAGGACTGCGTTGGCGGCCAGCACGGAGGCTGCAAATACCACGTCTGAAAAGCACCAGTGCGTTAGTCTTGGCTGTTTATAGAGGGGAAAGAGAGAGAGAGAGAGAGAGAGAGCGGATCTTTACTCACAGGAATCAATGAGGTAGTTCATCAGAGACAAAAACACCAGCACCAGACCCGTCGCAAAGAAAGCGCTGCCAATGATTGGGACGACCCAGTGCACATTATTGCCATTCGTCCAGGCGAACCAGAACAGACCAACGGGAAGTAGGATGGACCCCACAATAGCACCGGGGAGACGCGCCTCTGGTGGCACATCGCCGCCCAGCTTCTTCGAGATCTTCGTGTACCGGATATTGTCGACCATGGCATAGGCGATGGCAAAGACCATGCCCACCAAGATACCGACAAAGGCCAGGCCCGAGAGACCGGCACTCCAGTGCTTGTCCAGCTCGAAGATGATGGGGAAGGCGGGGAACATCATGTAAAGGGTGCCATAGACAATAGCCATGTAGATGGACACAAGGAACACGATGGGCTCCCGGAAGAGGAGCGTCCAGGGTCGGGAGAGCGAGATGCGTAGTCGTCGGAGTAGAGAGATGCGGTCCTTTCCCAAGTCCAGCTTGGAGACGTAGACCTTGCCTGTCAGCTTGGCCAGCTTTGCGGCGCGAGTCCTCAAGAGGACTGGAGAATAAGTTTCGGGGATGAGCGCCGAGCACACGATCCACAGCACACCGGTGAAAATGGCCATGACGCCCTCAATCCAGCGCCATCCTTCCGCCTCACCGAGAAATCCGCTTACAATCGGTCCTAGTAAGTTTTAAAAAACAATAATAATCAGCAATCGGAAGTCCTCTCGCAAAGAGTTTGCCGGAAGGAAGGGAGGTGGGGAGGAGGAGGGGGGGGGGTGGCTGAATAAGGTGGGACTCACCCAGAGAGGGGCCGAGGAAAGGGGCAGCAGCAAAACACGCCGTGGCAAACCCACGGTCCGAGGCGGAAAACATGTCTGCAATCACACCGCCCGAGTTGGTGAGTGGTGATGAGCCAAAGGCGCCTGCGAAGAATCGAAGAATGACGAGGCCAGAGAACGTAGGCACTCCAGCAGCGGCTGCGTTGAAGGCGACCATGGCGCCGTATGTAACAAAGTACAGGCCCTGGCGACCAAATGACTCGCTCATTGGCGCCCACAACAGAGGCCCGACAGCGAAGCCAACAACGAAGAGAGAAATTCCCAGGATTGAAAGCTCCTCGGACACCCCAAACTCCTCAATGATGTACGTTAGGCCACCGGAGAAGGCACTGCTCACAAAGGCAACAGCCAAGGTCGAAAAAGCGGTCAGGATGGTGATGGCCCATTTCTTCTTGACGGTGTAGCCCTGAGGATTAAAAGGGTCGCATGGTGTGAAGTCGACAGCGAAGGGATCCTCCTCCGTCCCTGAGCCCGGATATCTCCATTGCAATGCCTCCTTGGTCACGCCGGCCGGGTCGAAGACCACCTTGAAATGGCTTACTTGGGACTCTCGAGAGCTGTGGGATTGAACGTCAGCCTCAGTGACGGTGACAGCAGAGGCCAGAGACGCGCTCGATGTTGAGTTCGCCATGTTGATAGGAGGTGCGGGCTCGGGCTCGAGGAAACTGTCGAAGTTGCATTCCAAGAGAAAGGAAAGGAAAGGAAAGAAAGAGGAAAACAATAAGCAGCCAAGAACACAGGAGGAGGACGAAAAAAGACAAGTCACACCCGGACGGAATTAAGAACGTTTTTCTTCTCGCATCTTCTCCCACGAATCGACTGTCATCTATCGGGCTCCACCGATGGCTTTGCTTTTTCCAAGCATCGATCGACCCACAACACCCGGCCACGGCACCGAGGTGGCTCCCGTGCCGAGGTTTCTCCCTCAAGAAAAGGACCTTCGAGAACAAATATTACTGTACATAGTTAGATAGTGTACAAGCGAGAATTGAAATGGCGCCAGGGGTTCGTACCTGTTTGTGTGTGTTGGAGGAGGCTCTGCGGATCCTGCAAGTTTTGGGCGCGCCACACCCGTTCGAAGCCGCTGTGGGTCCATCATTAGAAAATGCCTCGGCTGCAGCCTTGCCCCTATATACAGATTTGTCTCCTTAATTCTTTTTTTGGGAGGGGGCAAACAGAGAATTTGAAGGGAGGGCTGAACAATTGCGAATGCGCCGCCTTCTTTCCAAGACTTCTTGGGAGAGGGAATGCTTGGGTTACCAAGGGAAGATCTAATATCATGCCCGGACCCAGAATTTCTGGCCGGAAATAAAGCGGTGAAAGAGAGGCCAATGCAGTTCCGAGGCTCGTAGTAGATAAGGTTTTTTTTTCTTCTTTGCTTTTGAAGAATTCGTCTGTTTGCAATTTCCGCCCTCGCGACCATTTGTCAGACGAGTCTCGGGCTTCAACCGCTTGCACCCGGGTCGCCTTCGCCAAAGATTACGACCACCATCACGAATATGTCCGACAGACTCTCCTTCGGACAGACTAGCAACGAGCCGATGTTGGAGAGACTCGTCGTCGACTGAAATCGAGTACGTCTTTGTCTCTCAACAGAAAGTTTGGAAATCCATCCTCACCTTGAGGCCATCAAGGTGTACGAGGGGTCGGAGCCGGGATTCGGACGCGGAGTGAGAACCGAGGACCAGTCTTCCTCCGACCCCTGCGCCAATCCTCTTCGGCGTCGTCGTACTATACAGTAGCTCGAGGGCTCTGGTCCCCACAGATTCAGTCGTCAAAGCCATCCCAGTCACTTTCACCCTGCAAGTCCGCTGCTGGCTCCACTCCATGCTCATCGATACCCGACTCAGCCACGTCAAGTAACGGCGGGTCGATAGACAGATCGCCCCCTCTCGGCGATGCTTTCTTAGACTTCCTCGAAGGCTGTGGCACATGTTCCAGTCTCTGGGCTTCTTCCACCACTGGTATGAAGGTCTCATCGTCACTACTGCCGTCGCGTATGAAAGCAGCCACGAAGAAACCCATGACGCCACGGCCATCGTCCTTGTAGGTGCGGATGCAGGCTTCGCCCACCTCGCTGTTCCCATCGCAGGCATCGGCCTGACCGCGAACCGGCCATGCTTGCATCCCGCTCACTTGAGACTCCCGAGGCAGCACACGCCATCCGCGCTGCCGTGCAATATCTGATTGCAAGGCTTTCAGGACCACAAGCTCGTTCTCCTCCGCATGGACGGAGCAGGTCGAATATGTGATTTTTCGCGTGGCCGGAAAGCTGAAGGCGTGCAGAAGTATGGTAAGTTGGAAGTCTGCGAGTGCCTTCAGCCGTGCCTGGAGGTCCTTTTCCGAGACTGCCACAGTCGTATTCCCATCGTCGTCAATCAAGACTTTCTCGGATTCCAGATCGTCGTCGCCCTGCCGTTTCCGCTTTTTGGACGTAGCGCCTGCGACATCCTTTGATGCTCTCCCCTGTCCTTTTGCTGCTGCTGCTGCTGCTATAGCTGTCGGAAGATGCAGATCTGGCATGTCGTCGCGGCCGACAATACCACTCCCAGAACAGCTCGGATCTAGGAGGATCGCCCCGACCTTGCGGTACTTATCGTCCGAAGGCTTAACTTTGAGGAAGTCCTGCCCCTGGTAAATCTGTGTAAAGTCGTCCGAACCGGCCGTCTTGACCATCTTTTCGAGAGTCTTGGCGCGTTTTGCGTCCTTCTCGAAAGCATAGATGCTGGCATGCGGCCCTGGCTCGTGGCTCCGTGATCTGATGATTGCCGCCAGGTGCGTCGTCTTATTGCCCGGCGCGGCACAACCATCAATAACACTACCATCCTCGGTCTGTGGGTCGAGCAGGTAGGCTGGGAAGCAAGAGGCTTTGTCCTGAAGGATGATGGCACCTGATTTATAGGCCTGGCATTTCGCAAAGTCAAACCGAGGGGGAACGGCCACAAGGTCCGGGATATGCTCGTCGACGTAGATGAGCTTGCCTGTCCCCTCCAGAACCTTGGGGATCGAGTCTGTCCTCTGGTAAGTCTCGAAGGTGGTGGCCAGCTGCTCATCCAGGGTAGACTTCAAGGTGTTGATCCGGACCCATCGAGGATGTTGGCTCCTCGAGTGCAAAGACGCCTCAACATGTTCGGTCAGGGCCTCCACGGAAGAGCATTTCCTGCGTATCCTGGCACGGCTGAACTCTGCCGTCAGGCGAGACCTGTGACGTTCAATTGTGGCCCGCAGACCGTGCGACGCTGGCAGGGCGATGCCGCCTTTTGCCAGCAGAAAGTCGTGCACCAACAGCAGCGAGAGAACAGGCGTGAGCTAGGGAGGTATGGTCAGCCTCGCGCGCTGTCGAAGGGAAGGGAGAAGGGATGGGAAGAGGTAGAGCGCCTTGCCTTTCTCTCGTGTTTAAGCAGCTGCGCGTGATCAATGACCTCAGACAGGATCGATGACCATTTGCATGACTCCACTGCCAGAGCATACACCTGACCTCGGGGCGACTTTAGATCTCTGCTGTTGAAGACGCGAGAGCGCAGGTTTCCACCAGCAGCTGCGTCGCCATCGAGAACTGATGCAGTCTCGTGGTAGAGCGACATTTCTCACGACAGTGGTGGCTGGTCGAGAACGTGCGACGGAAGAGCACTGCAGATCGCAGGTGCGTGAAGTCAACTGAATTAGTACTTTTTGAAGTATCTCTAGTGTGTCAACTTCCAGATGTTTTGACCCCTGTCGGGACTAACTTTTGCTGCAAACCTCAATACTAACCAAATTTGAAAGGGTGCATCCATCTAGGTGACAATACCATGGTAGAGAGTATAGAAAGTCCTCTGCTCAAAGTCATGCAGCAAGAACCTTAAATTTTGTTATCTTTTTTTTTTCTTCCACTGTAAATTTTTGTATTCTTGGGAGGGAAGCAAGGATCCATGTTCTTGCAGTTGAAGCCTAGCGCTAGTCTCATTATGACATAGCTTAGAGGGTGGAGGAAACGCTACCCTCAGGCACTACGTACTATGGCAGTACTGTTTGTACAGAGCTACATTCTATATCCCTACAACTTTTCATATGAAAGAACAGCATTGAATTTATATACAATAGGTCTCATTGCACAGACGACAAGCTCAGCAACAACAATGATGACATCTCTGTACTGGCAACATCTGTTGGCTGGAAATACCAGCCACTGCTCATCACCATTCAATTGGTATCACCTGCTGGGAACAGACCTGCAGACGGCTCTACTCTGGCCCATCACAGTCAGATTAGGTAGCATTCGACAGACGGCAGCTCGACTCGGACAGTGCAGACTACGAAACAGAGGATATGGGGGGAGTATACTGTGTTTTACATAACGTGGTGCAATGTGGAGGGAACTCATGACAGCTGACACACTCCGAAAGTCTAGAAAGGAAGTCAAACCACATCCCAACGCAAGAGGCGGCGTAAATCGTGCACGCGTGGCGGCTAACGTATTGTCCATGGTCAACAGTCGAAGGCGCGATGCCAGACTTCCATGAGCTCATTCTCTGAGAAACGAGCCATCTTCTACTAGTGAAACGATGCATTCTCCGTAGCCGAGAAGGGGACAAGTTGCAGCCACCGTACAACAACAGCATAACCCACCTCAAATCTCCTTCAAGAATCCAACCTCAATCACCTTGTCGACATCAATATTCAGATCTGCCAATTTCGTCCGTGAATTCTCCCGAATCCACAAGAAGGCCCACAACAGCGCCCTTCTGACCAGCCCAGCAGGGTGAAACCCACGCTCGTGCTTGATCCGCATCGTCTCCTTGCCGAGCACATACACAACCTGCGCCTCATGAGCCGCCTTCAGCTCCTCCAGCTCGCCAGCGGCGCCGCCACCGTTGTGGGCACCTCTCGTCAGGGACAGCTCGATCTGCGCCACGAGGTCTCTCGCCATGCCGGGCTTGAGCACGTCGTCCGTGTACCCATGACGCATGACAACGCTATAGGCGCGGTCGACACCAGGCGCGCGCACGACGACGTACCTCTCCGCGCAGGGGACGGTGGGCACGGGGAGAGGCCGCATGTGGAAGAAGACGGTGACGGACGGGCGGGCGGCGAACTTGCGCACGAAGTGGGTGAAGGACGGCGGGAGAACGTCTCTGTCGCCGTTCTTGTCGAAGAAGATGCCCAGCCCGGGCACAATCGACACGGGCGTTCCGCCAAAGGACTGGGTCAGACGGGTCTCGCGCTTCTTCGACGACGACGAGGAGGATGGTCGTGCTGCAGGCGACAGGCCTCCCTGGTCTGGTGCTCCATCGGCCTTGACCAGCAGTGCTGACGCAGGGAGGCGGTCGAGGTGTTCTGCGGCCCACTGAGCCTCCTTGCCGAAGCGCCAGAGGATGAAGATGGAGCAGAGGATGGCGGACAGGAGGATGGTGAACCATGCTCCGTCGGGCACCTTGGTCAGGACCGCGCTGAGATATGTGCCGTCCAGACAGGCGAAGAGGAGCCAGACGGGCAGGACCACGAGAATGGGGAGCCTCCAGACGACGATAGCGACCAGCGCCACCATGCACGTGGTGATGAACGTGACGATGATGACGCAGACTCCGTAGGCGTTTCCGAGAGATGTAGTGTTGTTGTAGACCGCAGTTACAATGACGGTACCGATCATCAAGAGCCAGTTTGCAAAGGGCATGTAGATGTGCTCATGGAACTTGCGACTGGTGTGGACGGCTTTGATGTGAGGGAAATAGGACATCCTCATGACCTGGGACAGAAGCTGAAAGGTCGAGGTGATGAGGGCCTGAGAGGCAACGATGGCGGCCAGAACAGCGAGGATGAGGGAGAAGATCAGTGTTCCGGGAGGGACGGTGGAAAAGAACGGATTGGACCATGCAGTTCCCGAGGCATCCTGAGAGATGTAGGCAGCCTGGCAGGAAGAGAAGAAAGGTTTGGTTAGCGTCTCGAACCACTGTGGCAGAGAAGGCGTTTGACTTACTTGTCCAATATATGCAAAGAGTAGGCAGGGGTAAGCGATGCATAACCAGGAAATCTGGATAGCGCGTTTGCCAAAGGCGCCGAGATCCGCAAACATGGCCTCGACGCCAGTAAAGGCCAGCAACATGCCGCCCAGCGACCTCCATCCCTCCTCGCCGTTCCGGATGAGATAGGTAAAGGCAAAGTACGGACTGAAAGCCTTGAGCACTGTGTAGTCGTATGTGGCGAGGTTGTAGATGCCAGAGACGAGGTTAAAAAGAAGCCAGAGCACGACGATGGGGGCAAACCCCGTGCCGAGCTTCGAGGTTCCGAAGGGCTGGATCGCGAAGAGGAGGACGAGGATGGCACATGACACGCCGATGATGACTGGTGTCCCAAGGCTGGGGTTCACCACACGAATGCCTTGAATCGCACCGAGGACGGACTGGGCTGGCGTGAGGACGCCATCTGCCATGATCATGGACACACCCTGTTGTGTGTGCATGCCAAGATGATTGCTCGTCAGCACTCTTTTTCTTTTTGGTCTTCTTTGTTGGTTGTTGAAGTATCAGTTTATCACTCACAAGCACGCCGACCACTTTCAAGATGGCTTTGGTCACAGGGCTGTTCTCGACAAACCGCCGGACAGACCGAGCCTCGGGTCGCAGCTCGCCAGTCCTGTAGCGCTGCATGCGTACCCCCTTCTCATATGGATCGCGGTGCGTGATTTCAATGAATCGCGAGAGGAGGCTGTATAGCGCAAATGTACCGCCCTGTCCATCATCGTCGGCGCTCAACACGATAAAGGTGTATTTGACGGTAACGATCAGAGTAAGAGACCAGATAATGATGGATAAGGCGCCGACGAGATTGTCCCATGTTGGTTGGCTGGTGAAGGTGGAGGACTGGGAAATCATTCAGACAGAAGGCGTTAGTAAAAGGATTGTATGCGTAAAGAGTTTATGAAAAGACGTTTTGAGAAAAGAAAAAGAACATTGACATACATAGACGTAGAGAGGACTTGTGCCGATATCACCATAGATGACACCAGTTGCTATAGTACAGAGTCATCAGTCTTGTTATGCCATTGACACAAAAACAGATCAGGTGTGGCCTTTTTGAAACTTACCTTGCCAGCTGAGCCACAATAAAACAAAACCACTGTATTTCTGGAGCAATTCTTTTAGCATTCCCAATCACTCGGTTTTAACCTCAAGAGGGATTTGTATTACCTGCTTCTGAGGCTTGTGCAGATCGTCATCGGCAATTTGACGTGCATTCTCCTCGTCTCCAATGATGGGACTGTGCTTCGTGACGGAATGAATCGAGGTTTCTTTCTCGGATAGCTTCTCGGTAGAAATATCCTCACGCTGCTGATTTGGCTGGGCAGGTGATTCAAACTGGATACGATAGGAAGGGTCTTGAGGGCCATCGGATGTCGCCATTGTGAAACAATGTAGGTGCTAGAGCACACACAACAGAGCCAAGAAGAAAAGAGAGGAGGGAATAGGACTGAGAGAAAGAGAGAGAGAGAGAAAGAGCGGACTGGAAGGGGGACGAGAAGAGGTGAAGGAAGGTGAGCAGGCGAGGAAGCGGTGTAAGTGAGTTCTTAAGTACAGAAGAAGGGGGAAAACGACGGGAGCCCGGTGAACTCTTTGTTGGCAATTTACTCCTTCAGTAAGGAACACTAGTTATGTTTGAGCCACTGCTGATCTCCGCCAGCTGTAGCTTGAAGACGGAAAAGAAGCACCAACCCGTAGTGAGCTGATGCCAGGTAGTCATGCGATGGAGTCAGACCGGAATACTGAATGCGGCTACAGGTAAGGCAAGGGGGGAAACAAACAAGTGTGGTTAGACCTGTGATATCTCTTCCGCTAATCTTAGTATAGTTTCTCAATGAATGAATAATTATGCTTCGCGAAGAAGAACACCTCCCCCCCCCCCCCAAAGACACACACTTTTCTCTCCTATATTGCTGTATCTCCAGATGTCGTCAACATGTGACTGGCAATACAAAAGGGAAAAAAACTTTTTCCCTTTTTTTTTTTTTTTTTGTCTCTCGCACATAGTTCTAATTGTCAGTATCATCATTTAATGGTTCATGCAGCAGTATGTAATGCGCCTCCCGAACTATCAATCACGGCGCCAGCCCAAAGAATCAAGTTTTCCTTTTGGGGGCCTTGTAAATTACCTCAGCCTTATTGTTCAATTAACAAGAAGGCAACGATGGCCAGGTTAACAACCACCCGTGGCCAAGAGAACTAATGGACTTTACCTGAGTTTGCGCGCCTTGTCAGAAAATCGCTCATAGGGAGGAGAGATTAATTAGCACGTGCGTAGCGGGCCTGGGAAAGGAGGAGAGCGATGGATTCACGACCATGGCCCAAAGTCAAGGCCGCCCTCCCCTCCCCCCCCCCTTTGCTTCCCGCGCGTCCCTTCTCCAACATTACACCGTTAAGAAATGCCGCATATAGTCCAGGAAAACGGGAAATCGCAAGAACCAGATTGGAGGAGAACTGACATGTGCCCGTTGGCTTGGCAAAGAGGATGATGGCTGTGTTTTGCAGGCCAACTCGTCTTGGGCTAGCCTGGCCGGCTAACGAACCAGCATCATCCACACTGATGATAAGGTGAAGTGTCACCCTTAGCTGTCAAATTTACCTTTTTTTCTTTATTCTTTGTCCTCAGTGGAGGTGATTAGGTCGGGGGGAAATAAATGTCGCATATCAAAACATGAGCATGGGTCTGGATCTCTCTTCTCTTTTCGGGGCTCTGACGGCAGACGTATACAAATTGGGGAATCCGAAATGTGGAGTGACAGTGACGAAACCCCTCTTCATCCTCCGGAGGTGAGACACTATGGTCTGTACGCCCCGGGGTATGTACTTACCGTGTCGTTGGCACTACGATCCAGTAACATACTATGGCATACTACAAGCCAGCGAGCAGGAGGCACGTGATAATACTAGCACGACTACAATAAGTGAATTTCATCTTGTTTTCCTTCGGAAGTTATCCATCGCTCCACACCGTTGGGTTCAGCCTGGAGGCCTCTCTCGACCGGTTGGATATCTAGATTGTGTTTGACTCTTTGATATTACTCAAGGAAGGGATCTATCTGAAAAGAACAGCAAATTGGCCAGCACAAGACTAACTAACTCTCTTATCAGATTCTTTTGTCTCACGGAAGCAAACCAGCTCTGCAGCCGTTGTACGGTTCTTACCTCGTGAATCAATCGTGACCTGAAAACGAGAGCGGTCAAGCACCACAGCCCCCCCCCCCTGTTCTAAGCTAGCGGATAGACCCGTGATCCTAAACAACGACCCTGAAAACCCCTACTGTAGCGTGAATAGGTCATACACATTTAGCATGATACACTACTTAAATATCGCAAAAACCTGTGGAGGCCCGTTTAGGGTTTCAAGCACCTTTTTTTTTTCTTTCTCTATCATTTTTTCTTTCTTATCTCAAAAGGGGCCAACGTCGGCTGGAGAAACTCTCTTAATTTCCAACCCGACACCACAATAGCGCTCAAAAGTTGTTCATTTCAATCAAATGCTCTTTATGCGCGAATTTCCCAACTGATGAGACGTTACATGAAGAAAACTATAGGGAAGGGGGGGGGCGGACTTGCTCACAATGTTTTGGCGGTTTCTAGTCCCTGGGCCTTCCTTGCCTTTTTCTTCTTCATTTCTTCAGAGATTTAGTGAAGTGAGCTAGATAGAGGAAGACCCTCGAAACGATCGACCTATCATAGCAAGTGACCAAAGTGACAAGACAAAAAGTTACTGTAGTTATACCGCGTTTAGCAGTGAGGAACCATTCCAGATTAGGCCCACTTGTCCTACAGAAATCCGTGTAATGCCATTCGTCTAAACAAAGCAGGGTTGATCCAAGGAGCAACACCACACCTCACTTCTCTCGCTGGCGCACAAAAAGACTCAGCCTCTGAAGGGCAAATTAAATGTCTCCTCGAAGCAGAAAAAGGAGATCACCGGAGAGAAAGAGAGAGGGAAGGGGGGAGGGAGAGAGAGAGAGAAAATTGCAGTGCTGGTTTGCAAAAGATATGTGCATTGTGCCTGAATACTCAAGGCATCCAAACGAGTGTCTGCTGGGTAAATAATACATACACAAGAAGCCAGAAGTACAAAAAAGTGCAAGCGAGTGACAAGAATCGGCCTTCCCAGAAGCAAATCCCAGGTGATACCGCAGTATAGACACGAGGTCCTCCCTCCCCCGGAAGACAAGAATGAAGCAGAAGAGGAGAAGAGGAGAAAAGGAGAAGAGAGAAGAAATACAAGCAGGAGAAGAAAGAAAAAAAACAAGAACATCTATGCAAATGTCCATCCAAAAAGAACAAAAAAAAAAAACCCCCCCAACATAAACATCTATATATATACAAGAATGAATGGACGGTCCCACCCTTTTATAACCAAGCGTTATGATAGCGATGTGACCACCTCGGTAATATTGACAGGATCAACCCCAAGAAATTGGGCCACGGGCGCCACATGCACACCAGCACCGGCGTGGTTCCTCGAAAGCATGGGCATGACAAGATAGAAAAGAACAAGAAACAGCGCCATGGTGACGCGCGAAACGAGTGCACGGACGGACATGCTCAGAAACAAAGTAAGAAGCCGGACGACGAGGTCGACAAGGGGCCGCGTCCTCGCGTAGACGGGCGACGCCTCGAGGCGCTCGAGCAGCGAGGTGACCCTCTCGCCCCAGCCGGGAGGCACGAGCGAGGTCAGAGGTCTGGTCATGAACGATGATGAGGATACAGCGCCTACAGCAACATCCTGTGCGTCTTGAAACCCTCCGCCGACGCCCTTGCAAAAGGCATCATGCTTACCTCGGCCGAGGCCCTTCTCAAGGTCCACACTTGCCGAGTTGTACCCTTCGTCAGAAGCAGCACCACCGTCACTACCATCATTGTTGTCGTTGCTGCTCGCGTCAGACTCGGAGCCTGCGAGCATCTTCTTCTCGTCCTCGGGAAACAGCCACCCCGCGTCCCTGGGGACCCGCTGGTGCTGTGCCTGCTGGCGGCCGCCGGGCCGCTGGGCCACGCGTGTGGCCATGTCTCGGAGCTTGACGGTCGAAGTCGTGCTAGGGCCGCCGACGGTGACTGTGAGGACCGAGGGGTTGGGGTCGCTCAGGTAGCCGGACTGGTCCGCACCGCCAGTTGGAGTAACATCGTCACTGTTAGGCCGTTAGGTCAGTATTGATCTGCTTCTGAAAACGAAAGAAGGATTTTCATATTTCCTCTCGTAGAGGAAGACACTGAGAGAGAGAGGGAAAGGCAAGACTTACTATGGGAAGGCATAGCCCTTGCCATCAAGCTCAGTGGCGTGGCAGATGCGCGCATAGTGGTCAGTGATGGTATTAGTATAGTACGTGCTCACCACCTCATCATCGGGCTGAACAGCATCGATCAGCAGAGTGGAGCGGACAAACGCCGCGGCCAGGCGCGGGATGATGGCCTCGATCTCGGCGCCGCTCTGCGCAAACGGGCCGGTCGAGTTGGAGAAGATGTCGGCACTCGAGGGCTGCGAGAAGGTGCCCACACCGCTGAAGGTGAGGACGTCGTTCTCGACCGTGCCGTTCAGAGACCCGTACGTTGAAGTCTGGGTGTCGATGGTGAGGACGGCCCCGTTGCTGTACTTGTCCCAGACCTCGGTCACATAGGGATCGTAATAGCCGTCGAAGAGCGAGCTGTTCATGACGATCCCGTTGTTGGGGGACAGCGCACGCAGGTTGGCACCGTTCAGCGTCACGATCAGATCACTCCAGCCCTGGCCGTCGCTGGCAGTCTGGGCCGTGAGCTCGCTGCAGACGGTGTCGAGACCATCCGCAGGCAGGCCCTCGACCGTGGTGACGGTCCCGGATGTGTTCTCCAGCGAGAGGCCAATGGGCAGGCAGACGAAATCCACACAGGTGATGTTGACATACAGCTGCGACGTGTTGAAGGTGAACTCGCAGAAATCCCAATAGATATTGTAGTTCGGGTCCGCAGTGTTTGTGGGCGAGGGCTCGACCAGCGCAGGCCCTTCATTCAGCAAAAAGGTCAAGGTCGCATCTCTGGAGAACCAGATGCGACCTCCGTCAGTTAGAGGAACAGTGATTGTTGTGGTACTTCCCGGCGCCCCTAGCGGGATGGCACAGTCAACAGCCAAGGCTGAGCCATTGCTAGAGGGCGAGGTTGGATAGTAGACTGTCTTCCCGTCACTGCAAGGAGAAGGAGGCACGAGTGTCAATATCCTTTTTCGAGCAGAGAATCAAAATAGAGAGGTAGTCCTCTGATGAGATGGTCTTACCTTTCCAACAAATACACAGCATCGTTATTGCCTCCAGCAAGTCCGTTGACATAGGCATACGCGTTGGAGGAGCCCGTGTTGTTGACCAGAGCCACGGTCAACGTGGTACTGGCCGCAGCCGAGAGGGCGGCGTCGACATTAGCCGTGCTCTTCGAGGCCAGGTCGGTCGGCTGCTGGAGGATGTGATCCACCTTGGCCCTCTGGAGCGCTGCTGCGAGGGTCGCCATCTTGCAAAATCAGCGGCGGGCTGGCGGGTATTGTGGTTGCTCGTGGTGTCGAGAGAAGGAGGGTTTCCAATGAGTGTTGTCACAACGAGTGCGGTAAGGACTGTGGCTCGCGGTTATCGACGAGAGACTTGTAGCGAAAAAGGAGTGTGTGGAGTTGGAGCAAGAAGCCTTTTTGTATTTGTATAATGACTTCTATTCTGGCTGTCGAGAAAGAAAGGAAGGGCAAAAAAAGGAGTGACTTAGGTAAGGAGAGTTGTCTTTCTCTCTCTTTCCCTTGAGAAGCTGTAAGAAAGCTCTTCACAATGCTGACTTGCGCACGTGTGGTTGACCTGTCAAGAGGCGTGCCTTCTGACCTTGATCCCGAGGGACGCCTCCGGGGTATTATATACACCACATTTCGAACAGCTGAAGAGGTACACTTGTAACGCCCAGCAACTCCTCAAACCACGACTGGGAGTAATTTCCACAAAAATACCTTTAGTTCTAAGCCTGCCGTCACATTAACATGACAAGATGTATCAGGACTGCCGAGTCACGGCCGAGGGTGCGGCTCAGAGAGGCAAGAGGCTATAGCCATTAACCCTGTCGACGACTACCCTGACAGCACGCCGGGGACCTGCATGATATTGCAGGATGAGTATTTGGACGAACTAGGCGTCAATGTGGCACCCTGCCACCACAGTACTTGTGTATGTGTGTGTATGCATGCTCAGTCCCCCTTCCAACTGGTCCCTGCACCGGGGCACATCGCTGATGGGCAAAATGAGGACAAGGGGCCAGTCTCAACCCCGGATGTTCGGCTGCCTGCGGGGCGGTAAACCAGGGACCTTGACGGGTGTGAAGAAAGAAGAAACACACACACACAGAGAGAGAGAAAGGCCCCAGGGGTTAGTAGCTATGTTTGGAAGAGAGAGAACGAAAGACGGGGAAACGGGAAACATCAAGCCCCATGCCCCATCGCGGGCCAGACCTCTGACCCAGGAGGGACTGCCGCGCCGGGTAGTGGGATGAGCCTTGCTCAAGTGCGGGTAGCGTACCGAGCGCTGAGAAGTTGTTGAGCGAATCAGATGTATATCCCGGCATTTTGGGTTAATGAATGCTGATCTGGAGCTGCTGGCTCAGCCGCATAAGGAGAATGGATGGTATATGGGCTCTTCTACTCTTCCATTCTCTCGCCAGGTTAGATGTATCACCGTCGTCGCATGATTCCAAGGGAGTAAGCGGTGCCCAGAACCCCAGATCACCTCGGCAGAACGTAACAAGTTCATACAAATTTTCAACATGACGCTCGCAGGAGAAGGGATGTGGGCCACGGGACCGTGGACATGTGAGTCCATGATGATGCAGGTCCATCGGCTGGCACTGAAAAGAGGGACGACTCTAGACAAGGAAGACGGCGTCCGAGGACGTAATCCACATCCACACATCCACATTCCACACCCACACCCACACAAGTACACAACCCTTCCCTCATCCTCGACATCAAAGGCCGTACAAGCACTTGCCTGTCCCGGAGCAATGCAAGAAAGGGAAAGGCGGCCCGCCACAGCATTGCGAATGGGGCAAATGACCAAGACAAAAAGAACCTGCACCTTTTGTGGCGAGGAGAAGAAGGAAATTGAGAAAGAAGGCAGCAACGCATTGGAGTTAGACCAGATGGAATGATGCCAGTAGGGTTCTGTGTGAGTGCGCGGCACGTATTCCGTACGGCAGGGTAGCAGCGAAGAGATGGTGCCAGCTCTCTCTCTCTCTCTCTGTGTGTGCGTGCGTGCGTGTATGTGTGTGTATCTCCGTCGTTGGGTTCTCCCCCACCCCCCCAAACCCAGCGCCCTATGGTCTAATAGATGATTTGTGTGCACCATCACAGGTTCAGTACCGTGATCGAGGGTCGAAAAGAGTCATCCAATCCAGAATGGCAGCTGAGTGTGTCTGTGATCAAGGCGATACGCGGCAGGGAAGGTCCCCCCCCGTTCAAACAAGAGAGGAAGGGGAAGAAGAAGGGGGGGGGGAGGAAGAGATCGTGTTGCATTGCATTGCATTGCTGTGCAGGGCCCCTCTTCTTTCTTTGACAAATCGGGCCGCCAGGTGGGCTAAGAAAAGAGATTCCCCCCTCCAGAAAAGAAAAAAAAAGAAAGGGTGCAAGGAATTCTGGGGTGCGTATGGCCTTGTGTCGTCTGGCCTGTAAAGGTGTGGGTTGAGGACGATGAGTGGTCGTTGCACGAAATGAGGTTGTGTCGCTGCTCGGCTAAACCCAGTTGCACACCCCTGTAACATGTTCTGCCTGACTGACCAGGGCTCTCCGTCTCTAGCCAGTCCCGTGGCCCAGGTATGTTCTGAGCTATCTGTTTTTTTTTGGGGGGGGGGGGGGCAAAGGCGCCAACCCCGGACCAAGGGGGGAATTTGGTAGGGGTGGGGTCAGTGGTGGTGCGTGTGGTGGGGTTTTTGGGGCCTGTGCTGCCTATTCGGTAGGGGGGGCCTATGAGCGCTGGAGGCCAAACAGCTTTGCTACCTACTCACTGGCCAAAAAGATGGGTTAGGGGCTATGTAAGTGAGCTAATTAGGCGGATTAAATGCCAAGATCAGCGATCACAACTGCAGATCTTGAACAAGCTCCCCTGTGCACATCAAGCATGACAAGGGAGGATCCACAGTCTCGATGTTTCTGTTTTTCTTTTTCTTCAGTCTCCTTTCATCAAGGAAAGACTCACCGAGCCCAAGATCAGATGGCAGCACGACCCCCCCCCCCTCCCTTGAAAGCTCCAATAGCCTTCGAGGAGTTATTCTCAGTACTATGTAGTATCCACCACCGTTTCTATCATGGTACACCTTGTCTCCCTTAATATTATGTATCAGCCACTCACTACTCTCCTCATCATCACTCAAGACGCTCGCTGACAACAACGTCTCCTCCGCGCCACTCAGAGGCCCAGAACTTTGTTGAAGATGGGACTGACCTCCGAGATTGCACCATGGACAAGCCATCTCTTGCTTCTATTAACGCCTCTGTCTGTGCCTGTCAGATTTGTGTTCCGAGGCTAGTGATTCTCTCTCTGTTTCTCTCTCTTCAAAAGGAGCCGGAACAAGCCCTAGAGGGAGGCGGGGGCGAGGGGAAGCACGCCTCATCATCCTGGCTTGGGAGGAAAAAGAAAACGAGAAGAAAAAAAATGAAACTGCTGTCCATCGTCCGGCATATGTGGTGTGTCCCCAGGCAGGCAGCAAATCCTTCGGACCGACTCAGGTCCCTTTTTTCTTTTTTTCTCCATGGCTTTGAAACCTCATCCGCAGCCCCATCGATGATGCTCACTTTGCCCCGGACTAGCCAACGACATCTTTTTCATTGACGGGGTTACAGGTGACCCGTGTGCCGCCCGTTGCCAGATCCCTGGGTTGCTGGGACTGGTAGAGAAACAGGGGACCGTCGGCGTCCGGGGTGCGCCGGCGTCCGGTTGAACAGAGTATCACCAGATCAGCCTCTCCCTGTCCGCTCGTGGGAGGTTAGTAGTGATGACAACTCTCAGAACGTAAGAGGGCGCTGGGCAGAACCATGATGCAATGGGCAGAATTAATATCTGTTCTGCTTCAATTGCCAGGAAGGGCGAGCACATGGGGACAAATCCAGATAGACCACGAGATCTCTCATATCCGCCTTGCCTCCTCCTTGCCTTCCCGTCCCGCGCGGGAAAATAGCCCTCGAGGCCCCTCCAGATCTTTATGCCTGACATGTGAGTGATAATGCTGTTGTGTCTGCTGTCCTCTTGACGTGTTCATCCGGTACCTGCGTCCTCGAGGGATTGTGCATATGCCGGCAGATGGAGACATGTCTCGAGGTTTCGAATCTGACCAAATATAAAGAACAAGGGAAAAAGGATCAATTTAACCCTATTTCGAAACCCCACATTCCTTTTAACCCTCTATTTCTCTCTTCTTCTTCTCTCTCCTCGATCAGTCTCTTGGACAGCGACGGCAACGTACGGGAAAACTGATGCGATCAAGGAGGAATTGGCCCCCAGAATAGATCTATTTCCGATGCCATGAGTGAATAGTCGGGCGTTGTTCCTTTCCCTTTTTCCTTGTCACATACCTATCTTAGAAGTAAGCATGTCGAAACAGCCGATAGCTCTCTCATCTATACCAATTCAGCCTCGGTCGAGCCTGGTGAAATTGAGGGAGCTCTCGTCACATCACACGTTGCCTCTCAGAGCCATGTCGGCGTAGTATTATCGTCGGGCATGTATCTTGGGTATCTGTGGAAGTCAGTGCTCGGATGGCTATGTCTTCGGCCATGCTCTGGACTCAGCGCTTCCGGCTCTGCTACCCGTCGGTCCTTTTTCTCCCCTCGCACCATTGCCTCTGGTGTCCCCCCCCCCTTTTTTTTCTCGTTCCTTTCTTTGAGTATCACGAGATAACAGAGACAGAGAGGGGAGGGAGGTTAATGCAGGGAGGGATCAACATCAACTCTGAATCATTAGCGGGCGTACGATGATGCCCTCCACCGTCTGTGCTCGTGGTCTGCTCCCTCAATGATGTCCCATGCGAGAGGCAAAGGTGAATGAGCCACTCTGGTCACCTTGAATTTCGCGACATCCTGCTTTGCCGTACATCCTGTTGTCTCCATACACCAACGGCCAAAAGATGTCCAAACGCCCACCACTGAATCCAAACGCCGGGACCTCACAATCCATCCAATACCTCCTCTTCCCCCTTGGATATCTCCACCGGCAATAAAGCAGCATTGGCGCCCCACTCGCACCGCTCTCAAAGCCCGAGCATCCAGCTCGCACCCGCGAGCGAGGCTCCCATCAACACCCAAGTCAGGTGGCTCACTCTCACCCCAGCAGCTGCCGCACCCTTGATCCCACTGTCCGATGACACCGTCTGGTTAGACGTCATATTCTTCTGGCCCGAGAAGAACCATCCTGCAGCGGAGGAGTTCGTGGCGGTGACATCCGGGATGTCGCACACGGCGCCCGTCGAGCTTGGGTCAGCACACCGTGCCGCAAAGTCCTTCTGGCGGCTGGCATCGCTGCTATTAAAGTACGCCTTGACGTACCCGATCTCGAGCACGGCGTCGCTGGCGGGGGGCCCACCAGACCACTCCGGGTTGCCGTTACTCCACTGGCTGACGGCGAGGTGGCCTGCATGCGTGGGCACGGCTGCAGGGTCGTCCATTTCGGCGAGTACGCTGCCGTCCGCGTAGAAGAGGACGCGGCCGGGGACCCAGTCGATGCGGTACTCATGGAAGTCGGCCCGCGGGTCGAATGGAAGGTAGATGACCTGGTACGTGTTTGTGTGCGCGGCGTTGTAGTTTGCCTCGGCCGAGGCGTCGGACTGCAGCACGAGGTTAACTGGGTAGCTGGCGTTGGAGGTCTCAAACTGCTTGGAGAGAAACTCAATGTCGATCTCTTGCGTGTCGTTGTAGTACTGTGAAGAGGCGTTAGCATGAGCGTGACATTGTGTCCGCAGCGACCATCTCTTCTTGTTTTTTTCTCTCTCGTCGTAGCAAGGGAGAAAGAGAAAAAGGCGACGGGGAGAGAGAACGAAAGGGGGCGAAAGAGGGATTGCGCTGGAGTTCTGCTGGATATGACATCCACCCCAGCCTTGCCAGGTATTGCCCAGCATAAACACCATCCAGAAGATGACCCAAAACTTTTCTTTCGCACAAACTCACCCAGAAGAAAGCCGACACGGTCCCCGCGATCCCCGTCAGCTTCATGCTGCTCCTAAACGTCCCATACGACACGTCCAGCCGCGCGCTGTCCACCTCACCCCCTTGGACATCCCCATCCGTCTCCGAGCCTCCCACGACCGTGATTTGCAGGCCGTCCCCCTCCGACGACACCGCGTTGTCAACATTCATCATCTCGCCGTAGCTGCCGCGGGCAATGGTGGCGTCCTCGCTCCAGTTCTGGCGCACCCAGTCCGTGTTCTTGGCGATGTTGCTGATGTTGACAAAGTTGGTCTCAATCAGGTCTGTCACCACGTACTGCCTTGTCTCGTTGGTGCTGTTGGTCGGCAGTGTCGTGAGACGGTAGCCGCACTCGCAGTCGGCGCGGGCGGGGCGCCCACCTGCGGCGAGGAGCAGGGTGAACGTTGTGAACCTCGAGAGGAGACCCTTCTTTTTCCTCCTCGTGGTAGCCATCTCGAGGCTGGAAGGTTGCCGACCCATGGCGCTTCTCGATATGATGGCAAATGGGGCGGTTTGAAAGGTTAGTTGTTCTGAATGTTACTGCCAGCAATAATGGCTCCTGGGGTCCCAAGCAGTGTCTGAATGCGTGAAGTAGAATGCTGGTCTCAATGATGTGTCGCAAACAATATCAGCGATTGCACAAGACAGCGCAAGAGTGTCACGCGAGATACGGCAACAAATTTACTCGGGTGCAGTCTCTCTCTGTCTTGATAGAGAGAGGCGAGTCGATCTCAGTGATTAAGCGACCGAGTGTGAATCACTGAATCAACAAAGTGACACAACCTTCAAATCAAGTCAAACCAAATGAGTCGGAAAAAAAGAATCATACTCTGCTGCAGATAGAAAGCGGAGGTGTTTTCCAGACGGCGCTTCCATGGGGGAGGAGGCAAACTCCTCCCTCGTATCCATCTGATCATTTGGTTGGCTGGCTGGGAGAGAGACATGGTTCGAGATCCTAGTAGAAAATAAGGCACTATGGCATTCTGCAAGGGCAAGACAATATATTGCCGGCGACCAGGACGCGGGAAGGCGCCAACGGCAAAAGCAAGAAAGGCGGGGAGAGAAGAGGCTGGGCTGGAACAAGATTGCCGATCTGGAGTCGTGCAGGAAGGACCTCACCCGCTTGTGGGTTCCTGCTTGGAGTTACACAAGGACAGTGCCCAAAAGCGAAGAATTCAAAAGTGATCATCATCATCGCAGACGGCGAGTGCAGCCAGGCCAAAACACTGAAGACTCCTATTGACCGCTGTGGCGCTATGATTTCCTCCCTTCAGTGGTGCACACCTGATCAATCACCTTCCGAGGGTGGTAATATCTCGGCGACATCCCTGTCCTTAAGACCTCTGCCATGCCTGGGGACGCGGATTGCTACCTATCATGGCAGTCTCTTCCTTAAGGGCTACGCCTCAGTCAAGTCGGCACACAAGAATCCCACCCTGAACAACAAGACAGTCATGGCCGTCTTGCAGTTGGCGTACGTGTCATGTCATTCACCCATGAGAGCATTCATTGCGCGCATATTTATAGAGAGAAGAGAGACGTTGCTTGAACGCTAGACTAGAGAAATGCTCCTGTACACCTCGAAATATCCGAGTCAAAGAGAGATAGAGAGAGTGAGACAAACAAGACGACTATCATTAATAAAAGAACAGCGACAACCAAAAAAAAAACCAAACCAAAAAAAAACAATCTCGTCGCGAACCTCGTTATTGCATTAATTCTGGCCCCGACGCAAAACCCGTTCCTACAGACCTCCAGCATGTCCATGTTTCCGCGTCTAGTACACTGACATAAGAGATGAAGAACGAGGAAACGGCAAACCAAACAACGCATGAGTATCGAACAAGGTATCAGGAAAGGAATACAGAGGAAGAAAAGAGAGGAAAATAACCACAAACAACAAACAGACAAACAGTAAAGAAAAAGAAAAAAAGCCAAAAAAAAAAAAAAAACCAAAAAAAAAAACTCAAGAACAAGAACCATTAAAAGTAAACGGTAGGGTCGCCGTAGCGAGAAGAAAAAAGGACAAGGAGAAGTAGAGTCCTAATCCTCCCATTGGGGCCAGCCAACGAATCCATCCGTGCTGCAGATATTAGGTTTGCCGCCAGAAGCATGCTTCAGCCCTCTCAACCTCGACCTTTCCAAACCATGTGAAAGGACCAAAAAAGCATGACCGACCGGGCTTTTTGCCAAACCTGCCCCATCCTTGGTTATTACCAGTGACCCTTCGTAAACATGTGGACGGAAAAAACAACAAATAAAGATAAAAACAAGGAAATCGGAAAGATTCGACAAGAACCCTTCGCCCCCACGCCAGACTATGAAATCAAAATGAGAAGAAAGACATGGAGAGTAAGTATGCCAAGGAAAGTCGCCTCATCCCCTCGAGGAAGGATATAGGAGACGTGCAAGTGTGGGAAATGATCGCGAGAATCAATACACGCTGTCTGCGTCAGCTCCCTGCGAGGTCATAGACGGCGTCGAGACGTTGGAAGACATCTCAATGTCATCGACGTAGCCGCAAAGGGCCTGCGCGTGGAGACGGAAAGACTCGCCCATCAGTCGGGTCATTCTGCGAAACAAGTCAGCGGCCATACATAGAAATCGGTGCAGTTTCAAGAGATAATCAGGCACTTACCCCCAGACGACCACCTCGTCAAGCATGGAGCCCCACAGACGGGCCACAATTGAGCCCAGCTGGGAGATGTAGTGCTGCTCCAGGTCCTTCTCAAACAGCTTCCGAATCTTGTTGTACATGACCATCTCCTCATCGGTGGCTGGCTCTTCGTCATGTTCCAGACGGTAGAGCCAGAGGCTGAGGATGATCATGAGATCCATGCCGCAGAGAGGGTGCTCAATGCTCCAGTTGGTCGGAGAGGTGCGGGCAACCCAGCGGACGCCCTGGACCACCGCAGTCTCAATGCAGTCATAACACTCTTGGATGACCTTGATCATCTCCGAAGAGCGCTTGACCCGGTCCCGCGCGCCTGACATCGCCGCAGCGACTTCGTACGAATCATGGTAACGAAGAGCTTCCTGGACGGTCTTGAGGTCGACTTCAAGTCGAGCTCGGGCGCTGCGGAACATGGCCGTAGCATTGAAAATCAGGGGGTGGCCCTTGTGAGGCGAGATGATGGGCACGGTAGCAGCCTCGGGCTCGCAGAGATCGAGAGATTTCTCCCACGTCTCGAGAGCAAGCCTGAGCTTGTACTCAGTGACCACATCCTGGAGAGCCTCAGGGCTGCGCTTGTGATACCAGACCTCAAGGAAGAGCGCGTTGATCATCACACGGGTGGCAAAGGCACTGTACTTGAGCGCCTCGCCCTGGAACAGCTTCTCATGCGCCTCCATGAACGTCATGCCCGCCGAAACGCCCAGCTGTTCCTGCCAGGCTACCTCGTCGGACACCGTCATGTTCCAGAGAGCTTCCGTTGAGGGCAGGTGCAGGTCCTCAAACTCGTTGAAACTGATGGCTGGCGTGTGGTTGAAAGACAGCGTCAGGAGGCCGAAGAAGATGTAGACCGCGTAGTACGTGCGCCTGCAGCCTTCATCCTCGACCCACTCCGCACGCGTCGGCAGGCGGCCCTCACGGGCTTCCTGTCTCAACTTCAACTCGTAGCGGTTACCAGCAACCATGTTCGCCAGGAGACTCTTGATCGAACAAGCCCATTCCAGGCCCTTGGGGTCACCACTCCAACTCGCGAAGATCATGTTCAGCAGGGAGCCTTGCATAGCCCACAGTGGGCACTTGCGAGAGCTGAAGTTCTCCTTGTTCTGAAGGAACTGGTTGACCAGGATCTTGCTACCGACGTGCAGCATGTAAGCCTGCTCTTGGTCGAAGGCGTAGAGCGCACCGATGGACAGTACAGTCAAGAGCAGAGCAGGCGAGACCTTGGTCGGCTCGAACGAGGCCGGGTGGAGGAAGGGCAGGTGATGATGGAACATGCCAAAGTAGGTCGAAAGATACCGGTTGAGGCAGGCGAGGTTCGGCAGACGGAAGCCGTCAGGGATGGCACGCTCGGCATCAGTGCTGCGGATGTTCTCCTGGATCATGCTACGTTCCTCATCACTCTTCAACTGAGGGGCCTTGAACCCAGCCGACGTCTGACGAGCCTCGCCGAGGCCGTGAGCGCCCTGTGAGAGAGGCGTGCCGGCAGTAGAGGTCTGGGTCGAGTTGGCGAGCGACTGCGAGGTCATAGAGTCATGACCGTTGGCTTGTCGGGAAAACATGGAGCTCGACTGGGGCTGGACAGTGCTGGCACTGGTAGCAAGCGAGTGCTGAGAAGCAAACGATCCATTGGCTGAGGCGAGCGCGGAGTTCTTGTGCTCCCCGTGGAATGCGTCCCACTGGGTAGGAAGGCCAATCGCGCCGTTCGGATAGGTAACAGTCGGAGGGTCCATGATGGCGTCGCCGTTCTGAGCAAACGGAACTTGACCAGTCTCGTAGGATCCGCTGTTGCCGTGCATGACAGCAGTCGCCTTATGATGAAGATCAGCAACTAGCATGGCTGCAGTCTCGACATCGAAGCCGTTGTCGCCACCACCACCCATTTGCTCTAGAGCAGAGTCGTCGAGACCCAGTTCAGGCTTGGCAGCAGCAGCAACCGTCTTGGGCTTGGGACCACCACGGCGCTTGCCATCACTATGGAGAGGGATGCCTCCATCCTTGGCGTGAACGGTTCGATCATGTCGCAGGAGAAGATCGCGGCGCACGAATGTGCTCCTGCACTTCATGCACTTGAATGGCCGCTCCTTCGTGTCTGCGTATAGGGGCACTAGGTCAGCTTACAGCCACACACGAAAAAAAAATTTGCTACCGCGGCTTGTGCAACACGAGATACTACAGCCCTCCCACGCAACGTGGAATGTCTGCAGGGCAACGGACAGTATCGAAAGAGGAAAATTAGAAGGGTGTGGGGGTGTGGATTCACATACGAGAGCGCTCATGTCTGCTTCGGTGCTCGCTCCTGCTGAAGGCACGGGAGCAGTACTGGCACTTGTACTTCCTCTCTGGTGCGAGTGAGGTCTTTCGCGAGGCGGGCGTTGGAGACGCAGTGGCGGGCACGGGCACAGCGGAAACGGCTGCGCCAGGCATCTTGGAAGACGGTCTGTCGCGTTGGGGCTGAAGTCGAACGAGACTTGCGAAACGGGAACGTGGTTCCAGTCACGGCAGGACGGACGGACGACGACGCTGTGGATTGACGGCGACGATTGGCAACGGCGGTCGGCACTCGGAAAACTATTAATTGACACCCTCACAGAACGATGTTGAAAATCGCCTGACTCCTCGCTCGCACGCGGCTCCCGTGGGATTTAAAGTGTGTCGACTTGACTCTGAGGGGCGATGTGGTTCATTTGGGTCGGTATACGGGTCATGGACGAGACCTGTGGCTGGGTAAAGGGGATAAGATGGCAGCAGTGGCCAAATCGATGTACTGGAAGTGAAGGAATGGTCCTGCTCTGGGACAAGAAGAATATGTGGTGGACGCGAGGTCGATGCAGGTTGTGCAGGTGGTGGTGGTGGTGGTGGTGGTGGTGGTGGTAGTGGTTGGAAAAAAGTGTTCGCAGTAAATGCGGAGTTGATGATGAACGGGAGGAGGAGAGGAGGGGTTGGCTTCTCTTTTCGCGGCGGGAGTCGCAGAGGAAAAGGGAGGGCCGAAATTTGGGTGGCCCTTGTCTCTTTGGAGGGGCGAGGGGGGTTTGTGGGAGGGGGAGAGGGGGCTCCAAAAACTGTCTAGCGCACATTGGCTGTAAGATTGCCCTTGGGACGGCGCAGTACAGGCTACCTACAGATGTGCGTCGCCCGGCTGCTGGTCTCAGGTAGAGGGGACACATGCATCCCACCTGCAGCAGAAAGTGGGGTCATTTCTATCCAAGCTCCGGAGGGGTGGAATGGCCTAAACCTCACTAGACCCACAAGGATGTCACCGTTGTACTTTGCTATAGTAGTACTGTAGGCTGCCAGCTGCCCAGGCGCTCCTACCTACCATAGTACACACTACAACTATAGTAGCACGCTCTTACTTGCATGCTGTACCGTACTGTGGTACAGTCAACACACCACACGCGATGAGTGCCTTCCCCTCCCCACACCCCCCTCTTTCTCTTCCTATGTACTCTACAACAAACCAACTCATCTCATCGAGTACTTGCTTTTGCAGGTCTGAAGTCATTACTAGGCACATATCCTCGAACATTGGATTGCTTTTGTTCACACGTGAGACAACCATTCGACTCTGTTCGGTCGACTCAGAGTCCCATGCTTTCTCATCCTCCAGCACGAGAGACGAGAGACGACACAAGAGATGCTATAGGCTGGATGAAGTTACCATACAGCTGAGAAAGAAGGAGGGGGGAGGAGGGGGTCGTGTGTGTGGCCCAACCTCCCTCCTAAATTGCCCCACCCCCACGAGGATGATCTAGTCCAGTGCCTTTAAGCAGCTCCTCACAGCCCAAGAACACACGAGACACGTCGTACCATAGTAACTACGGGCACAGTGCAGGGAGTCCTCGATCCCGGGTTGGTGGTGAAGGTGGTTGGACAAAAGACACCCGGCAACGGAGACAGGCCAAAGCCAACTTTTTGCATCTGATGCTGTCTCTTCCCCCTCCCCTCCCCCTCCGCCGACGGAATTATGGGGCCACCAAAGAGGTCTGCACATCATCACCATGAGACCTTCTCCCTGATGGCAGTTCTATGGTATATGGATCCAGATCTGATCTTCCTTGGCCTTATGTGAGATTATTTAGCTGTGAAAGGTCAGTCTTTTGAGGCCCTGCTTTGCCCTCGATCATCGCGAAGGAGCTTCTCGGGTGTTCTTTGGGGGATTGGACGGCGCGACAATGGAGATGGCCCCAGCGGCACGAGCACAGCTGCATTCCAACTTTGGGCCGACTAGCAGCACGAAAAGTGGATTTTGACATGCAAGAGAGCCCGTCTCTTCTAAGGGCGGTCAGTCTTTTCTTCAAACAACTCGACTCGCTCAAGCAGTGGTCAGCCCAACGAGGGCAGGTGTTCTCGTGATGACGGCACCACGAACAGCATGAACTTGGACAAAGGGGCCACGTTGCGCTGGTGCAGCTGGAATGGCGGCCTAAGCATGTCCACCCCCTCCTCCCTCCCCTCTCCCGGTGGGCAGGGCAGTCACATTCACCACCACCCACCCTCAAACTCTACTGGGACTTTGTCGACCCCCCAATCAGCCGTGAGGGTAGCCCCACGTCCTGGCACGCCTCGGTCTCTCGCGTCTTCCACAACAGAAAGGCAAACCTTGGTGTCCTGAAATAGCGACCTAGCGCCATTCTAAGACACGCAAAGGGATGGCCGTCCCGTCATTTGCCCGGGACGCCGGCTAACCTGCTGCCCCTCCACCTACAAAAGAAATTCGCTACTGCAGCGTAGAAGTGAGGCTGGTTGCAATCTGCATTCCAGCCTCCCACACCCAATCATTGACAGTCTTCCTCATGCACCTCACTACTACTTTCTCTGCCTTTGTATAGTCAGTAGATTTGTCAAGGTGACCATGCCTTAACATTGGTGGCTATGAGGCCCCTAATAAACTTGATAAACCTGGGCAGCAAGCAAAGAAGCATGCGAACGACGCCTACCAGTCATTCGTCATGCGGGGCAGACGAGGTAAAGCAAACCCCATGAGGAGGGGCTGGCTCTCCTGGACACCGCCGTTGCACCATCTGGAGGCTTACCCCTCGGTCTCGGATCGCTCAAGTGCCCAGCAGTTCACACGTGTGCATTTGCCGTCCGCGGGGTCGACCTCGCTGGGGCATGAACAAACATTCACCGTCTCGTCTGCTGGGAGCTTCTTGTTCTGGAGAGGGGGTGGGCGCAGTGTGGATCTCATCCTTCTGCATCACGAAAGAAACCCGGATCACTCGCTTATGACCGACCGATTTGATGGTCAGCACGGCATGGGGAAGGACAGTGAGCATGAACTTTGATGAATCTAACACCCGCCATCGAAAAAATTTTCCCTGGTTCCTGGTCCGCCGCAACAAACCACGGCTTCTGGAAGACCAGGCTCATGCTTCCGTAGCGGCCTCCTGGGCCATAATGCCCTTGAATCCCTGCTGTGGTGGTATTGACCGAGTGATCGATTCAGCACGACTCTGCTGGCGCCCCGTCGTGCTGTACTCTGACGAGTTACAACCCGGATGCTCGTATCAGCACGTCACTGGTGTTGTTTTTACTTGCCCTCTGGCGCCCACGGCATCCGCATTGACCTCCTAATGGGCGCACGTCTCCATTGAAAGGGAGACATGCCGCTGCTGAAAGAATCAGCACGCGTGCCTGAATTCCCCGGGAGGCCCGTCAAATTAAGGGCGGCTTTGACCCGCCAGGCCCGCCTTCCTGGCAGGGCTGTCAGATTGTGGATCTTGTCTCCATTTTTGCGACTGTGGGACAAGCGACGCGGCATCTGCTGTGGATTGCAAATTGCCCAAGCCACCGCTGTTTGGAGGGGTCGCGTCTGACCAGAGACAGGTCTCTGAGCGGTCACGAAATCTTCCGGCAATATCACAGTCGACATGCTGTGGTAGAGCCATCGATCGCATTGCCAAGAGTCCTGCGGGTCTTTGAAGCATCACGTACTGCGAAGTGGCTTGAGTAATAGAGAGGGAGGGAGGAGCTGCAAAACCTGGTCACCCTCGCCCTCTCAACACTGTGGGTGTTTGTCATGAACGGATTTGAATCCTAGCAAGCCCTTGACCCTCGATCCCAATTTGCGGAGACCCCTCCTTGGTTCTTCGCCGGTGGTGTGAGGACTCGTTTTCGCGTTCCTTGGTCCGCCAGGTCTTTTTTGGCATCCAAAACCACGTCTGGGTGGGCAGCTTGATCTTTTCGTCGTCATGAGGAACAAGAATGAAAAGAGGAAAAATTTCTCTGAACGTCAAGATTGGACCTCGCGCATCCGGGATCACCGCCCCTTTTTTAGCCCTTCCAGGCTCACGTTTCAGCAGTGCATTCGTGGCAGCCGGAAAAGCTCTGCTACAGGGCAGGCTCTCGCATTATATGCCCCTCCAAGCCTCTCCTCCTTGCAACCAACCTTTCCAAGCTGAACAGAGAGAGAGACCTCAGGATAAAAGCGGTCTGCTTATCACCGTGCCGTCAAGTTATGGCTGCAAGTGCGCGAGCGCGCGCGCCGGACGGCGGGGACTTCACAGTGCAATTTTGGACAACTCAGCGAACAGGCCTCGTGGGTGGATCACTCCGGGCTGGCTCAAAACGCACAAGAGGCCCGCCCGAACGAACGACTGGGACCGGAGGATCCGCGGCAGCACTTCCGGGATGCTACTAATCCCCATTCCCGGGGACCATTCCCCGGTGCTGTTTGACACATGGCTGCTAAAAATTGCACCCTGGTCTTTCCCTCATTTCGACGTGCAGCACACCACCGAGGAGAGAGAAGTCTAGGCACGCCTTGAAACCTGTTTATGGGCCACGATGTACTGTTGAGCCGCGCTCACTCGTACACAGCAGTAGGACACCTGCTGCAGTATCAGACTCAGGCATTTGTCTCATGTCAATAATGGCAGAGAAGAGCATCTGTCCTTCAGAATCGTCCTCCTTGCCAGTCAACTGCTGCGAGCACAGCTTTTTGCCCGCTCCATTTTGGGATCAAGGCCTCCCATGAGTCGTTGCTGGCCTGCAATTCCCCCTGACAATCATGACTGACAATCATGACAGGTCGTTTCCTGTGTCTCAGCCTCTTTTTTTTTTTTTTTTTTTTTTTTTTTTGATCTGAAGCTGTGGCCAGTCTCGCAAGACACACACGCGCCTACATGGGCTCGACGATCGCTTCCACAGTACATCCCCCACCAGTCAGTCCTTGCTATGTATGGCCTCTGCACCTTTCTAAAGCCTTGTTTCTTTTCCCGTTATTAGTTCTTTTTCTTCTTCTCTACCACTCCACAATTCCAAGTGACGGCATTCTCCTGGGTGGGTTCCGGACGATAGTGCATCGCGAAAACAGTCATGGGCCCGAGCTTGGATCCACCTGATCTCATATATTCGGCGATCGTCTCGGAAGGTGGGATGAGTCTCAAACTCAGATTCAGGAGATTAATAACGAGAATGCTTTA